GAATCCATAAAATCGCATGAGTTTCACACATAAAAAACGTTTATTTGTCGCCGTTCTAAAGACCCGACCTCCTCTCCCGCTGACCATTCTTCATGAATCACATCAGCGTTTTCCATGCACTTTTTCAAAATTTGACCACCACCTATTTGCGCAGCCTTCCGATGTACCCTTATGGTCATCAACTGGTAGCAAGGCCGCGACCTGGTACCGAGTGTGTGATAAAACAAACAAAAAAGCAGTGTTGGAGGTGCATCGCGGAAAAAATAAACGAACTGTAATAAACGCGTCGCGCAAATAGATTTAGATTTTAACTGAACTATTCGATTCTAGCTGATTGCCAACTGCTTTCTGTTGAGATTGAAAAGTTCTCAAACCCTTTGGAGAACCTGATGAGACCAGTCTGACATACATTCATCGCCCCTCCTATCCTTGGCTACCAATGTTTGCTCGGCAACGCGCCATCGCACACCATCCGTGTTGTTTCGAACGAATCCGCGCAAAAACGAAAAAGTCCTTCTCCTCCTCCTTCCTCTTCTCCATCCAACTTTTATCCATTTATCCCTCCCTCCCTGCTTCTGCCAATCTCAATCTCATGTGGTTCAAATTATCATATCTTTTCTGCCGCCAGTCAGCCGTCCGTTTGTCCGTCCGTCGTCCAGTCGTCATCTTTTTTGACGATATCGCTTCTTGCTATACGTTCCAGCTGGTGCCAAACAATCGGGAGAAATGCGAAAAAAGCACGGCGGCTGCGATCGCGGTCAGAGTCTTGATTTAAACTGTTCTCCGACGAACAGGACAAGATATAATGAACTTCTGCGCGGACCATTGTCGGTCAATTTGCGCGGCTAGAATAGCCGGAAGCGCTCAAAAACAATGATCCTTGGCGAAGTTTCCGCGAGCAAAAGGCGGGGGAAGCCGAGAGCGTCCACTATACGAACAGCTGATGCCAATATGCTCAAGGAAACCTGGACGCGGAGCAGGCGGAGAGAAAGGGTCCACTTTGTGCATCAAGCCGACTGGTCAGCAGCTCATCCATCAAAATCTTGTTTTGTTCCTTGAACTTGTCCTCCGCCGCCACACCACCCTTTTTCTTTACTATTCCAAGTACACCTTTTCGTGCACGCCGAGTCTGACTCTCGGTACCAAGTTTTATGATGGTATGGGCGCCAGATGTTTTCTCCTCAAGGCACTTGCCGCTAGTCGCCTTCCGCAGCCTGCCGCTGCCGCCAATGCCACCGCTCTCGATGCTTCTCGATGGATAATTTTTTTGGTCACTGATGTTCACTTCATTTCGCATCGGTCAGTCAGTCAGTCAGTCAAGAAAGAAAGCAGGCGCGTTTTTGATATTATGCAACTTGCGGAACATCGTCAAAGGCAACGCGGAGGGCCAAAAACCGGTCGGCCGCTCAAATTCGCCTCCGCCTTTTCACTGAATCGTTTTCAAAATTCTCCAATTTTTCTCGATAGATTCGGGAACTGATTATCCAGATGCAACCCCATACAGTTTTCAATTATCATTCCTACCGGTTGCGCCATATTTTCGCCCCCGACATCAAATTATTCATCCCCATAGTTATGAGGCACTTGACAGAGGTTATCTGCGGTCAATCTCGACAGATGTTGCGCGATTAGGAGGCAGGAAAGGAATGAAGACATCTCTTAGAGAACGAGTAACCCGGGTACGTGGGCTGAGTGACCTTTTATCAAAATGCGTTCCCCACGGGGTGATCTTATCAATCATTTCCATCTGAGGTCCGACATTTGGTTACCGGACGCTCATTTCGTTGCATAATTTAATGGATTCAAGTTACTGTAGTAACATCGTCTTGTTGTGGGAGCATAGATTTCCCAAAAAAAGTCCGCCCAAACCCTCGGCGTCTTCAGCATGTTTGTGTGAACTGTGCACCGTATGTTGAGCTGAAGACTTCTAAAAATTAGAAAAATTAGTGAACATTTTATTTGAAAGTTGGAGGAGCCATAGATCGCAGCGCTAGCGCCCACATTTAGAGACTTGCTGCACGTGTTCCTCATTTCTTGCAGAAAATTCGTTCAGGTGTAACTTCCGGACTAACCGTACAGGGCCCGCAGTCTTGCAAGAGGGAAAATTTTTGTCCCTCTTTCTTCTTTCTTACTTTTTTCTTTACCACTGATAATCTTGCCATCGGATCGCCGCCAGTCGCGCGTTCTCCCAAATGCGCCACTGATGAAAGGTGCCTCGAGTTAATCAACTGGTTAATAACTTAATGAATGACAGTAGACATCCGCCAGCGCGCTGCGGCAAAAGATTAACTCATCGGCGGTCGGTGTGATGAGTGCCCGCCGCCGACGTCCTTTATCTGCTGATAACATCTACCGTAATCCTTTTTTTGCCGCACCGGACTCTTATTTATAATAATCCCTTTGACTTTGACTCTGACCTAGTTGGGTCATTGAACACAAGAAACTGGTAAGGACCGCCAAGTTCTGGAATTTTGTAATTCGAAATCTAGTATCAACAGTGACCAGCATCACACAAAATTTTTGGCGCTGGGGGGCATTTCACTTCCAAACGAGCGGTCATCTAACGAGAACTGTTAACATTTCTCAGCGTCATCGTCATCACCCATTATCACTAATTTGTCTTTTGCCGCCGTCGCCGTTCGCCCGCCCTTCCCTCTCCTTCTCTCGTCTCGCTTCTGATTCTTGGACGTGGTGGAGGGAGGGCAACAAAATTGGAAGAAAATAGCGTCAAAAAACGAGTGAGTGAAGATGTTTTCCTTGAAACAATATGCCCAAGACGTACACAGGGTGGCGGGTTTTTGCCTTCTGCTTTTGCGCTTCTTGCCTCCGACGATTGACCGCCCATCTTATCACTTTTTTCGAGATCATTTCACCTCGACCGACACTATTTTTTCCATGCGTTCCTCCCATACGCCCTCCAAATGACCATTTCGACTTCCGCAAAAACAAGAGAGGTCTTTGAACTAAAAATTCTCGTTCCAGAGAGTCACTTTGGCAAATTTGATGATAGTGAGTCCTCTCCTTCTGTAACGAGACCAGCCTTCGTCAGTGAGGAGAAGAAGAAACATTGGTTTCAGCCATCGTTTCTCTCCTCAGTTTCTACCATACCAGTTTCTGAACACACTTTTCGTCTCCGCTCATTTTTCCTGTTAACATGCATTTCTTCTGTGATTTGCCTCTGCAATCATCAAACCGCCACCCCCCCCCCCCCCTCTCGATCAGGACAAGGTAGGCAAAGGGGAGGGTTTCGGCGGGACCTCGTACTGTATTCTCACAGTGAGACACTCCTTCTTCCTATCCCCTTCGAGGGGGGGCCTCTTTCCCGTCATCATAATCATCGTTTTTATCATCCGCTCTCTCTTCTCGCCCTCACATCCCCACAGGCAGCAGCCGAACATCATTCATCCAATTTTCACTTTTTAATTGGCCAAATCTTCAAACAACTTTCGAAACCGTGAGATGTTTCGTTTTCCCATCATATCACCCACCACATCGTTTTCAGCAATCCTCTCCCCTCGGTCACTTTAAAGGCTTTTGCCTCACTTACCTTCCACGGTCTACGGACAATATCCAGTCTCGACTCAATTTGCGAACACTTTTACTGTCCACTTCTATAAATCAAAACCTATGCCTCCTAATTACCAGCGCACTAAATGGCTAATAATAGCCGATGCCCATACGAAACCAACAAAAGACGATTTCGAAACTTTTCGGCCGCATCCAGTTGAACGAATTGTGCTGTCCACTGAACGTTCGCTCGCTCATTGAAAATTATTGGTTAAGCGGCGGCGGCGCGTCGGACGGACGGAGGGCAGGATGGCGGCTTCATCCCCCATAGTCCGAGTCGTTCCAGATTTCCGAGGCATTTCTTCCGTCGGTTTTTTGTGTTCACGGAGGACCGACGGCATTCGCGGTTTTCATGATTCCTGGTGTATATATATACATACTCTGATTCGACGGCCGGCCATCTTGCGCTCATCCGAAAAAAACGGTTCGCGTAGACGGAGGAAGAGGAGAAGGAGGAGAGGTGTAGCCAGATACATTGAGATCCATCATTTCAAATCGGCAATGCTTTTTCTTTCCGCTACTTTTGTGATATATCAAAACGAACGACGATGCTAGTAGCGCTACCGCGGCGATTCGAGTTTTACGGTCTGTTGAAAGTGTGAAATTCCTGAATATCATTCTGTATTGCTAGCCGTCATGGCTTCTCACCAGCGGTTTTCCCCTCACGCCCATGACGCATTGGCGGCAAAGGTAAGTGGCTCCCGGTCCGAAGGAGACAGGAAAGGGGGCGGGGCAAAGTCTCTGTTGACCAATACGGTTTTCCAACCCCCCCCCCTCCCCTGCGACGTCAGTCGTTCTCAGCGTGCAAAAATCGGACAGTCGAGTGTGTGCGAGACATGACACATTCAGTTTCTTTATCATTCCTGGTGCTAATTTGATTTGTATTTTTCAATCAGAGTTTCTGAAACTGAAACTGAAACACAATTCCAATTTCGAAACTTCTCCAGTTTTCTCTCTGCAACATTTTCTTAAGACACTGATAACTAGTCAGTGCACACGAGTCTGCCCTGATTACGGCACGTTCTGGCGGGCTCCTCCGCCGCCGGCCGGTCACTCCAAGGCCTGGTCATCTCGAGTGTCTTCCTTATCAATCAAAACCTGGAACACGAGGGAACACGAGAAAGAGAGAGAGAAACATCATCCATATTAGGAGTGACGGTCGGTATCTTTATGGTCGAGAAACCTCCTTCCCTCGCTTGCTCTCTTCAACAACACCGAACTGACCGTTGCGTGCTTTCCCCTTCCTTTCTTCCTTTTGCATTTTTTCCTCACTTCACCCACGCGCTCATCTTATTGTACCCATTCCTGGCACATCATGATGTGGCTCCTCGCCCTCATTTTGCGTCAATCGTTTTTCTTTTTCCGTCCGTTTATTTCACACCACAACTCCTATATATTTCAGGCCACACCCCACTCCTCTATGCTAAAAAACGATGGATGATTATATGAACTACAACAACTTTTATCAACAGTCCATACCTGGCTCCGACATGTACCCGACACCACCAATCGGCATAGAGGACCCGATGGGCATTCAACCAAAAGCGGTGAGTCACATCCCATTTTATTCCAATCACAATCATGTGGGATTAGACGAAATTGGAATGAAAGGATGGAAAGAGAGAGAGGGAGAGCAGTATAGCTATAAATCCATCACTTGTTTTAAAAAAACTGACATTGACATTTTGTGAAATATCGTCAAATTCCCTCCTTTCCTTTCATCAAAATCTCAAGATCCATGACGTGCGGCTAATGGATCTTGCTTGCCGCTTCATTTTGCTGTTTCTGAGCAACCAATTTATTCCTATTTCCTCTCGATTCAAACGCACGTACTCGATTCCGAATGGATCCTTTCATATGGGCGCTCTTAACTGTGAGTGCTTGCACATTCCTTCCGGTCTGCGACCTCTTTCATAACCTTTCACAACACCTTGCTCCAGACATCTTTTCAAAAAGGCGGTATCAGCTCAGACGCTGACAAAGATATGGAGAACCTAGCCCAAAAACAAGCATTGTTGACAAATATAGGTAGAATGGAGCGTGATTTAAAAATAAATAAGCGCCGAGGTGCCATATTTTGATGAAATAGTATTGTTTTTTGTTTACTTCAACTGGTCACCAAATTGTTTTTACCGAGCTCCTTTCAACGAGCACTAGTTTGTTGAAACTCTCAGTTTCCGCCGCATCACGTAATCACTGATCGACGGGCGGCTGCGTTTTGCTCCGCTCCGCTCGTTTTCCGGAAAATTGATAGGCCGCGAGAAGAAAGTGAGCGGCATCGGTTACTTGATTACGTCACGCGGGTCACTCGGACACTAGGCTGTCAGGTGGGGAGAAAAGAGAAGTGCAGAGATGAAATTTGAGAGGTGTACGAAAGAGAGAGAGAGAGAGTGGTCACTGGAAATTTTTGTTGGACCCTGCTGAAGTAAACACCTCCCCAGCAGCTCGTCGACAACACATCAAACTTAACTATACACTTGCACGTGAAGAATGAACAAGAGAAATGGGAAAATGAGAAATGAGGGACCGTTTGAAAATGAATGTGAATTCAGAACGAACCACCACCACCGCCACCAATTGTGATCTGCCCGACGGAGGTCGATCACATCAATGTAACTTTGGAGAAGAATCAACAATGTGAATGCAAGGTTAGTTCAATTTCAGAGTGGGTTTGAGACGTTCAGAGTGTGTATTTCAGGATTGCGGAAAACTTTTCAACTCTGTCTGGTATCTGAAGCAGCATGCTGTTAAGCACTCAAATGACAGGCCGTTCAAGTGCAAGTTCTGCTTCAAAACTTACAAATTCCGCTCGAACTTGTACCAACACAAGTGTCCTGAACGTCAAAAGTCCATGTTACAACGTCGCCGCGGCGGCAACATGGCCAATTCAGCGAAACGAAACGAGACTCAGATAATAAAGACGAGCAAGATTGAGACAGCAATCATGCAAGAGGAGCCTCAGATTAACTACAGTATGCCGATGCAAAATTGCTTCTCCGAAACAGAAGACAACGACGCGCCAATCACCTACGGACTCGTCATTCAGAACATTGACCAGAGTCAGATGCAACAAATGCCACCGCCGCAAATGCAGACCCCACAGCAACCACTTCCTCTGCAACCTCAGGATATGCAACAACAACAACAACCGCAACACCAACACCAGCAACAGCAGCCAATGATGCAGAATGTATGAAAAATAATCACCAATTTGCTTTTGTGGTATTGTGCAGTTATTGTCTTTTTCAGTTTCAAAACTTTCAAATGCAACTGCCTCCTGTCGATCCGCTGATGAACGACATGGAGAACTCGTTTGACAAGCAAGCGGATTTCGACAGTGTACGTGGGCACCAGCTGCCTTCGCAATATATCGAAGACTATGTTGAGAAGAATAAACAGAAGGTTAGGGTCACGCGGCGACGTTTTCTTCACTTTTTGTCCTACCCTCCGAGCGCTGACCAGCGAGAATTGTTCCTTTGTTTCCCCACCAGTCTATCCCGATTCCATGTTTCCCATTTTCACTTTTGTCCGAAATTGGTATGGAACGCCCTGGTTAGTCATCGTGTCACTCTGTCAGAAAATGTTTCTGATTACGGTCGAATACTACTCTCCCTTCTCGTTCTTTTCTCAGTCCCAAGACGGGGTTCCAGGCAGCACGGGCGCTCACTTATTGTCCGTTCCGCGACTAAAATTGGGAAAAAAACGAACGCGATTCCATTCTTTTCTCACTTCCATGACTGGGCGTTGTAGTACGCTTGAAAGACACGTCATGTTTTGAAACCTGTCAAGTCACGAAAATGAGAAAAAAAAACGGAGAAGGGACCGAGAAAACGTTTCGCATGACTCACGAGACAAAGGCCGACACGATGTTTCATACTTTTCCACCTGTCGGGAAAATTTCTCTAGAGGGTCCGACTCATCGGTGTCCGCGACTGGCACAGTGACCCAGAGAACTGCGGCATTTTCTTTATGGCGCATGCCAACCAAATTGGGGAACCGGGGGACGGACGCACTAGCACCCCAAGTAATGAAAACAGCGGGAAGAACACAGAGTGCTCCTTCCACTCGAATACAATCTAGAGCTAACCTCACGTGCTTGCTTGTTCCTTTGTTGCTCACCATGATCCTATAGAATAGGGTTACCAATCCGTCACTTTGTTACAGCTCTTCTCTTGCCGCAAATGCCGATTCCTATCTCCAACTCAAGAAGCTTACATGCGTCACGCCGCCTCACACAATGGAGAGGATCTTTTCCCTTACAAATGTTCGAACTGTCGTCAAGCGTTTGAAAACGAGAAGGATCTGATGAGACACACACAAACGCACACAATGGACGGAGGCACCTTCAGATGCTTCGAGTGTTGCGGACAGTTCAAGAGTCAAGTCGCTCTTCGTCGTCACAAGGATCAATGCCGCCCGTGCTTCATTCCGCCAACTCAGAACAACATTGTGAGAGTGATAATTGTTCTTTTATTTTTTGCTTTAGATCCAAAAGTTCCAGATGGTGACTGTCAATTCACCCTTCGATCCGTTCTCCTTCATTCCCGACGACAACTTGTTCCTTCCGATGTGTGATGAGCTGGCGAGAGGAGGTACTGACAGTGGAGTTGGAAGCGAAGGATCGCCGAATAGCATGTCTCAGGCTTCACCGGAAAGGTAGGACGAAAAATTTATGAAGCATAGGAAGTCTAAATTTTCAGAAACGGAATGGAAGACTCATTCAGCTATGTGAATGGAAAGAAAAAGGACAAGGAAGACGACGAGGACTCTGGATTCCGCTCGAGACTCAACTCTGTCACCCACTCTTGCTCGCCGGATTCCTTTTCCGATTCCCACTGCGACTCTCCACCACGTAAACTCTCCGGAGGAGGTGGGCTCGGAGCTTCTTCCTTTCTGGGAGGCTACGGAACTGGCCCGGCCTATGGTCAGCAGATGATCTACGACAAGAGCCTGGATGACATTGAGTGCGACAGCTACGGCATGATCAAAGACACTCCACAGATCTACACGGAGCACAGATTCTCTCTGCAGACGGCCAATGTGCAAGAATGTGGACTTGCTGTGGCTCCGCTTGTCCAATATCACATGCAGCCAATGTCAATGAAAGGTACGAAAACAACATTTCAGAAGGTAATCCAATGCATACACATTATCGTTAAGAATTCTGCATCACCACTCCGTCATCAACTTTCGAAGCGGAAAGCTCTGACTTTTTTGATTACAACAACGGCTCCTGGAAGAACGAGGGCTATGACCATCCCGCTGTCGAAACTTCAGAAATCAAGTAAGTTTGCTGTTTATACAAAGCTATAAATAGGAGAAATGCTCGAAATAACCCCTTATTTCCTCTTACTTTCAACAAGCGGAAAACAATTTCTGTTTTTGTAGAGAACTCGCCGCCGTGTTGATGACCATGTACTTGTGCAAAGCTGCTGACCAATGCAAGTGACAACAAACATCAAGTCGCAGAAAATCATTATTACTTTTTCAGGTGCTGAAATCCTCTCCACGCTTGCTGCTCTTTCGCTCCACTAAATGGACCAGCTCCTTCCATTTCTCTAACTCAGCCAACAGTATCCCCTTCATTCGTGTCTATTTATTCTTCGTTCTCACTCCAGATGTCATGTTCTTTACCACTATTCTTTCAAACCGCATTCAAGTAGATCTTGATTCAAACCACCACCCCCACTACCCCTTCAAAAACGTCTTTCACAAAAACCGGCCGTGTAGAAACACGCGGAACCCTGGTCGTAGTACATCTAGCAATTTTAATATTCACCCTACTTTTGTCAACCAATTCGCAGTTCTCGCAGAGGCAATCTGACGAGTCCCGAGTAGTTTTTCTCCGATGTTTTGTTTGCTCCGGAATGTCTTTCAAACCACTGAACCCTAGTGATCCTCCCCCCCCGTTTCACAAACTTCTCACACCATCCCATTTTTTCTGTTTCACTACCCCAAAGTTTGTTCTTTCAGAAACACCCACTAATAATCTCAAACCAAATCGAATTTGCATTATAATATTTTCCGCCGATTGTATTTCTTGAATCCACAATGTCTTTCAGTCCCAAATGTGGGCCATGGGTTTACTTTCTTTATATTTGAGTACTTTGAAGACTTGAAGTCAACTTGAAAGTAAATCAATGGTACCCCGGCCAACAATGTGATTATTATCCCGCTCGAAACCATTTTCGTGATTATTTCAAATGTTTGTCATCATTTGTCATCGGTGACGCTAACTCCGATTTTCTGGACGACTTCTGAGTATGGTCATGTCTTCCAGAAGATCCAACCCTTATTACCCCACCCGCCAATATACTGATCTCAAATGGCGGCGTCCATAGTCACGTACCAAATACTCTCCATCCCAACTGTTCTTGCTACTCCTCATAGAGACCACTCTCACCAAAGCTTTCTTCCCCCTTTATACGATCTACCCACAGATGCTTCTATTCAAAGATATCTACAGTATCCACAGACACACAACTACTTCATGTCAGTCCGAACCAGATTTCTAAAACTTCTTTATTCATTGTATTGTATTTTGCTCCGGTACTACATGACTTTTTCCCTTGTAATGCATGACTTCTCAAACTTCACAATTACTTATGCTCTCTGTCTACACAGTACCATGTGTCTTTTTCTGTTTTCTTCCTACCCACCCCCCAAAAATCTCTCGTGTTTATTCTTTAGTCGGCGTCTTTCGTTTTCGTGTACCTAATCTCTCCCTTAAAGCATCAGTTCTGTTTTTTGGCGGATGCACTTCCTCCATTCACCCTGTCATTACCCTCCGTCTTTCCGTTAACTTCTTAATCAGTAGAAGAAAACAAAACGACGCCAATTTTGCGCCATCTCGCTCTTTTACAGTCACTGCACTTTTTCTGTGCGCTCTTGTATTTTCAATGTCAAAAGACAGCACAAAATGCCTTTTTCCGTCGATTGTATTTTGTGATCACCAACTTTGAAACTTTGTCATTTTGTTTCTTTTTGTCTTTTCTGGAAGTACTTTGCACAGAAATGTTAAGTAATAAATATTTATGGGAAAACGATCGAATTCCATTCCAATAGTTTACACTGAAACAAGTCGCCTGGTATCAGTTTTCCTTGTGAAAAACAATGATTTTCAGAATCTGGTTTGTGTTCTCGTTATCAGAAGGAACTTCTTAGTGCATCAGATGAACCGTGAATCGTGATTCATTGTCTGCTCAGAATTCTCTGAAAGTTACGTGTGACTAACCCCCCTATACATGTTTTTTCACGAAGCGTATCATAAATTCAAACATCCTCGTTCTTCCTCTCCAGATTTCTAAGATATTCATTGCGTTCCAGACGTGTCTAAGCGCCTTTTTCCAGCGGATCTGAGTCGGCACGTGATCTGTGGGCACTGCGACAAGGTCACCCAAAGCACCTGCTCGTGTGCAAACTTTGTATTTTAGGCAACTGTGTACACTAGACTTTTTTTGCCCACTGATACGTCACAACTTCTGTTTTAAAAAAATAATGACATCAGGTTTAAACGGGAATTTTAATAATTAATAAGATGGCGTTATGAGTAGACAGACACCAGTCATTGACGTGGCAAAAAAGTGACTGGGTAATGGGTGCGATGACATAGTCATTCGGTGACGTTTCGAACGAGAAGCAAACACACAATAAGGGTTTTCGATACAAAATGAGAAGTTTCTGGTTCCTTCTCTTTCCGCTTCCGTCATCTGGTCATTTGGTTAGAAAGCTGAACGCGCGGGTGCGTAAGGTACGGCCATAATGATAAACATAACGGGATTACACATGCATACCATGGGAATGACTTCTCTTCATCAACAAGTTCATCCATGTGTAACGGAATACTATACTGATTATGAGAATCTCGTCTTTACTTTGTCCATATTTCAACATTCCTTAGAACGCGGAAGTACATGAGGAACTCTTCATTCATTCAAACACACACACAAAGAGCAACATCTTGGACGGAAAATGAGTTGTTGGATTGGAATTGTGGACAGGGAAAGGGAGAGAGAGAACGACTTCTTCGTCGTTACAAAGGTACATTTGAGAAGAACTGAATTATGGGCGGACGGGGGAATTGTTTCACTATGAATGCGGTTGATCGGATCATGTTGGATGGTTGACGGATTGAAGTGCGTGGCGACGGTCTGGAGAAGTTGAATACGGTGTCAGGTGTCAGTTGTCCCACCAGAATCTGGAAAGCGGGAGGTCCTGTCCGCTTCCGCCTCCGTTGCGCTTGAAGAACCTGGAAACGTCACAATGGGTCTCTGCGTGGGCATAGGCATGTTTGATTACCTGATGCTTGGCTCGCGGCGAGACCATTTCTTCTCCATGCCGTAGAACGGCATGACGTACGAGGCGACGTCAGCCGATGCCTCCGAATCGAGTCCTCCAGTGGAGAGGGCGGCGAACGCGCCGGCAACAAAGACGAAGGCAAGGAGAGTGACGATCCAGTGGCTCATTTTCGAAAGAGATCGGTGAGAAGCGATTACCTGCAATAACGTAGTTGGAAATCCGTACGATGAAGGCAGCAGAGAACGGAGTGTAAAGCTAAGCGACTCAATCGACTTTGAATTTGGAAAACTGGAAAACTAAAAGGTCTCATCACGTAGGCGCGTCTAACCCAACTCATTATCTAGATTTCTCACGTAGTAGCCTAATATTTCTACCCAAACGAAGCTCATTACCAGAGCCTATGTTGCTCCAGCTTCAAACTCTCAACGTCGTTTTTAAAAATCATGGACTAGATGAACTTTAGGGAGATCGAAAACGAGTGGGTTGATAGAATCAAGAGCTCGCATTGCCTAACTCATTCATAACTCCGTCACATTGAATTAACTTCATCTGACCGCTGTCAGGCCGTGCTAGATGAACGCGCGGACTTGGCTAAGCACCGGGGGAAAATGGTAGGTGGGTGAGACTAGGCGTCGCCCAAAAATGTGTGTAAGGTGTGGCTGAGAGCCGAATAAATACTGATCCCCCCACCCTCCCACCAAGATGGCTTTCTAACAATAGGGGCGTGGCTTCTGAGGGGGCTGGTTTGAGGCTCGACGCCGTCGGCAGATGAAGCGAAACGAAGGGGTAAGGGCGAGAAGAAGAAGAAGAAGGAGGAGGAGGAGGAGGAGGAGGAGCAGGTGGAAAGGAATAACGCAAAGAAATCAAATTTTTGAAATCTGGGGCCCAGAGAAATGCAGGAATACATAGTGACGGTACAACGCATGGAACTCATATTGTTTTGATGGAAACTACTGATTTCTCCAGGGGACCACGTAGCCGACAACAATTATATTCCCTAGACAGTATTTTTACGTTAATAGCTGTTAATGCTAGAACTATACGATTTCTATTATGTCTGAAGTTGTTTAGTGCATTGCTTAGAGTTCATAAATCTACAAAAACTGGAGATTAACGGAAACATGATGAAATTCGAATTTTTGATGTGAGGGCACTGCCACTCCCACCTACACTCGTCTACTGTTACAACCTCTAGCGTGACCTCATTCTGTCTGATGTCACTTCGCGAGCCCGCCCGCCGTCAGAACATAGAACATTGTTTTTTCTTAAACTTCACATCGTCCAGTCATCGAAACACTATTAAATGACGTTATTTTCTTCTTGAACTGAATAAATTTGTGGTCGGAAGGAAGGGGGGATATAGAAACCGCTTTACGGCTCAATGAGCTCTTCTCAGAGTTCGATTCGATTCCGGAGCATATTAGGCTGAGAAGCGGCCGAATGACGCATCGCGAAACCCCTCTGATCAAAGAAATAATGGCAGTAAAGCATGAGACTTTTTTCCAGCTCGGGTCCACATGGCTCATTATCTTTGTCTCACTTTCATTTTTGATATGATGTGAATGTTGGCAACACGGTTCTAATGAAAAACAATGAGACGTCTGATCTCGTTCCTCATTTGACGTTCGTCATTCATTCAAACATATTTGTTCAAGTCTAGTCCTTCTGAATGTTTGATGTCTTTCCATTACGATTCAAGATTTCTGAAGCTTTGAGTTTTGCATCGAAAACATGGCCGCGACCTTCAGCGAGGCAGCTGAAACGTTTCGGTTTCCAACAACCAAAAACCATTTGAAAGAACGTGAAAGGACGCACTTAGATCGAACCTCACAGACGAATACTAAAAACTATTATCCGGCGGAGAGGAGGAAAAACGGGTTATTAAAGGGTAATTTGATGGCAAAAGATGATTGGGCTCCGCGAATTCTGAAAAAGAGGCCAAGATCTCAACCGTCGCTCATTATTGTTTGGCTCCAATTAAAAACTTTTTTTTTCCGTTTTTCCCATCCTCTTCGTTTGCGGAAATGGAAGCGCTCAGAATGGAAATGAAACCCATATAAGTTGGGATGGACGCAATGAATCACAGAAAAGTCACGGGAAAAAGTAATAGTGGGTGACGTATTGGGAAGGGGGTCAAACAAAGGCTCGGTTCCTCTTGTGAAATTGGTTTTCTTCAGCGTAGATTGTGCAATGGGAACTCGGAATTGTTTTTCGCACTTTTGTTGATTTTCCACAGAAGCAAAAGGGTACAAACCCAAATCGCAGTGCGTTTCGCATTCCAAGGGACGCTAAAACTACAAGTGTTTGTTCTCGAATTTGCTGGCTGTTCTCATGTCTAGACAGGCATCGTTCAAAGGTCTTCTAGATAAGGTCCGAGCTGAAAACTTACTCACTCTTTTCGCGGTGCACAAAATGCTCCTGATGAGGTCATAGCGACAGGTGGAACTATTTCAATTACCGAGAATACGTAACAAATAGCATTAAGAGAACTTCCAAAACTCTCTATTTAGATCAAGTTAACACAGGAAAAACATGCCCAAAGTGAATAAGTAAATATTGGATGGAACATCTAATCATAATCCCATTATGCACTGGAACGGATCAGGATTTGATAAATTGAATAAGAAGACAATAAGTGAATATTAATACTAGACATTCGGGCGGTTAATGTTCAGGAATTATTCATCCACAATTTGCACTCTGATCCGATTAGATCATCACTAGATTAACGTGTTTTCCGGACATTTTGAGCAAGCAACAAAATATCACGCGTCCAAAAAAACGCGATTGAGTGAAACATTTACGGGGTCGAATGGGTTATGAACCGAACAACACTTCAGGAGAGGAAATTTGAAAAGTTCAAGTAGGTCTGTCTCATCCATCATGACCGCGCTTTGTGTCTCAAAAATGATGAACGGGTATTTTTAAGGTCGATGATCGGCTGAGAATTGAAAACATCAAGAGAATGCCGTCTGGGAGAAGAGATGAGAGGAGAAATACCAGAAATCGAACATATTTATATGCGTAGACCGGAAAAATAATGTTTTGATAGATAGATCAATAACAAAATCTTTCTTTTTACAACTTGACATTAAATTATTTGGATTGACGAGAAAAAACTCAAAGAAAAACGTCTGGTCTGAAGAGAATAAAGTCCTCAATCTCATTCTTGGCATGGTGAATCATTTCAAATTGAATGACTTCTTCTGGCAAATTATAGTCTTCTGATTTCAGATTTATTCATTTTTCTGATTTTGAAACGACCGATTGAACACTAAATTTTTTAAACATGATTTCTAAGACAAAATGTTTCGAATATTGTGACTTTTCAGAAAATCGATTATGCAGATTACGTTTTTCAGCTTACAACAGCTGATTTCAATGAAAACAATGCGAGACCGAAGGCCGAGTGAATAGATTTGCGAGAAAGCCTGAAACCCGGCGCTAGCCGGGGAACAGACTTGTGATTCGAAAGATATCAGGACTTAACATTGTACCCTGAAAAAGAGCTAATAAGAAACCGACTAGGATAATAAGAAGACTCGCGATAAAATGACGAAGGAGACAACAAATTCCTCAATCAAATTGCGTTTTCTCATTCCCTCCTCGTTTTTTTTTACGTTTTCCATGAAGTCACCACGGGGAGTTCAAGAGGCACGTCAAACGGAAGAACGTGCCCTAATGAAGGGCTTTTTCACACAGTTTTAGACGACTTACATTGAAGCGCGATATGATTTTTTAAAAAAGTTTGCGAAGGATATTAGAACTTTCTAGTCCAGTTGCAACTCATTGAAGCGTGGTTGAAAATGTGTCTGCGTGGGTGAAACATCTGTGACACGATGAAAAACTTGTGGGAAATCTATTTTCAGAGATTCAGAAGTTCAGACCAATCCGGCTGAAAATGAAAATGAAAACACAAACTAATCAACGAGTTGAATGTGTCAGCATTCTTTGATTCTCGGCTTTTTAATTGAATCGCATTGTTGTCGTCGAAATTGAACAATGGAAATCCAAATCTGCGAAAAGTGAGACACAAGACAAAAGTAAACAACAACTACTACAGGATACTTTACTCCAATCAAATTTATCTTCTTCTTTCTCTTGCTACTCATCTTCTGACTTCTTCAATCTTTGCGCCAGTCGTTTTTTTGAGAACTCAATCGGTTTCACACCTGACATCTACGACCTCAATTCCAATTCCGTTCAACTTTTCATGAAGAATTCTTTCTGGAGGAAAGGGGAAAAGACGTTTTTCGAGTAAAGGAAGAGAAACGATTTTGTGGATGGATGCGAGGCCAAATCGAGAACCACTCCAGACTACTGGTTTTATAGGGTGCTCAGGGTGAGAAGTTCTGATTTTTCATCAGATACGCTTCCCTTTTGCACGCCGTGCTACTGCCCTGCCCAGGAACTTCGCAGTACGAACTTTTTTCTTTCTGTTTTTATTGGGATTGGAATTGGGGTCAATGAAATGTGCTCTTCCGAAACATTTTGATGTTTTCCGACGTTTCAATTCAGTCTGCACTTAATAGTAAAATAATACGGAGAAGTTGACAAACTCCCATGAGATGTGCCCTTCACGTCGGCCATATTTTTATCTCATATGTTGCTGAAGACACGTTTTCGCGAGGAGGTCGCCGCCAAAAACTTGTTGCTCTTCCGTCTTGAGCCATTTGTTTTTCAAACTGATGGTCGCAATGCATTTTCTTTTCCTTAAAGTAAATTGAAATTTTTATTTTCAGCAGTAGCTACACTACAGTAATCTAGCATTTTCCTTTCAAGCATCCCTCAAATTGTTCTTTCCCTCTCTCTCTCTCTCTCTCTTTCTCTTACTCTTCCACTAAAATACCCTCATTTTTCTGGCCGGTGCTTGATCAGTGTGAATGAACTGACTGAACCGACACCCGGGAGAGACTTCAGAGACAAATAAGAACAATGGAGAAGAAGAAGAAGAAGGAGAAGGAGGAGAAGAAGCGGCTAAGGAGGCAAGGAAGAAGACGAAGCAGCAGCCACCACGATGTCCGCATGGACCGAGATTTATGAGTGGTGTCGCTTTTTGTCGCCCCTAACGTCGACAAATAACACAGACACTTAGCCGCCCCACGCCCTCCCATTTTGCTCCCATTCCAACAAGACTGATTTTGGGTGCTCCTCCTCTAATCATTTTTTACATACCATTCATCTTTTTTAAATTGGGATAGGTTCTTTCAGACTTGCAGAGTAACTGCAATTTCAAATGACACTAGCTAGTTTAAGTCATTTTTCTGGATAATTGAATGTCCAGACTACATTTTTTCCTTCCCGAACATTAGGGTCAATCAACTTCCGCTCATTTGTATTGTTTTCTTCTCCGATGTTTTTTGAACGCCCGCCGGGCTTATCAGTTTCAAATCTTCGAGAAAAGAGAGAGAGAGAGACTAACTCTTTCAAGTGAGGCGTCAACTCCATACTCGTAAATTACATTGCACATTCATCTTTGAAAAACAAAGAGATGTGAGGAAAAGAGAAAAAGAAACAATAGTCTCTGTCGGACTGCTCGATCATCATATCCCTTCGTTATATCTTCCCCACATGTCAAAGCAATGTGGTCCGATAATTTGTTTTTCAAACAAAAAACTTCTTTTCCGACGAAACTTCTTTCATTCATTTATTGCTTCACATAAAAGTTGCTTTGGTTTGTTTTAACGTTAACGAGGTGGGCGAGCAATTTCAAAAGTTTCTATAGGAACGGTGGTTCGTTGGAAAATCTCGAGTTTGAGCCGGGCCGTCGCAGATCAACTTTTAAGCGTCATCTCCGCGCATTTATCTTCTTGAAACTTTGCAAAACGCCCGTTGCGACACATTTTTGACACGTCTTCAAACAGGCGGCAAACGTTGGTTATTTCCGAGCCCTCACATGCCCATGTGTGCGCAATAATGCAATCAGAGCGAAACCTTTTTTGCCTAATTGTAATAATACATTTTCTTGAAAGAAAGAAAGAAGTTGCGAGGGGGATTGTGGTGTATGGACGGAGAGAGGCGAAGTGGAAACATCTTTTTCTCGTTCATCTTGTTCAAATGTTCAATAATCGCGTTAAATACTTGTCCTAGAGAGCATGATTGATCAGCTTCTCCTTCACGTTTCTTAGTTCTCATTTGCTCCACATTCGTATTCCTTTTTCTCTTCTCTCTTTCCCTCAAATTCTCTATTTTCAGAATATAGTAATCTTCATATCGCTTATGGTCCGCAAAACGGGATCTAGGGGTAAGTGATGTGATGAAGGGAACAAACGTCGGTTTAAAAACCGCGAAAAGTCCACACATTCGAAAATTAATTTATCTTTTTTCCTTGTCCCCAGTTTTTGTCTCCCAATTTCCAATTTCCTTTTTTTGTCTTCGCGTGCCTAAACAGTTTGTGTCCGAGGCCATCTGACCCTGAAGACTTAATGGTCTAATCGCGAACATTCAAAGCGGAGCCTGGGACCAAACTGAGTGGTGGGCGGAAGAAAGGCGAGAATGCTATGGAAATGTTGAGCTTAACTAAAGCGCCGCCTACTTATTTAAAGCAGGGGAAGCGAAAGGAGGGAGGCCGAAACAAGACAAACCACTTGGCCCCGTGTTTTCATTGTATATTTATCCAATTTATTGAAGGCCAAACAAAAACCGTCGCGTTGCCTTCTGGGCTTTCTTGCTCATATTCATAGTTCAGTCGCTCAAAACAGGCGGTCCTCTCGCACAAATAACGGCCGAATGCAATTGTGGTTGTGCTTGAGTACTAATTCACTTAGTGCGAAGACAACATATCTGGGCTCAGAGCTCCTCAGAGCACCAACAGGGGAAACATAGGGTCGCGCACAAAAATATGGCACAAAATGAATAGGATTTATAAATATAGACACATTGCGAGCAGGCAAACGCGGCGCAACGACCGGCTCATTTTCAAGCTCAGTGATGATCTAATTTCTCTGCTTACAGTATTCGAGTTGCTCCTCGTGTTGTCGCCGACTAATACCAGCATTGAGACAACGTGCGGAGTGTAGCGGATCAACAACGGCATGGGCTCAACTGGAGCATCGGCCACCTATCATGCATACGGTGATCTCATCCGCACACCGTCCATCCATCCGCTCATCAGGTTAGTTCCATGTTTCTCCTGGTTCTTGTGCATGCTCATTTCCCGAACGCCAATGCTATCATACAGTTCCAGAAGCTGTTCCATCAAGCAGAACAATTTGTGCAACAAACGAAGCCGACCAATATCCGACAAAGAGTTCGACGATGAAAAAAGTGGTGGGTCTGGGGGCACAGTTGATCTATCACACCGAAGGCTCAACTTTTACAAGCTCTTTGGTGCAACGGGGTGTAAAAGTGGCACCACCCTCGCTGTAATTTCAGGGTGTCGTCGGACTATAGGCGCTTTAGTGTTGTTGCAATCGTAGTCTGGCTCTAACTTCTATTCCAAATGTCTGTAGTACCTACTAAAACGAATTTACTTTCGCGTGTTCAAACGTTTCTGGAGTCAATCAGTAAGTTTATGGGCGCGGGAAGTGATTTACTACTTTTCCGGTAATTGGGAGGAATTAGTGGCGGCATTGGCAAGTACCATCAATCATTGAGACCTTATTCTATTTCTTCATACGTTGTTTTGTTTTTCCTGCTTCTTCCTCCGTCATTCTTTGCCGTTCCGTTCGTTTGGCGCTGTCATCATGCTCTCCAAAACAATTCCATCAAATATCTCCAATTGTTTGCTCCGGGCACATCCACCTTCTTCCTTTTTCTGCTCCAATTGAAGGTGGTGTCAGTGATTTTGTTTTGAATATGAATATGAATATGAACGTCAATCATAGTCGGGACGTCGCGACCACCTTGCTCCCTTCAACCCTTCAACACCACACTTGTGTTTTTTTTTCAACTTCCAACGTCCATCGAGTTTTCTGGTGATCATGCCTTCGCTCCGTGTTCTTGTTGCTCACTTTCACCCTTCTCCGCGCCGTCAAACCAATTAGAAGTCTGCAAGCATGTAATTTTTATTGTTGTTTATTGGCGTCAAAACACGCGACACAAAACAGCTATCACCCGAACATATATATATAAAGAGAGAAAGAAACAGAGTGACAAGTTGCAGAGGGTGCAACTCAGACGACATCGCGTGTCATCATAGTCGTTTAACTCTTTTTGTTCCTAAACTTTTACCCTCTGCTAATCAATTCGGTCTTCTCTTTCTCCTTCTTCTTCATCGCAGCTCGTTCCGCTCATATGTTTCTTCTAGTCCAATCTCTTCCTCACTAATGATGGTCAAGTAACGACCCCGTGTCAACAATACGCGTTCCGATCGTTTTCCATAAAGTCTGCGGGCGAGGACGAGACCAACGTCGTCAAAAATGTGGGCGCCAGCGAAGGATCGCAAGCTGGACATGTGCGATTTACGAGGTGCAGATGCGGTGCTTGCCCAGCATGCGCATCATGTGTGCTCGTCGACCCTCTTCTTGAACGCTTCGCCGAGTTCATCGTATCATCGGATCATCCCGGCCCAACACCACATCCTGTCGACCAGGTACCATCGCCATCGCGCCCACTACTCGTTGTCGCCGAAACTGTCGCAAGGATCGTATCGCTCGTCGGCGGCGTTTTCGACGAGCAACGGTTCGCTCGGAAACGAGTCACGGAAGGCGACGGGCAATCGGCTCATGATTAGAGGAGGTATGTAGGCAGAAAGAAGATTTAGGCGCGAGCTTTCCCACCACTTGCAAACCTTCCTCCCTTATTTTCCATTTCTTTTCCTTCTTTTCATCACTCTCGACCTTTCTACATCTCACTCGAGAATTACCATAGACCAAACCAAGATCAAAGGAGAAGATCTAAATACTTCAAATGATGGAAGTTGAATGGGGATGTACAAACTCCTAATTACTCGTTTCAAACACAAACACAATCGGCTACTAAATCGCAGTTTTATTGAATGTGTCATTTGATGGACTCCCGCGCGTCTCCCGTCTTCAGACTTTTCCGGCTTGGAATTTGGCAGGGGTTAGAAGGGGGTAAAGTGCATTGATGTTCAAAATCTATTGAAATATTCATCGAATCCAGTGTTTCGTTCTACCCACTGGCCTCTCTCAGTTTTAAGTTTGGTCAAATAAAATAAAATAAAAACTAATCCATCTCATTTTGTGTTTACCCTGTCAGTTTTCTTTTGAATTCATTGAACACGAGTAATATATCTTCTCTTTCAACTGATGTTAGTGGTAGTAGAACACCGACTCGTCACCGAACACCATTCCATTTACTCGCGTTCCAACCTAGTTTAGTATTCATTATATGATAATTTATACATTCGTTTACTACTGACGTCTACGTCCTTATTCCGTGTCATAATACGGGGGGACCATCCTCCGGCCCCACCCCGACATCTCACCTCAGAAAGCTATCATCTTTTATCTCTAACTACCAACTCCGCAGAAAAAAAACCGACTTTTTTATGAGGTCGTCTGGATGTGCATGTCATTATCGTCGGAATACCAAAAAGCATATATAATGTAAAGAAGGAGGCGAGGAGACAAGATTGAGCCAATTGGGTCGTGTGCGCTCGCAAATTATGGTATATGGCAGTCACTTGGACCAGCTGAATGATAGTCAAGGTAGATGAGGCATGTTTACGAGTTCTGGAAACGGAAATGACTTTTTCGCATCATTCGTCTTCTTGTTTTTGGACTTATTCCCTATCTCCAGAATCCCCTAAACGGCTATTTCTGGTATCATTCCCCCGCTGTAACCTATTCTTCCAATGTCTAATGAAATTGATCAAACTCCATCGGACACCTCAGGTACAACTGTAGTAGTGTGTATTGTGCTAGCACAAAGTTTACTAACCTTCTTGAAAACTCTTTCAACACAAAAAGCTGGTCCAATTTTGACGAAAGATAGAATAATTCATTGACTGGATGTTGTTCAAAGCCCCCTCTATTCATTCCAAGCTTTCCAGTTTTTTTTCCCGCAACGCTCGTCCCCTGAACCTGTTCCTTTTCCAGCTCTTTTCTGTGTTGATCATTTTGAAATGCCACGAAAATAGGCTTATTATAATAATGAAACGCAGAAAAAATAATTGAAAAAAAGAAGTGTGAGGGTGGTTCTTTCCATTTAAAAATATTCAATTATGCGTTTAATTGAAATGTCACGAGCCCTTTTTCTTCAGTTTTTCTCTATTTCTGGCTTCACAGTTACATTTCACAAAATGAAGACGAACAACAAGACAGGAGCGAAATGAGCGCAGAACACTCTAAACCTAATTCCAGAATTAGATTTTCCGAGAGAATACGAAACCAAAAAGCCACTTCATCTTCATTTCTTGTTTACGATATTGTACCTGACGTGATGTTCCAAAAACATTTTTAATATTTCAAAAAACGCTATCGCGTGACTACTTCCCTAAAGTCATGATTTCATCACGAATATCTCTCACAGTTTATTTGATTATTCATAGTTGACGTTGACCTACTCGCTCTGTTTCATCCTAAAAGTCCTATTGCTTTTTGCTCCTTGTTCTTTTGTCTTGAGCCTACTTCCGATAGTCATCATCCAGATATAGTTAGTCCGCGGCTCCGTCAGAAATTGGCCCGTCGCCAAATCTCTCAATCTTCTTCCAGCCGTTTTGTTGACAAACGTTCGCTCCCTGTATGGCGACGGAACGCGAAGTTGACAAATGAAATGACAAATTCTTTTGTGGCCTTTTCGAGTTTTTGTTCATTTTAGGGCTAGCTAGGACCCGGGAAGCCAATTGAAGACAGGAGCCTTCAAATATTTCGACTATTGTGCTCCGGAGCGCTAAGATAATTGGTCGGCGTATAGCGTAGAGAGGCAAAAGGAGAAGTAGTCGAAAGGCAATTTCTTCATTAGAACCACATTCCCTTTTTCTGTGCTCACTTTGATCTGAAGTACAACTAGTTCAACCAAAAGCTCTTCTTTCGTCCCCTCAACAAAAAAGTTCAGATATCAATCTCTGACGTTTATTATGAAGTGAGGAGACTAAGCGCAAAAAAGACACAATCGCTTCGCTCACTTGTCGCCCTCTATATTCCCCCAGAGACTTGTTATTCATCGTTCCAGACGCGCGGAAACTCTCTGGTCGCCGCCGCCGCCAAAAGCGCAAGCGGTGCCCCCTAGTAGCCGCGTGGTGTCGCCCCGAACCCATTTTTATATGATCCACTTAGTTCTCTTGTCCAACCATGTTTGCCGAATGGGCCAGGACCGCTCACACCGGAATCTATCCGGACAATCCGACTGCTGTGGCTCTATTGCCCTTCTTTGCAGCGGCAGCCATTCGATACCGTAAGATTTTCCCCTTTTTTTCCACTGTTATCGGTCCCCTCTAACATTTTACACCAACTACCAGCTCCGAATTTATGTACACTCTCGTAATAACCTGCTATAAATCAAGTTTTGAATTGCCGCGACATATGCTCCGGGAGCAGCTCAGCTCTAGCCACAACTCATCAAGTCGCGTCTTGTCCGTGTGATTGATATGATATTGTATATCATTTATCATCGAGACAAGCAGAAGTGCATCATCTTTTTGAGCCCGTGTCGTCCCCCATCATCTTGGAGGGAAGATATGAATGAAATGGCAGGAGAAAGGTGTCACCAACACTTCAAAAAAAGCCGCACAACTTCCAGAAGTTTTGTTTTTGTGTGTGTGTGATCATGACGCAACCACGTTCTCGGATTGCTTTTTTTCAACCTGGAAAAAATTTGAGAACTTTTGAAAACAACAAACAAATGCCTTCTTTATCGTTTTTCGAGATCTCCGTTCAAAAACAAGTTCTCATTTTGTGAGTAGACTTGTTGATAACAACAATGTGAACACACCGGTCCACCAAGCAAATGCCACAAAAAGTGATAGGAGAGAGAGAGACGAGAAGCAGTCACCGGTGATGCCGGGCACCGGCAGATATCGTAGAGCGCACACAGCTGTTTGTAGGGTGCCAGACATGATGAACGTGGCTCCTGGCGGGAGGTGGGAGTATTACGAGACACAAAGGTGCGAAAAGAAGAGCCCTCCCATAGAACCAATAGAGCGCATCCTGGAGGCAGCTCCTCCGAGTGAGCTCACATTCCTCTATGCGTATTCCTCTACGGTGTTCATATGGGTTCATCCGGAGCGTATTCGTTTCGAAGGCTCACTCTTGCACATCTACATGATAACAACCCGCCACTGTTCGCCGGTGGAAGACGGAAAAGTTCGGCGACCGCGCAGCCGAGACCTTCTATTACTTCTGCTACTGTCGGAGTCTTTGACCCGTCCGTACCTTACTATCACTACCGAAGACCCCCTAGCCGGCCTCCGAGCAGACCCCCCAGCAAACCGCCAAGTAATCGGAACTCGGCGGCTCTCAGTCGGCATAACACAGTCAGATCTCATCAATTCGCATTCTACGATGGTGAGTCTTATGTCAGATAGCGCTTGATTGGCGCAAACCGAAACAATTCATTCATTTTCTCACGTGTTGACATGTTATTCATCTTTTCATCGCATCATTAGTGGCCTTTTCGCGGGCCCCATCCGACGCTCCTCATCCGCTATCCGTTTTCACCCATCACTATCACTCAACCTTGGTCGATGGAGAAATTTATTTGTTTATGTGCGTACAAAACTATGAAGAGTTGAGCGATAGGAGGGGTGAATTCCGGTGGCAGGATACGAGATTCTTCTTTTTTCAAACGATTCAGAACATAAAAGTTTGATAGTTGGAGGATGGAAGAAGAGGCCGCTCCTCTTTTATGTGAGCCATGAAATTCGATGCCTTCTGTTTATTACTGGATGATCCTTGATTTGATTGGGGGGAAAAGTGACAAATCCTGACAGAACTCATAAGAGAAGGCCACGAACCCGCGAATTTATAAAATTCTAGGCAATTTCTCAAAAATCAGATGTCGGACTGAAATGAAAACCCCTGTCAGACTGAAATGAATTTCAACAGAATATGACACATTCACCTGTGGCGTCATTTTATTTTCTTTCTTCTCCTCTTGCTCCTTCTCTTCTTCAAGACAATTGAAATGAAAAAAAGGATTTGGTGGTGTCTTGCGTCTCACAACAAAACTAGTAAAGAGGGAGTGTTTAGATGAGGCCCCGGGATCGGTGCCGCAACCTCTTCTCGCGTTTCGTATTTCCTTTCTCGTTGGCCGCCCTCCGGATATCTGCAATTGCCAACACAATCGACACCCGCCCTCCCACCTCCACCGTCATCGACTATTTTTGAAACTTTTGAGAGCGCCGCCCGTAGTTGGTAGTTGAGCAACTTTTGCCAAAAGCACTAGTTCGTCCATATTTTTCGCCCTATTAGTCGTGTAATCAATCCGACGACGGATCCGACGGATCAAATGACTAGTTCGGGTTAATTTGGCCGTGCCATCTGCCCGTTGGCCCCCTTCTCACTTTTTGTGCCCCGACCACTAGCACCAGCACTCCAAACTCTGATGGGATCGTTGGGAGTCGGACGTATATTTCAAGTTGTTCAAAAACCACAATTACGTCTTCCGCTTTCCGATTTAGCTTTTGTCTCCTCCCTCCCCGAACACTGTCTTCCGCCACTTTTCAGAGGTAAGTCAAGGACTCCTAAATGTTGTGAATCTGTATTAAGAGGGGCAAATTTGTGGGTAAAAAACAAGGAAAACAATGTCCCAAAAGACGTTGTCCGATTAGATTAACGAAAGGGAATTATAGTGCTCACTCATCCTGGTCCCTTCCTCCCACTTCTTCTTCCTCAGCTAACCAATACCCGATTTCAGAGAACATTGGTCGAGTGAAATGGGAAGAATATAATCGAAGAGAAGGTATTGAAGATGTGCCGGAGCAGCCTATTGTGGTGCGGGTGCCGATTTGGAGGAGGATATTGAAAGTAATCCGAATTCCCATCAGAATAAGAGTTCTATTTTGATGTTTAGCTCTTAAAAATCCTTCTACCTCATGTCGGTCTCAATGTTCTCTTATTATCGTATATTGCCATGGGAGCAACGATTTTCATTTGGTTAGAAGCTGATCATGAACTGGAAGGCAGAAAGGTCAGTTTTGCCTTAAAGCAGGCCTGTCACTGATGAATTAGTGCTCAAACTACTTATTCTATTGCATGAAGCTTATGAAGTTACACTTTCCTTCGCTCTACTTCAAAAACCCCTTAATTTTAGTCACTCACATCATAAGATCCACTGATTTAAAAAAAAGGTCAACTAAGTACTTGTTGGAAATTATGTACTTAATAACTTTGTCATTCAGCATTTTATCCCAAAATCCGTCATTCTTGAGTTATGATGTTATGATGCAGGCCCTAAATATGATTTTTGACAAAATTGATGTAACTAGTAGCTTGAGCACCAATTTTTAAGTGTTTAATGACAGACCTCACTTAAAGACCAGAGTTTTAGGATAAGGTGAAACACGTTTTCGGCATTTACTCCCAAATCATCAACGAAACCATTGCTCTTTCATCGAATCGAAGTGACGCGGCAACTGTGGAGAGTCGGATAAGGCCTCTCTTAGCGACATTGTCAAAAGCCCACGAGTACGACGATCGATTCACAGATGCGAACCAGCTATGGACCGGCGAAGAGGAAGGAATGACCACCAGATGGACTTTTGCCGCCGCTACCCTTTATGCTCTTACTGTCATCACTTCCACTGGCTCGTTACATAAGATTCTTTAAAACAAAATAAAACCACGTTTTACAGGTTACGACCACGTGACTCCTTCCACAGACCCCGGAAGAATCTTCACAGTATTTTTCGGACTCATAGGTATTCCATTGATGTTCATCACTGCCGCCGACATTGGAAAGTTCTTGTCGGAAATTGTTATCCGGTACGTTTGAATTTTCAACAAACCAATTGAACACTTGCATTTTGTAGAACATATGCAAAACTATTAGCTATGTGGAAAATGATAGCCAATCTAGTGGAACTGGTTAGGACGCATTTGTTTGACACCGATGTGGATTCGATTGATTCTATGTGAGCACCACTCAAATTTGTATTCATGTTTCTCAAATTGTTATTTTAGGGAGCTAAAGAAGAGTAAAAAGCGGAACGCAAGCAGTTTGGATGACGAAGAGTGCGAGGACGAGGAAGACCGATTACAATTGCCTATCGCCAGTTATTTCACACTGATTATCGGCTACTGTTGTGTCGGAAGTTTGTTGTTCAACACGTTTGAAAAAGGACCTATCTGGTAACTTTCTGAGATGACACAACTATTGTTCTGTTCTTTGCTCAGGTCTTTTATTCATGGAGTCTTCTTTTCATTCAATACTATCACTACAATCGGTCTTGGAAATATTCGTGTTCAGCAGCATTACTATCTAGCGGTATGATTCTTCTTTTTCAGCTGTCGTTTTGAGAATCTGTTTCAGTTGGCAGTTTCCTATGTGATTATCGGATTGGCTGTGATCACCGCTTCCCTGGATCTGTGCTCATCTACACTCAAACGGACTTTCACCAAACTTCACTACTTCGGACGCAAGATTCGTGGTGCCAGACGTGGATTCGCAAACATGAGTGATGATATACGAGAAGCTATGCGAATAATTGCTGCCCTCAAAAAGACAAGGTCAGAATTAACTGTGAACGTTCTGTTTTCTTCTGAAATCAATATTTTTTAGACCTTCCAAAGACCGTATAACCCTGGAAGACCTGAAACGTTTTCTGGAAGTCCAGGAGCACTTGCTCCGTCAACCCTACGTCCCTTACAATGTGCACTTGCTGCGATGGATCGAAGACAATGTTGGTCCGCAGATGGTAAAAACATACGAGATTTATTGATATCTGTGAACTTCTCAGAGTGTTTCGTACTTTGCTTATTCATATTTTTATGCACTTTAGTTTGTCTGAAATGTTGTGCACGGAATTGTAACGGAAGAGCACATTTGAGTCCAAATTGAACATTGTTTCAGAAAAATGAGTTTTCCATAGCGGAACAAGTAAGTTGATGCTAAAAAAACCGTGTCAAAAGGCTGAAGTTTTTGTGTCAAAACGTGTTTCTCTATCATTTCGAATTAGAGCCACATATTTTTTATTGAGTTTGTTTTTATTCAAGTCAGCCTCTTGCTTTTCCTTCTCGATTTTCTAGCCTACATATCATTTTGCATCCGCAGACGTGATCTCGATTGTTCTTGCCATTCACATGTAGTATTTCGGAAATGTCTCATTTTTCAGTACGCTCAATACATGGATGACGTGTCGGGTGGAAAAACGCCAATGTCGCCGTCGCGGCTCTCCCACAAAATGTCTTCCAGTGACCCGATGCTCTTTTTCTGATCAAATGCCCGTTCTACTCGGTATATCACTTATAATATCAGGTTTCATTACCGTTGCCAACAACCATTAGACACTATTTTCCTCTTCATTTTAGCCCTAGTCAGTCATTTGACTTTTATATCATTCTAGAAAGTTTCTTCTCGTTCCACTTTCCTTTATTCTTTGATCTAGATGGGACTACCTAAAAACTTTCATACAAACGTTGGTGATTTAAGTTTCAAGTCCACTTCAGCATGTATCTTTCATTCTGATCTTTTTCCAAACACTTTCTTCCCTCTTTTACTGTTCCCGTTTTTTTGGAAGTTGCGAATCAAACTAAATCAAATCAAAGGACCAAAGGGGGTTTTTGAAGATCGCAATTACCAAAACCATCACTTCCGCCACCAAATTGGGCACATTAATGTCTTTTCTTCTGTTTTTCTCATTTCCAAATGTGATCTTATAGGGTTTTTTCTCATTCTATTTTATCACTACTAAATTCAAACCAATTCGTTCTTAACTCCCCCCTCCTCCAATCTTGAAATGACCACCATTTACCGATCAACCAACATTCGAATTTGAGATAATAAATCTATTTATTCATTGGCTTCAATTGACAACAACAAAATTGATTCTAAAATGAAAAAAGGATGATTATGCTGAATACAGATTATGGACGAGCTTGACGAGAGTTGCAGTGCATTTGTGGAGTTCATCTTTCGGAATGAACTCATTTTTCGAGTGAGCATTCTTGATTGAGCCCCCACCAAACAGATACTTTGCCTTGACCTTGTCCTTGGCGTCAAAGTAGGGAATGTCAGTGTTGAAAGAGACTTGGTCAAGATGGGCTTCAATTGGTGGAGCATCCAAGATCACCGGGTCATTGTAGCTGAGCAGGGTGACCTCCGCGCGGCCTGCAAAAAATTCATACTTTTTCCTGTAATTGACTGGTTCAAAACCTTTCACGACACCTTTCAGCAACTCCTGAATGTTCTTGACAGAAGTGACAACCCGGAAGAAAATGTCGGCTTCACAATGCGCCGCCCACGCATTCAAAGCTTGGCCGCCAGCGATCTTTCCGACGTTGTAGGTGGTATCTCCGTATGTCCCATCGCACGGCCATTTGAAATTCTGGACATCGTGGAGAATCTCGACCATCTTATGGATTGCACTAGTTCCAGAATCCGGGTACCCAGAATGACCAGCCTGTCCAGTGACGGTCAACTTGACCTGAAAGTTATGTTATCCAAAAAAAGTGACTTTAAAACAAGAATATCTCAAGGCAATTGCGGACCTTGAGAGCTCCTTTTTGAATTGTTCCAAACTTGAGCTCAGTTGGCTCTCCGACAAGCAGATATTCGGGAAGTATCTCCAGTTTATTCGCTTCCTGAATTCAAAAAATGAAAACGTTCGGTCTCGGTCCCTTACAATCATTCCGATATGATCGAGTTCTTCGCCGACCACGAAGAGTAATCCCAATGTCCTGGCAACATCCTCCTCAGTTCTCGAAATAATGATTGCGGCGGTGACCATCGCGGCTAATTGCCCTGGAAAACTTTCATCTTAATTTCCACCCAAAGTGCAAAAGTCATGTGGTCGAACGAGACAAACGATGATCAATCTCACTTATAATTGTCTTGTTCGCTTCTTTGCAAAACTTTGCCGTCACTTTTTTCGGCGTGTGGATACACCGGAAAAAAACGAGATCGTAAAAGAGGTGCCTTACACATCCCGCTCCCGCGCTTTCTCAATGGATTCACGACACCATTGGGTACTAAAAACTATGTACGGCAACATTTTCATTTTCTGCAGCAGCAGAACACTTGGAACTAAGTGACCGAAGGTCACACCCTCCCACTTCCTGTTGAGAACCGAGAATTCAGAAAACCTTTGGCATCATTCGACCCGTTTCCGTAAATGTTCTTGTCGTCTTGGGTGGGTGGAAAGTACGGGGGAACAGTGTCCAAATGAGTGTTCAATAGCACTTTGACGCCTGAAATGACTTCTTCGATATCTCAAGTGCCTACTGTGTACGGTACGCTACTTTTTGGGTCAGAGTTGCGGAAAGTGGCAAAGACGTTGAAACGGTCTGTGTTCGGAATGATCTGTTTGTACACGGTCCAACCATGTTCCTCTAGGTCTTGGGCGACCACTTCAGCGAATTTTGCTTTAAAACACATGCAGTTGGGAAAAAGAAGAAGAAGAAGAAGCGACAATACCTTCATTTCCAGTAGTTGACGGATGGCTCATATACTCCAAAAGTCTCTTTTCCACTTCCTCTTCCCATTTGACGGTCATGGCGCCAACGGCAGTCTGTAACGACAATAAACAATAAATACAATCTTGTTTACCAAATGCTATCATCCGATTCATTTCCGAGATTTCTGACTTTTATTTGAAGGCCGTTCGTGAACTGGTTTTGTATTAAAAAACGATACAATTTACTGGGTGCGAAAAACTTGACTTCTCACTTGAGAAAGTAGAAAGTAAATAGGTAAGAGGACATGAATTAAATAGAAATACTGATAGTGAGATGATACCTTATCAATTAGGGGAACACGTGACAATTGTAGACAGAATAACAGTAGTTGGAAATTGGAAACTAAAAATTAAAAGTCACTGAGAGTGGATCGATGACACTTTATATTTATTGCCGATGTTATCATAAAAACACGCGATTTGTTGTGATAACGCCGCAAAACCGCAAAATAGGCCATTTCTAAAAGAAGAAAAGCAATAAAATATAGACGCACTATCACGATCGGTTCCCCCGAAAGAAAGCAACAATAATCAGAGAGAACTTCATATAAATCTGAAGATTGGTTCATTATCGAAATGACATTGAAAATGACAGAAGAAGTGAAAATACGAGAAAAATTGTCAATATTCTAAAGAAAAGACTCGATGGGATGATGGAAGCTAGAAGAAATTTCAGCTCTAGAATCTTATTCGTATGGGGACAAAAAATTTTTTTTATTAAGTTTAACCCGTAGTTGTGAGGCGACCAGTGATGGTCTAACAAGTAGAACATTCAAGGAACAATACCTATATCTCGATTAAGAAAAGAAGGGGGAAACAGTGTTTTTTTGAGGGAAGAGGAATGGTACCGATTGCAAGTGACATAGATAACTGGGAGAGCGATCAAGAAGAGAGAGTTTTGGGGGGACGGAAAGAAGAGGATGTTGTATTTACAGGAGGAAAAGTGATAGGTGCGGTTGAGCCGATGAAACGGAGACAATAAATACAACATTTAAAAGGGTCACAAATATGATAGGGGTACTTGTTCTGCAGAGATGATGCATCTCTTACAGTTTTCGTCGGAAGTCGCAGGTCCTCAGGTTACAGTACTGTTTCTCATATTGCTGACCATCACAGTTACCGCTTCCGTAGCACTTGCGAACACGTTTGCGGACTCCATCACCACACGTTTCACTGCACGACGACCAGTAGCCCCATCCTGAAATGATGTAAATTATTCATCTGTTTTGGAGTTTTCTGGACAATAGGGGGGAAACGGAAACAACAGAGGAAAGACATTGGTTCCTGATTTTTTGACCCCTTACAATTTGCGATGTGTCATTTCTTGGGTGTGTTCGCTCAACCCTCACGTGATCCATTCCCCCGTCAATTCACAACCAGAAAATAATGAGATTCTAGGTTAGGTCGTTCAAGTTTGGCCGCAATCTCTCACCATCTTTCAATGAACCGAAATGACCGGCAAACAATAAATCTACTTCTGTGTCCCCCCTCCCCTTCCCTCGTAATTTTCATTGATGGTGATTGCGAAAAACAGAAAGAGAATCGATAGGATTGGTTTTTGTTTTCGCTCGCAATCAGAATATCATATTTCCCATCGGTTTTTGCAAACCAATCTGCCGCCTGTGCAGAAAATGGCGACGAAAGAAGGAAGGGAACGCGCGGCGCGGCGGCGAGATGATATCAATCAGATCAAAACACCTTTTGCAGAAGGCGTCGGATCCTCTTTTCCTATTTTTCTATTTTGAGACTAGACACACCGTAAGTCATCTTTGTCATCGGAGTACGCTTTGACATGTTGTGGTGCAAGACAAAGGGTAAAGGGCAAGTTGGAAAGAAAAACAACAGAAAACAAACAACACCACAAAGGGTTTCAGTTTGAGAAGACGACAATAGTCGTAACTTACTATTTTACGATTAAAATGTAATTTCATTATCTGAAGTTGAACGTTTTTAAGGACTATTTTCCAGGCAAATCCCATTTCCTGGGGAGAAAGCCGGTTTACTAACCTCCCCAAGCGGCATTCCGGTTCTCGCAGTCCCTATCGTTGCAGATCGCCGACTCTTTGTAGTTTCCAGGACAGTTTCCCGTTCGACACGTTCTCGTTCTCCTCTTCACTCCTGCTCCGCAGCTCACAGAGCACTGCGACCATCCGGACCACGTTCCCCAATCACTGTCGTTTGACGTGGCGCACGCTTGCTCGTTACAGAATTGCTGCTCGGAACTCGCACCCAAACATCCGCTTCCGAAGCACGATCGGCTTCTGCTTCGGAGACCTCTTCCGCACACTCGACTGCAGTCGGACCACTCATTCCAGAGTGACCACACACCGTCGTTTTGACACGTGGCTACATTGCAAGACCTGCGTTCGTGCGCTGATCCATCACATGGCTCCTGAAATAGGAAATATGGTTTAATGTTTTTTTTGAGTTATCACATACTCTATTGCAAGTTCTCTGTCTAACCAAGGTACCAGGTCCGCAAGAAGTGGAACACGTGCTCCATGTACCCCAAGTTCCCCACACACCAACAGCCGTGCATGGACCGTTGTCGCATGATCGGACTTCGATGTTCTTTTCTGGAAATAAATGACACATCCAACATGCTCTTGAATAATCATGTTATATATAATATTAGTTTTGTTAGAGTGAGAAAGAAAGAAGAAAAAAGAAGAACAAAATGCGTAGGCGGAAGCGATGAGGGAAAATATACATAGATATCTTCTCTTCCCTCACTTCAAACTAAGGAAAATGTTAGAAGTGTTAGTAAACCTTTGAAAAATGTGATGCGAAGCTCGTCGGTGACTTTGCTCTCACCAGGGCAGTCAAATGCCAAGGTTCGGTGCGGGCTGAGACATTTGCGATATCTGGCCTGTGATCCTCTTCCGCAAGACACCGAGCAATGGTTCCACTCGGTCCACGTGCTCCACTCGTTTCCGGTTCGCAAAATAGATGGACACTGCTCGGATCCGCAAGTCTCCGTTTCATCCTCACTTCCCTCGCATTGGCCGTTGATTGAACAGGCGCGGTTTCTAAAAAAAAAAGAGGGAATTGGAGAATTGTAACAGGTTTTTCAAATATTGTACCTTTTCCTGTATCCACCCCCGCAGGTGACTGTACAACTTGTCCACAAACTCCAAATTGACCAGACTCCCTGGAAGACAGAGGAGGGCTGATCGGTGATCGGACACGTGTCGGTCGGACAGGGAAGGTCGCGGCTCACGAGAGCGTTGTTATTGCAGGCGAGAGCCAGACACTCTCCATCGAGACAGTATCTATCATAACCGCAGCTGGTACCATCCGGAAGATTGTCCCCGAAGAATCGGTAATTACGTTGGCTTCCGTAGTGTTGTTGAACATCACAGAACACCTGAAACAAGAAATAAAATGTTCGCTACCATTTCTAAAGCGATTAATTTTAATCATTCGATATCAGTCTGTTAATTGATTAACTTTGATCGAAAGAAATTTCATTATAATTTATGACTTGTACTTCCTGTCTCTCTTTTCTAACCACGAGGCATCAAATTTCGTTATCAAATTAGCGACAACACCGGTATTGAAACGTTGGAGATAAACCCAAAGAAAGAAGACGACGAAACAAGTAGGATGTCCCCCTAATCACATACTTTGCAGGCTCGTTGTGGGAATCGGTTGAGTTGACTACCCTTTCCAGTCAGTTCGCGGTCGTTCTTGATGCGTTTCTGTTCCATACACTTTTCGCTGATGTACTGAAAACGGACAAAACGATAAAGAAGGGCGTCGACGACATGAACGGAAATTACCTCGTCGACAGACTTAGTGGCACGACCACACTGACGAGAACAAAGAACTGCTCGAGACGTGGAACCGACGCAATCGCTTCCGCCGTTTGCCGGATACGGAGCAGAGCATGTTCTTCTGGAGATCGAAAGACCAACGGATCCAAGAATTCCATTGCAGGTGCATTGAGAGCAGACTGTAGCTCCCCAGCCGGACCAAGAACCGTCGATTCTCTGAAAATACAATGATGAGCAACAAAGAAACCCTAAAAAAGTTATACCGATGGGAGAGTAGTAGCAACTGGAGGTTGAGCCGTGACTGGAGGAACGATTTCGTTGGTTGCGGTCCATGGAACGCATCGTCCCAGTTGACACCATTTGCTCGGTCCACAGAAAGTACCTGTCAAAGTTCCACTGTACTGTGTGAGAGATGTATGATCCCTTTCTGGGGTCAACTGATTGTTTGATGCCCTCCAATAAAAAAGTTCATTGCCCTCCTATTCTCCGGTTGCGGTCAATTTCACACGCCGTCTCACAACTTGTGTTTTATTTCTATTTTTCAGAGCGCATGCGCGAGAAACAATCTGGTCCTTGTTCTTTTTGTTTTGTACCAACCTTCGAGCGCCGGATGCGAGGTAATAATTCTGCCGAATGACGACTGACCGCACCACATCATGTAGCAAATGCCATCGTACGAGTCTTGACGAGGTGTGACCTGCAATAAACAACAATGCCCCGAGGGTCAATCATCGGGAAGCTGAATTTTCATTCAATTTCCCCTTACAAATTTTATGTGGTGGTCTGGTAAAACGTCCCTATTTTTAACTAGCCTTCTTCCACCCCCCTCCCAAAGTTTGACGTCGCCGAAAGGTTTCTTTCTCCAATGAGGACGATGCGCAAATGAAAAAGGAGAAGAAAGCCAGCATGATGAGAGAAAAGTGACAGCGACACGGAAAAGAGCGCACGGGACGGAGAAAGAGAAGGGAGGGGGCCGAAGAAAAACGATATTTGGTATACGGTGTCAATATCGTTTTCTTGAAGGCTACCCCTGCTGGTGATGCTGCTGCTGCTGCTGCGGGCGCCTATATCGCCGGAAGTGGCGGGGGAGCGAATAAAGAATCGAATGAACATCTTCTTTTCTTCTTTTCACCCGATTCGAGAGGAGCGTACCGGTCAAAGAATGAATCGGTTTTGCGAAAGATAAGTGTTGCACCCCTCAGACCCCTAGGAAATATTGGCATTGGGAATGATTAACGAGGCAAAATCTCTGCATTTCAATTCAATTCCAACCCCCACCTGCTGATATCCGTTTCCATGCATCAGTTCGCATTGAAGATTCGCATCATAGATTTGTCCGGGTTTCACGTTCGACGAGATTTCCAACTTGGATGGCATATTTGAAACGCGTAGGCAGTTTTTTCCGCGTCCACTGCAACAAATGTTGTGTTCCTTGTTGAAAAAGGTTATATCAAGTGCGTGTCTCATTACAATTAACGCACATGACAGAAATTAGTTCAGACAAAATGCGAAACCCTTCTAGGTAATGAAGCAGAAACGTACTCAAGACGTTGTAGGAACTGATGATAATCTCTCAGCGAACAAGTTGACCACGTGACTTTTCCGGGTCCCAACGACGACGACATGATGTGTTTGGACTGGCAGTACGGCTCGTCGTGACGCATTCCGACACTGGAAAGCATTAACCAATTATGACACCGTAACCCGATCTTGATAGCCGCTTCCGCTTTGGCCCATTCTTTCTCTCTCTTCTCTCTTTCATGTCTTTTGACCAAGGTCTTCTCACCTGTGACCAAGTTCATGCGTGCCGATGAACGCCGAAGTGAAATCCAATCCTTCAGCAAGTGTACACGTGTTCCACGGGTCGCACATTCCATCAAGTCGAGCAATTCCGGAGATTGAACGCGATCCAGCACCTCGATGAATGTCGTAACTGCAAAACAATCCCCCAACTAATTAGTCGTGTCCTTTTACGCCATCTCGCTTTCGAGGAAGAGCGAGGTGTGTCTGTTTCAATTACCCAGTCATCATAATAGCATGATCCCAATCACGGACGGCTAGATTTCGCTGGTATCTGCAGAACCGATCCAAGTACATTTGAGCGTTTCCGTGATTGTGAAGGTATCCGGCAAGAGCGGCCTACAATTTTCAGATTAGACACCCCCATCTCATTCCATTGTACTATCGGTTTCTTACCGGTTGTCTGGTAAGCACTTCATATCGGATGACACGGAAAGTGAGTGGAGGACTTGCCGTCGGCTGATAGTACATGATCTGGATGTTGTTGAGAAGAGTCAAAGTGTAATCTTGAAGTTTTCTATCCGCCATTCCGCCGTACTTGCTGCTGAAGTGTCGCCAGAGGTTCTCATCAACGAACACGGCCAATTCGACCTGCAAGCAAAAAGTGGAGTGGTTCATACAAAAGTAAATTGACTTACAATCAGGTCGGATTCTTGAGTGAGACTCTGGCCGGTTATGAAAACGTCCTCGAAGATTGCACTCTCATCTTCGACCAAGGACTCTTCGGTAACCACATTGTCGAGACCGCAGAAGTCATTTGGCTCTTTGCTAAGAGTTTCTCGTTTGTAAACCACATGAGCTCCGTTCTCAGTGCTTCTCTTCGAGCGATGAGCATGATGGTCTGGGAATGGGTGGATCACAATGATCTCGCCATCATCAATAACTGTTCCTTTCTGAAAGTTCAAAATAAAAACCCCTCAGGTGCGCTGTCTAACTCACAATACGCCCATCACAATTACTAATCGCCGCATACACTTTTGCCCCGTAATGATGGTAATGACAACTGTTAACGGTTGATCCAAAGTCCAAAAATCCTCCCTTCTTCTCATTTTTCCTAACCATTGTGACACCGGTTGAGAGCAACTTTTCAAGAGTTGGCTCTAACGTCAAGTTGTAATTCTTATTGAATGCCGTGAATTCCAGTGAATGCAGACTGCCATTCTGATGATAATATGGCATTGGGTCGACTTCCTCATGCTTTGGCACTGAAAACGATTTCATTGTCTTTGACTATGTCTTTTTTGTTTGCAGGGGAAGTTACCTTCGGCATGAGATTCAACACCGAATGTATATTTCAAATCGTCCTCGTTGAAGAACGGAAGAAACGCGATTGCATTCTGAAATATTGTTCCGTGTTTGAATGAATGATGAGGATGATGTGATTAGTAGTATTACGCTCTTGGCAACTTTTTGACCTCAAATAACCTTCTTCCCGTCCTCCGAGTGCTACAATGTAGTTTAGCCCCATTGCGTGGGAGTTCATCGACACAAAAACTTGACAGAACACCCATGAAGGGGAGAAAGAAGGAAAGAAACACTTGCGAGTGTTGTGTTTACATGTGGCTGTGTAAATTATGTGTATTTTCAAGTGAAACACTGTCGACGTGCAGATATGATATCATTTTGCAGCAGCTGCGACGCGCTGGCGCCATGAACTGTACGTTTTCAAGTGGACTTTTTTCCAGACAAAAAATGAAGGTCACCCCCATACTAATCCGTGTAGTTAAACCCAAAAACTTGACGATGACTGTAACCGCGGGAAGTTGTAAATAAAACTTTGCAGCCAAACCAAGCAAGACAACAGCTGTTGTTCCCCCGCAGAAAAGGTCAGAAACAGGAAAGATTTCAAGTTTTGGCACTGCAAACTAAGCGTGGATTTGATTGACTTGGTCGGGTTTTGACTACACACACACACACACACGACGTTCCTTTTTTCCTTCCAATACCGACATTTTGTCATCAAACGACGCTTGCGGCTGCAGCCAGAAGACGTTAGGAAGGATATTCGTTTTGCACCTTGTCAATTCCGCCTTATCACAGTCCGAGGCGCGTATTTCTCTCCATTCCCGCACGTTCTTTCCTCTTTCGCTCTCCAAAGACGTCTCATATCCGATTGTGGACGGGAAGGGAGAGGGGGGGGGGGCGAAAAAAGAGACTCTTCCTTGTGAAGTGACTTTTCCCGCGGGAAGGCTTGAATGAAAAGAGAGGAGAAGGAGGAGGAGCGGATATCAGTTAGATACACTTGACGCGTTTGTAAACACATAATGTGATCCGTATCGTTAACGTCAACCTCTCGCAACACACAGTAGTACTGTCGGGAAGCCAGACTCGCCGGTGAGGGGTTCTTATCCATAAAATTGTTACAATCTTTTTTGGGGTTTTGCCAATTGAAGATGATGGCGACAACGACGGCACTGGCAGGAATTCGAGAAACGGAAGACAATGCGGCACCTTTGAGTGGCAAAGGACACTTAACTTTTACTGACTCGCTCTGTTTCTGGACAGACACACAGACAGAAGCAGCAATTCCTTTTTATGCCGATTGTTTCACTTTTCCATCTTCTCGCCTCCGTTTGCTGCTAATTTTCAAAGATCCCCATCAGTTTTGGAGAGGCGCGAATTTGACGAAAAAGAGACGAGAAGGTTAAAACAATTGAAAACGATGGAAGCGGTTATCCTCGATGAAATCTAGGGAGTTTTCTGGCGAGTTTTTCGCCCGATCTCTTCTTTTCTAAGCTATATGTTACGTTATATGCCCGAGCGTTCTGCAGCTTCTGCTGACTATCTCTGCAGTTTTATCTAAATGGCTTTTACGCAACAACAAGCTCTCTCTCTCTCTCTCTCTCTCTCTCTCTCTCTCTCTGTCTCAATTGTGGCCCGACAGTTCTGCAATTCCTCTTCCTCTTTCTCTCGCTCGCGTTTTCTCGGTTCATCGTCATCAATAGGGAAATCAGTGTTTTAGTTGTGAAACGCAACGAAACTGGTCATATTCTCCCAGAAAGTAGCCCGCGCAAGAGGGGACACGGGCTTCGTGTCCGTCAGTTTGGCGCCTTTCCTGTGGCGCGACCGCCGACACCGAGACAATCAACAAAACCGAACTGATGATCACAACGGAGAAGGGGGATTGCGAGAGAGAGAAAGAGAAAGAAACAAGACAGATACACTCGAGAGCGCCTTCTAACCTTTTTCCGTTTGGGGTTCGATAGCAGAGAGTTGCAAAGTGCGCAAATTGGAGAGGTGCGCGAGAAAAATGGGATGAGAATGAACAAAATGCCCTTGACTGGAATCTTCAAGGCTAAACAGTTACGCGCTTCGGTTTTCACCCCCGCGATGGCCAGCGGCGGCCGTCTTCTCTTCCATCCTTTTCCTGCCGGTCAGTCCGATGGCGCAGGCGGGGGTGCGGAAGTCAGCGTGGGCGGCCGGTGAGAAAGTAAAGTAAGTGGGGAGAAACAGAGGTCAGACCACCTCAACGAAACCGAAACAAAAAAGCCGTGGAAGGCATGAGAATGACAAATATGATGAAGCGTGGGGAAGACGAACTGATTCAAGTGCGTTAGAATGCGGCGAGTCTTGAGGTCAACAAGTGGTGGGTAACAGAAGTATGTTCGCGCCTACGATGATGGCAGATTACGGTAGACACTAGGCTAGACGCAAGAAAGAGAAATCAAACAACCGGAATTCAACAAGTTGTACAAGATGATCTTACCAAAAACACAGCAAATACGATATGATTAGAATTGTGGAAGTTTGGTAGAAAGCAGAATGGAAAAGGCTACGGCTAACAATTAGGTCAGTGAATCAAAAGTTGCAATTGACAAGCAAAAAGGACTTACTCGAAAAAGCAGAACGCTGACTAGCAGCGGTAGAAGCATGGTGTTGATCTGGAGGTTGGCAGAAGGAGCCAAGAATGAGACTATGCAGATTCACAACGACTGGCCGCGGGTGGGCAGCTCGGTCCTTCGTGCAATAATGCTGAAACAAGGATCGAATGGGTGGGAGGAGGTGGTTGAGGTAAATAGTAAAATATCCGAGGGAAGAGAGGGGGAGGGTCTCAAGCGAGACACCTTCTCGTAGCCCCAAAACGTTTTCCTCGGGTTTGCTTCGTCTCCTGTGGGCGTGTCTACTGTAGACGTCGTCGCTCACGCCACCACTCACACTCACTCTTCACACACTCACTGCGGTCGTTAGTCGTTCTTTCTTCTACGATACATACATACGAAGACGCTCACGCCGACACTCACCACACGCACAGAAGTAGATGGAAAAGAAGACGAAGGAAAAGAAAAAGAAGAAGAAACAGACCTATCGGAAGGAAGCAAGAAGTTGAATGGATAGATTGTGTTGTGTGAATGTGTGTGACACCGTCGCTGCTTGATGAACGACGCAAAAGGATTCTGGCACTGAAAATGACCGCGGTCCGCCTTCCGAAACCGTCTTGAATACAGCTCGCGACGCCTCCCACGCCTCTTCCCTCCGCCTCCTCCTCCTCCTTTTCCCTCCCTCCCGCCTCGCCTCAAACGACTCGTGATTACCGAGGAGGACATTGAGGAGGAACGGAAGTAGACGTGAAGCAAGAGAGACGTTAGACAAGTTGTACGGTTTAGTGCACGTCATTTGCAAAGTGTGATGGATCTCGTCTGAGTGGGCGGTGGCTCCCTCCCGACTGCCTAATTGGGTTCGGATGGGACTACGGTATAGGTGTTACCGGATCGTGTGGGCGATGGCAATGTTCCTAATTAATTAACGACTGAAGTTTCAGTATTGGAGTTTGGTGCTTGCTATAATAAGAGAGAGGGAGAGAGAGAGGCAAACCAAAACCAATCTATCACTTCCGCTTCGGGTTTGATCACAAACATAGAACACTTTTTGCAGACACCTCCTCCCTTCTAAGACCTAACTTACCAAAAAAAGTTGGCAGTAAGGAAGTAAGAAACACAACTCAACAAAGATCGAAGTGCCGAAGACAGTCGGACCCCTAATAAGCTTATTTTGGCTTGTTTGTTCGTCCTTCTGCAAGAGTGAACAACGGAAATAAAGTCAAAGTTAGGAGTGGTTTTTCGATTGAAGCCATCATAGCCAAAACAAAAAAAATTGGACAATGAATGAAAAAAGACAGCAAATTGTTAGTATCCTGAAAAAATCCTGCAAATGTCATCAGAGTAATGATGTCTGAACAATCATCATTATATCGTCGGGCGCTAATACACATCCCCCTTTACTCTTTCACCTTCTCAATCCACCCTTTTTTCTGGTCACTGCCACTACTATTTGTAGTTTGCATTCATTTCATAATTGGTCAATGTCGGAACGGTCAAGTAAGGTTGACACTAATAGCATCTCCCTCACTTTTCCAGTTGACGGATTTCTGACATTTCAGACAGCCTCGAGGACATTTTCCGTACGTTTAGCCTTACTCGTTCCAAATCGAGACAAGGGAAAGGCATTTTTTTTTTTGAAAATGATACCGATGATTGATAGTATGTTACTTGGTGCCAAGCTAGTCATGGTCGTTGATCATCATCTCTCATATCAACACGAGATATGTACGCCTATAGTAAAGTTATGGCATCGAACAATCAAAATCTTTGATCCAAGAATCAAGTCTCCCATTCTGAATTTTCGAAAAAGACGTTGAGTCGAGTTCAATTTAAAACATCTCGTGTGATTTCTAACTAAATGTCTCAAGTGCTGCCTCCAGTACTTGAAAATTTGTGTTGATTAGATGATTAGGCGAGAAGGGTTGACATCCGCCAGGCGGGAGATCAGTCAACCACTCCTTATCATTGGGCCTCTTCCTCCTCCTCCTCCTGCCCAAGTTCAAAACCGTTTGATTGATCACCTTGTCGTCGAGCATTTCTGTCACCCAATTACTGGTCGCTTCTGGTCATAACAACAGCAGCGCCAAACAGAAAAGAGAGAAAAAGACCGGACAGGAAACTTGTCTGAGGAAGCCGACAGATTCATTCCGATTCCGTTGTGTGTTGCTATTTCTGGTAGGACGCCCTCTGAACGCCTACGTAATCGTGGAGAAAGCGCCGTCTATTTCTGAGGACCGCCACGACGGGAAAAATGTTAAAGCAAACAGAGACTCGTGTTTTGGCGTGCCCGGTTTTCCCTATTCGTCATCCGGACTGTTCGATTTCGACATTATTGTTGGCAATAGTGCAATCCCATCGGAAGCGGCGTCCCGAAAAGGAACAGGGGTAGAGGATACACGTGGCTATAAAGTGTCGATTACCGGTCCGACCGAATTTAAGTGTTTTTTATTTGTTGTCTACCGTTTTCAGTTTATTCAAAGCAAGCAAGACATCAAAAATTGAAGGACAGACGGAATCCGCTTATGTGGTTTGAACCTCGTCCGTGTCTGCGCGCCAGGCACACTTAACAGTAACAATTATTCCGGTATAATTCTTAGTTGTTTCCTTTAGACTATGTCTCACATATATGTATGCCCAACAAGGATTACGGAAAACCATGGTCAAGGAGACTGGGGGCTTAGATTCCATGTACAATTTCCAAAAACAAAAACCAAACTAGACAGAAGGGATGTTCTGTACATAATTCCAGAGGGACCAGAGTGCAGTCACGTGTGGAATTTGAACTTGGACAGCTATTCATTTCTCTTCCGTTTCCAGTACCACCATCATTTCGGCACATCATGTCGTCAAAGTTGACGTCGTCGGAATGGGATAGGATAGCAGGACACTACCACGCGATACGGCCGTATTCAAATCAGCTCGCATTCCATTAGGAAGTGCGTTGGCGTGATACCGTAAGTCGGCGGAAACGATGATGTGTGGGCGAAGAGGGCTTGTGCGTGGTGTTTGGTGAATGTGCGGGCACTTCTCATTAAAGACGTGGGTGGCGGAATTCGAAATATCCTCAACCTCCGATACGTTTGAACATCCTCCAACCTAATTTATATCCACTTTGCATTGTCGCCCACACCCCCGCACACACGCAGTTCCTTGAAAATTTTATCTGATCGGATTTTTTATGTTCCAATCCAATCCTTAAGAATTCAAAGTGCATGTACATGTCGCGAAAGTGCAAAACACTTGAGTCGATTGGGAAATTACCATTTTGCGTACTTTTTTGCACCCGCTGATCTTGTTGCACTACTAAATTCGATTGAAATTGCAAGCAATTTGAGTACGCTTTCTGCAGATGTTGCCGATAATCCTGTGATCGTTTCAGAACGACAAGGATTTTTGATCACGAGGAACCTGACACAACGAATGATTTCACTTCAAGGAACATCTTTTCATCTTACAGTCTCTCCAGTAATTTTTTGTGTTTGTTCATACTTCCGACACATTCAAAAAATGAGACGCCTTGGTACCAAAACCAGTTGAACGCTTCTTCTTTTTCGTCTTCTTCTTCTCGACCACCGTGAAGGCGACCCGACCGGCCATGGCTAATATTACACACTTTTTGGGCTACCGGTTGAAATGCAAACATTATGCAAAGTTCAAATACGGATACATTTTCCGTTCCTGTTTCCGTTCCTGTTCTTTTGTGGCAGAAATATGTTTGATGCTTTCTTAAATGCATAAGGGACCATGCTTTTATTATTACTTTAAGAATAGTGAAATATTGGAGAGCTCGACAATTAGCAACAAGAAACTTTTGGTCATGACGGACAGGAAGAAAATAAATGTTATGTACAATCCGAGTTGGCATTCATAGTGTGCTTTGTTCTTTTCTTTTTTCTTCTAGAAATAGTGATTGCGTCTAGCTTATAACTCTCTTAAGAAAAGCCCACAGTGGTTAGGAAAAGTGAGATGAACCGATATTAGAAAAATACGTATCAATGGAATTAAGGAAGGGATATCCGAAATTTAAGGTGTCTCGGTTTTCACATCAGAATGCACCGAATCGTCTTCTCGCTCATGATAAGTGGTCTCTTCTTCCTCTTCTTCTTCCTCCACTTCCTCTTCTTCTTCATCTTGAGTTTCAGATTGCTTTTCGACGCCATTTGGAGAGCCCCCGCGTGGGGATGGAGACGGGGATCGGGACAGCGACATGATACCCTTCAGTCGGCCTCCAAAAGCCTGAAACGTTTAAGGTTTTATGAAATGGCTAAGAAAATACACTAAAACTTACATTCAAGCCTCCGTCTTTGTGGAAAGTGTCGATGAAATCACGGATAATATCATCGGACTTTGACTTCCACGTGGAAAGCAATTCGATCCCTTTGCTTTTCAATGAATCCACTTTGTTTTGGATCTGATACTTGCTCGCCTAAATTGTGTTTTTTTGTTGAAATTTTGCTCATGGTTATCGCTTACCGCCAAGAAACCGACGTTCAATTCCTTCGGAGAGTATCCTCTTTGCAGATTGCGCCGGACGTACTTGTCATAGTCCCTGATGATTCTGCACACGACGTCACTCGTCGAAACTCCCTCGGTTCTCTCCGTCTCCAAAAACATTCCCTCGTTCCGAAACTTCTCGTAAAGATCCTCTTCGCCCGGGGCAACATAGGGAATCGCATCGTGAGCGATAAAGTCCACCTTGAGTTCTTTGAGAAATTCCACACTACAGAACCACGGAGCCTCCCGGTAGACCTCGTCCACGTATCTGCAGTGACGGACTCCATCGTATCGTTCGGCTTCAGAAGTGACGGTACGTCCTTTGTACTTGTGAGTGTCGCGGTCACCACAAACTGAAACAAGATTTTTGTGATTCTGATTCGGAAATATCTTGAAAATTTTACCTCCGACGATAAGGTAGACGTTCGGGAACATTTTCTTCACTTGGCGGAGCTGATTGGCGTGTCCATGATGGAACAGGTCATAGATTCCGTCGGCGTAGATTCTGACAGGCCGGCCAGCTGGAATAATATATGATTTAATTTTTACATTTTTTTCGAATTTTTTTTGAAATTTTCTCATTCATACGTGTAACAATAGACTTTTAAAGAGATATAGAACAAACTATCTGTATTATGCATTAGAACTGCTGAAATATGCCTCAGTTGAGGCCGTCCGTGCCGGGCGAGAAGAATTTCCATCTCGGCCCGATCCGGACTGTGACAACTATGATAGAAACTGTTTCTGGGAAAAAGGCTAGAGACTAGATCCTCACCTTCGTTGGCTTTTGCCATTTCCTTGGTGATTTTCGTCGAGTAGTCCACAGACTTGCGGATCATGATTGCCGTCTCCTCATCGGAAAACGGAGCCGGTTCGTCGGAAGCCAGACTTCTCGTGACATACTGAACCTCCGTCGCCATCTTCTTCACTTCGACGACGTCATCCGGCTGTGAAGACTCCATTGTGCGCTTCCGTTGCGACATTCTGCAAGACGGCTGCTCATTTTAAGATACTCTGAGGAATTTAATAAATAATGTAGCCTATATGAAGTGCTAGCAGGTCAAACGCGGAGGAGGAGGGAGAATCATCTCGAAACATGTGAGAAAAAAGCCAAGTACGTGTGTTCTACTTATCGAAAGGCGTGGAAAATTGATAAAATAAATGCGAGCGACGGGTGAAAGTTTTTATCGTGTGATTCACAGAAATCGCACCATTTTCTTGATAAAGTGAGAGCTATTTTATCAGTGGCTACGTAGCATAGAAAAAAACTGTCACGTCATCTAATCTGAAACAAAGCCACGTAGCACCCGTCTAATCAACTCGACGAGGAATTTTTTGAATGCTTCTGCTAGCTTTTAGTAACTTGATCGCATTTTTAGAAACTTTTCCGCGCGGGTCTTTCTTTTTTAGCAAAAATATCCTCCGGAAACTTCCAAGCCTAGTTTTCTATGATATTTCATTTAGAAAAAAAGTGTATGACGTGTTCAAATCGACGGCTAGTGTAAAGAAGAATATCTGAGAGGATAGAAGAGTGGAGTCAAAAGGCGATAAACGGAGAAAAAGAGATGTGATGCTGAGAAGGTCGACGAGGAAAAAAAGAAGACGCTGACGGAGCGGTGAATTGCAACAGAAAGAGATGAACAGCACGCCTGCTGCTGCTTGCTTCTTTCCCTTTTCACTCACGCTCCCATACAAGAAAACAACAAGATTGCCTTGTGCGACCGGGCCCTTCCAGAAAGAGGCAGAAGAAAACAACATATTATTGGAAAACATAGCATCTTGCGAGCACTAAAGTTTTGGATGGGCCACTCGTTCAATGGCACCCCACCACATTTCGCAACACGCAATGCACTGGAGCGGAGAGAGAGCAAAACGGCAAAAAAAGCGGGAGAGAATGAGAAGGAGAGACCAAACAAAGCGTCGACGGACCACAACAACCACGAACAATTTTTCGCTTGGCGCTGCCGAATTTTTTTCCGTTTTTTTTTCCTCAATTTTGTCGTAGAGCCAAGCGAAAAAAATAGCTAAGAAAGGACGAACGGAGGAACAGGCAATAGACGGCCAGCTGGGCAGTGAGCCAGGTTATACTACTGGTTGTGTTTGTTTGTGAGGCCGACCGAATGACGCCACGCACGCAACAAAAAATGAGAGTGAGAGAGAGAGGAAGGGAGAGGCGGAGGACGGTGTGCGCAGGACCGCTCTCGGTCCGTCCTTATGGCTCTTTTTTGGGAAGACGTGACTCAGTCTTTTTTGCTATTTATTCATTCTTTTGATCTTCAGAAATGATAGGAATTTTCACTTTTCTACGGGACGTTTTCATCAATTTTCATCAATGAAAGGAAATTAGTTTTCTTCCTTACTGATCAAGAAATGTTCAAAGAACTTTTTGTTTATTGCTTCTTGATTTGAAATTTCATACACAACCCACTAAGAAAGCTAAACAAAAAACTAACAGATTGGTTCGTTGACCCCATGAAAAACAGCCGGAGGATATCTTCTGTCGCACAGTTGGCGAAGTAGTTTTGTCGTTTGTTGATAGATATATTGGCAGTGCCTAATCTCACGTTCCACTGTGTTATGCGTAATGATAGGGACAGTCGCACTCAATCAGGGGTTCACAATAGGCAATGACTCATAGATCATAGAAGTACTACAAAAAGTTGAAACCGAAACCCGGGGTACAAAGGTGGAAAGTGGTGGTTCGATTCGTCTTCGATTGACGCAATTGTCTGTACTCTTGGAAGTTTCGTTGACCTATCCATTACTGCTTGCCAAGTGTTCTTATCTCTCTTCTCGTCCGTCGTTGTCTCCTCTTTTCATCAATACGCAACGTAAGCGAGGCCAAGTTAGGTATAACTCGAAGAATCGCTTCAAAAAAGACAAAAAGGGCAAGCATTATGCGATGGATTGTATTGAAAAAGAGCTAACTAAGCAAAGGAGAGAGTAAAAGTCATTCCATATGGTTGGCAGATTTTGTTTACAAAATGAGAAATGCTTTGTCATTTAATTCGGGAAAATTGACACTTTGGACTCTGGAACTACTTTGATTCGCTTTCTAGCATGTTTCGTAAGACCCTCTTATCTAATTTTCTGATTTGCACGTTGCGTACTACGATCAGAATTAGCAACATTGAAATTTCGGAAAAACGAAAAACGAGGTGATGAAAATTGATGGAAAATTCACAACGGTAGGAATGCAGTTATCTTTTTAGACCATCTCAAATGTCATTTATCATTCTGATATTTGGTAGAGAATGTTTTGACAAGACGAGTTTGTTCTCGATACTTGGAAGGGATCTCTCTTTTAAGAGATTTTTATGACGTCACATCGCATTTGTACAATTTATCACTACTATTCCTTTCAGTTGTCTCCGGCCCGATCTTCAACATATCAATCACGAACGTGCGTACCCAGGACAAATGTGTGTATGTGTATATATGTGTGTGTGTAACGGAGCATCTGTGCAATTCATCCCAGAAACATGATGCGTTTGAAGTAATGTCGGGAGCAGAAGAAAGAAATCTAGACGCTTTTTTACTCGGCCGGCTCCGCTTCTCCGACGACAAGCCGAGAGAGAAGGGAGAGAGTGCAGACAGTTGAGTGTCCCGCAAAACATCCCACGGGAGGATAGAGGATAGTGGGAGCACACAAAAGAGCACAAAGGATCCGGAGTGTCGAGACCGATTTCTCGCATTTTTCCACCCCGCCGTCGAGTTTACACTGCGTGTTGAGCACCTCAGCGAGCCACAGCCAAAGCATTCTACCCTCTGACAACTTTCACCCCCATTCCGACGAAACCGCCGACTTCCACAATGAGTGACGATCTGTTCAAAGAGGTTTGAGAAACTGTCATAGACGCTTGCCATGTTATTGTGTACTGTTAAGGCGAGAAAGGAGAGAGACGACTTCGAAGAATTGATGAATGCCTGCGACTTGGCCAAGATGTCCGTCAAAAACAATGAAGTGAGTCAGAGAGCCGAGAGAAAAACGTTGTTGCGTGGGTGATCGCAATTGCGAAATCGGTTTTCTAGATGGTCCATGGTCTCCAGAGTTTCGGAATCGACAGTGAAGGTGATAATCAGAAGGAAATCATGAAGGTGGTCGCACCAACAGTCGAAGCATATGTGGGTGTACTACTCGGGGTCTAACTAGATGATATTAAGAATGTATTACAGGTTGGAAGCTCAAGTGCTCCAACTCACACAAAATCCCATGGAGGAGCTCTGGATGGAAGTGATCAGCAGGTTAGTTTCTTTTGCAATTTTGTGTTTGGTTTTGCTTTGCTTTGCTTTGCAAAGGCTGCAAAAAGCTCCCTCCAATTAAATAGGAGTGGATCCAAGTTCTTAAATGAATAGAGCTAGAATACATAGTTAAAGTAAAAGAGCGTCCTTAATGATGATTCTAAATTTAGCCATGTGTCGAAGTAACCATGTCCTGTTCATTTGTTGGCAAAGAAAGCTCAGCCGGATGCTAAATTTTGTTGTTCTCTGTGACTTTATTATCTTACACTAACTAGATTTAAACCCTTCTCCCTCTCGCTTCTGCTTCTGCTTCATCTTCTTCCTCTTCTTCTTCTTCTTTCTCTTCTCAAACCAATTCTCTTCCAAGCTAATCATTCACATGGGTATTGTTGACTTACTCTCGTTTGTGAATAAAAGTTTTGTTATTGCTGTTGAAGTTGCCGTCCTCATCAGTACTTCTCGTACTGAACGTGCGGAATAAAGAAGTGAACATTTGAGCTTGGCCAGTAGAAATTGGGTGGAATAGAAGAAAAGGGAAGGAAAAAATGGAGAGAGAGGAAGAAGAAGGGAAGGCGTCAAGGCGTCAAAGGCAGCTCTTTCAGCGATCAAGGAGAGTGATTTTTGCAGGAAGTGCGCGAAAGCGGCACAAGCGTGCAAAAGGACGACAACGGATTCGTGTTCTACAAATGCCGCTTCTGCGGAATCACGTTCAATTTCATGAACACTTTGCGTGCCCATGAAAGAATACACGATGTTTCCCAGGTGACTCAGCGACTATCGACATATTTCAAGCAGTTCGTTTACAGCCATACGTGTGTGGAAAGTGCGGAGAGTCGTTCGAATTCGCATGTCAACTCGAGTACCACTCCGCGCAGCATTCAGAAGTTGATGGATTCAAGTGCGACTGCGGAAGGACGTTCTTTTCGTACACCGAAATGCTCTATCACAAGCACACTGACGATCCTATCGATCTAATAGGTGCTCCAGAGGTAGGCACAGTCCCACGACACTTCCACACTTCCTAAGGCCTGTTTGTTATCAGTTTCACTCAAACAAACACAAAATTTTGAAACCAGCGAAACGTCGGTCGCGCCGCGCCCATCCCCTATATAAACAAACGCGTGACACTCCATTTCGGGCCTGCCGGCTCTTTAGAGAAGTATCTGGTGGAAGGCGTCGCATAAATCGGTCTGTGAGCCGTGGCGACGTCATCAAAAGAGTTGGAGGTTAAAAAAAAAAAGTTGCAGCAAATGCGACAAAAATTTTTTGATTTTCCTGTGAGTGTATGTATAATATTTTCAGACTACTACAGTGATGGTGAACAAGAAGAAGATCATTCCAGTTAGTGTGCAGGACCTTCCGCAGCCTGCCTATGCGACGGAAGGATACGAGCCGAAGCACCCGCTCCGTGTGTACAGCGACGTCCGCTCGAAACCGTACATATGTGAATACTGCTCGAAAAGCTACTCGGACAGTCGCGGACTCGCCTATCACATGTACAGTCATCGCGGAGAGAGACAGTTTAATCCACGTGCTTCACGGTACATGATGGGCCGCGAAGGCGTCGGATACACCGACTCCAGAAGTTATTATCTGTTTCCGAGGACAAGCGGTTACGTGAATCCTCGATTCTGAAGGCGCTTGAGATAAGATAGCAAATTCATAATTGTTCATTCATTTCACAAGTCATGTAGTATTTTACCCAGATCTTGTAAAGTATTCAATAACATCGGCTAGCTTTAATGATATTTGTCCTTCAAAGTGCTTATGTATATTCGTTTTTTGCAACTTTTCTCTATTCTTTCATCATATGTGTTTCACCTTTTTCCCCCCTCGCGCTCTTAAAGATAATCGGAATGAAACGGTCAGCAAAAACGCGTTTTGTGTCCAAACACAAACTACAGTCGACTAGAAAGCACAAGTTCCAAACGTTGCCACAATGTTGAGTCTTTATAAAACGTCGGTGGATGCCCTCCGCTCAGTCTACGGACTTTCCGATTCCTATCGATCGTTAGGTAGTCGTATATAATGGGGTCGGTCTTGGGGAAATGGCCGGAGCACTTGTCCCTCTCTCTCTTTCTATCTAATTCTATCTTCCACAACGTTTTCCTCCCATCTTTTCTATGATCTGTTACAACGGTCGATATGTGGTTGATAATGACAAGATGATGATAACATATAAACACTACTCGACCGTGTTTGTTCGCCTTTTCGAAACTTTCGAAATGTTTTGCTTAGTGACGGTTACTTGAATTTGCATCATTGCGATGGCATCATAAATCAGTGATAAAAGTTGTTGAAATCAAATTCAACTGTTGATTATTTTCTTATTTTTTCTTATTTGGGTTTGTAGCAAATGGTAGCAAATTTCCTCGGATAATTATCTGTTTCTACAATCCGCCAACACAATGGCCGAAGCCGGGAATTCTAGGCCACCGCGGCCGTGTACTCCTCTCGGAAAAGTGACGTATTATTAATTCACCTTTTTTTTCTACGTACCGATCAAATTTCTGCTTAATTTTGTTGAATACTCGTTCTGAAAAAAATTAGCAATGCAAGCCATCCAAAATTATCTTCAAAAACACTTCACGTTACCCATTTCTCGAGACCATTGCAAAATCGATGAAATTTTACAGAATGAGCACGGAAACAGGTCAAAAAAACTCCAATTTTCTCAATTTTCTACTCTTCGGCTTTGTCACTGCAATCGCCTTCTACTCGGGCACTCAGTTCAACAAACCCGCTGATCCGCAGGCAGTAAGAACTCATTTTCTCTTGTTTTGACCGAAAATCTGTTCGATTTCAGCAAATCAGCCATGCCAGTTTGTATTCCGTGAAGAAATTCGACGATGGAGCCAAGGAGTTCTCGATTGTGCTCGTCACGGACCTTGATCAGGACAGCAAGGACGGAAAGAAGTGGAAGAGTTTGGTGTCCCGTGGATATTTGAAGGTTTCTGCTGACCAAAAGCACGCCAACATTCATTTCGACGAGAACTCCGAATACTACGTGGATACGTAAGGTTTCTGTTTGGATAACCAAACAATGATCATCAGTTTAGTAACATTGCCGCCGGTGGCCGTGCTATGGAGTTGTCTGACCTCGCCGTCTTCAATGGTAAACTGTACTCGATCGACGACAGAACTGGTCTTATTTATCAAATTAGCGACAAGAAGGTGAGTGATGACGGCCGCCAATCGGTCATAACTGCTTTTGTTGTTGTTTTCAGGCCATCCCATGGGTTTTGCTGAATGACGGACCCGGAAATGTCCACAAGGGACTGAAAGGAGAGTGGATCACTGTCAAGGATAACGAGCTGATCGTCGGAGGACTCGGCAAAGAATGGACGACGACTGAGGGAGAATACGTGAACGACCATCCGATGTGGGTGAAGCACGTTTCCGCCGACGGAGCTGTTCACCACGAGAACTGGAAGGACGTGTTCATCCGAGTGCGCAGAGCCGCCGGAATCGAGTACCCCGGATATATGATTCATGAAGCGGTGCAATGGTCTCCGATCCACAGAAAATGGTTCTTCCTCCCAAGAAGAATGTCGACCGACAAGTACTCGGAGGCTGAGGACGAGTCTCGTGGTACCAACGTTTTGATAATTGGAAATGAGTCGTTGACCGACTTTGAGGTGGTCAGAGTCGGATCCGATGAGCACAAATCCCGAGGATTCTCTGCTTTCCAATTCGTCCCGAATACTCACCATCAACTTATTGTTGCCATCAAGTCTGAGGAGAAGGTAATAAATAGCTTATGGCAAATTTAGAAAACATTTACATTTCAGGACGGAAAGCCAGTGGCCAGTTATGCCAGCGTGTTCGACATTCACGGAAATGTCATCCTCGACGATTTCCAACTCCACGGACCATACAAATACGAGGGAATCGCATTTGCCTAATCTTTTTCTGTCAGTTTCCTTCACCTAAATTCTGGTTTCATTGTGTTCTCTATGTGCTGTGATTTCATGCCTACGCTAGTGATATTTTTCATTCAACAAATAAATTAAAGCTTGGAATGCCAAAAAATGGTACAAATTATGATGAGCACAACCACGAAAAGTCGATAAATAAGGGCACAGAAGTGACTAGAAACTCTATATTCACAAAATAAATTCACATTAAAATGACTAGTATGCTGGCTTGAATCGTTTGATTTCAAGCATCACTTGATGAACATTCACGAGCTGCGAGCACACCGGATTCTTCACGAACACGTCGTGGGACAAGATTTTAGTGAAGCGATTGATGTACTGCACGTATTTGGTGAAAATTGTCTGAAAAAACGGGGATAATTTTGACAAAACTTCGATTTCTACCTGAAGAATAGTGGTGCCGAGGCTGAAGTTGGTGAAAAGTTGAATGCATTCCGAGTTGATGCTGTCGACGGCCGGCTTCCATTTTGCATTGAAGTTCGCCACAACTGTGCCGATTTTGTCTGAAATGAGAGCATATTTTTCCGGTAAAAGCATAACCGCTTACCGTTGTATCTGACAAGCAACTGAGTGTGTCCCTGATTGAGCAGGGACTCGCACTCCGTCACGAACTTTATCATGTAGCCAATGTGCGGTTCGAGCATCTCCTCGACAAAATCATCAATGCTCTTCTGCTCCAACTCGTGCACAATTGCATATATCTTGCTATGCTTCCCCTCTTCATCATCAATAATCGACAGAATCAAATCGTAGTTGTTGATGAGGAAGACGTGCTTGTTCTTCTGTGTCGATTGCATTGCCGACATTCTTAGGAGCAACTGCTCGATCGAATCTTCGCTGTTCTCCAAAACCGCTTCCATCTTGTCGCCCATCTCCTTTTCACTTGTTCTTGCAATCAGCAAGTGCGCACTCGTCAGCTCGGCGTATCGGCGAACAATCTGTAAGTTCGCTGGTCGGTTTTCCTCACAAGCCGGGGAAACCGATCAATGAAACTTACGAAATGAGGTCGGGCATCCAGTGATCCGGCGTGCTGCAATTTCTTCAAATCCACCGACTTGACACTATCATAATGCTGCGACATGACGAGGTTGAGCCGAGTCCAGAGGAGACTCGTCACATTGTTCCAGTATTCGGGCAATTCCGGCACTTCCCGCTCGGCGAGCATCTCTATGAACTTGTCACACATGCACAGGCACAAATGGAGGCTGATCGCGTCCCAACTCAAAGAAATCTGTTCTCTGCAACTGTCCAGCACGACCATCATCGACCGAGCCATCGCCTTGTTGTGCAAATCGACCGCCTCATCGTTGGTGACCAGGAAAAAGTCGGTGAGGAAGAGGTACTCGTGGCTGTAGTGGTCAACGAACGCCAGTTGCAAGGAGCGGAAGAGCGCTTCGAACTGATACTGCAAAAAGAGTTATTATTAAAAGGACAAAGCACAAAGATGGCTTACCCATTGGTTACTTTGAGTCGCTGCATGGGGAACAATAAGGGCTCCGAGAAAGTCTTCGCCCAAAATAAGATGTCGCTGTCCGATGGAGAAAACAGTGGCCTTGTTGCGCACAACAGGCTGCCTCGACGAGAATAAGCTGCTCAAGCCTGCTGACTTGCTCGAGTCGATGTTTCCCAGTGTGTCGTCTTTGGTGGCGACGTCTTTCATCTAAAGGAAATGCAATGTTTAAGTCTTGAGTCACACGCTTTCCGGACCGAGATTCAAACGGAGCCAACATTATATAGCCGCGTGGCTCTTTTCAACTAACACTATTTCTTGCCTATTTCCGGCACGCTCACTCACAGAAAGCTTGAAGAGTCGAGTGGCGTACGCTTTGAAATAAGTGAAAAACATTTTGCTGATGGTGTCAATGTATTCGTCTTGGAGCTGAAAAACAACATGTTTTTAGGTTTCGTGATGTGGATGCTGCAATCGCTCACTTCTTTGGCAGAAATCAGATCGTGGTGAAGAAGGAATTCATAGAAGAAACGGCACTTGAGCAGTTGATGCTGGAACACCTGGTAGTTGGAGAGCGGCTTCCGGAACTGGAACATTTTCTGCAGTAGCCATTCACGAACTTTGATTGTTGCCTGCAATAGTTTGGTTTTCGGGTTGAAGGGGTCAGTGAGAGGATTTTCACAAATGAGGACCGGTGTTGAGAGGGATTACGGAGGATAGAAGGGTAGAATAAAATGTCATCAATGAAATTTCACTCGTTCAAAATTTTTTTACATTTCTCGTCCCTTCCTATGAAATTGGCATAACACGAAATTAATCAAGTTTTCACTAGAGCCAATCAATCATACCTTTTGCTTCAATCCCTCCAAAATCGGCATCGTGTCGTTCACAGCCACCGCATCCCCATTCCCTCTCTGCACAATCAGTGTGATCTTGTGATGTAGCTCATGAAGTGCCTCCAAAAACCCTCTTTCGTTCGCATCCGTGTCATTGATCGCCTTTATCATCTTCTGCGAAACGGCGATGTCATCCACGAACTGACTCAACTCCAGCCGCACTTTCTGCCGATTTTCGAGCTCCTTTAACGAGACGATTACTCATTCTGTGGTAAATTATGATGAACCTGATGAATGTGATGTGACTGCAGCTGCAAATTTTTCATATCTTGACCAATGGTGCCTAAGTTTGCTTGAAACCCGTAGAGCGTTGCTTGGAGACGCTGAAAACAATGATTTCTTATTTTCGCACCGAAATCTGAAGATCACTGACCTCAAAAACATTATCACAATGCACTAGTTGGTGATGGAGTTGGGCCAATTGCTCCGAGTTGTCCAGACATTGTTGAACGGCGTATCGATGCGCTTCCGAGAGCCGCGTGCTCACATCATCTGAAAAAAACACACTTCTTACCGTGGGAATTCTGGTCGATTCCGATCGAATACCTTTCGACTCGGTTAGTCCGTCGCCTGACGATATCGCTTTTTTCACTAATTTCGGATCGGCTTTCCGCAGTTGCGATAAACAAAATTCCAGTGATGATATTGTGAAACTCCGTTCGTTCGGCGAATTTTTCGGCAGTTGGACACGTTTCCTGGGCATTGAGAAGCTGAAAGAAAAAAAAATACAAATTTGTCGTCAAAAACGTGGAAAACGGATGAGACTGACGTGAAAAGACGTCATACACGTCACGTTAGCTTACGACACTCCGGTGTGCGCTTGGACAGCGCCTTGTTTAGCGTGTGTGTCGATTTACGAGCAGGGAGGAGTGGTGTGATATTGAAAAGGAAACGGCCATGTAAAACCAATAAATTCACGGATTGAATCAAGAAAAATTGGGTTTTTGTTCGATTGTTTACTTTGTTGACATGAAAGTGTGTTATAATGCAGATATTTAGAGAAATACAGTGAAGGAAGGACGAAAAAATGTCAAAATCATAAAAAGTCATTGGAATATGAGATAAAGGGGGAGTGGGGTCTAGGGAATTGGAGAGTAACGGTATGACAACTTGTATGGATGCATACATCTTTCGAATTGAATCTGGTAGACATGCTATGACACGCCTTCCAAGGTTCGCGTGAGAAAAGGACGATGAAGTGACATTCATCAGGGGAGAGGATGGGTGAATCGAACAAAAATTTGGAGGAGAGGGAGGGAATACAATATCAGAATTAGGAAATTGAGTTATTGATTAGGGACAAGTTGATCAGTAGTGGACTTTTTGACAAAACTGTAGCTGGATCTTCTTGTGTCCATATTAGAGACGACTGGCTCCCGAGGAAGCGGTGCCTGGGCCGCCTGTTCCAGCTGCAGGTAGTTGAAAGGATTGGAGAGCGGCTTGAATCATTTCTTGGGCGGGAAAGCCTGACGATGGACCGACCTTCGATCCGTTTGTGTTGATTCCGCCGAGAATCTCGATCGGGAACGGGAAAATAATCGTGTTTGTCTTTTCCGAACTGTAAACCCGACATTGTTTTAGACGATTTCAGATGACTCATGAGCTACCTGATAGCATTGAGAGTATGGAGGTAACGCAGTTGCATCGCTCCCTCGGATTTCGAAATGATGGTAGCAGCCTCGGCGAGGGCGGCAGACGCTTTGAGTTCTCCTTCGGCAGCGATAATCTGAAATTAATTGGTATGGATCCATCCTAATTGCTCTAAACCCATTTTGTCTGCGAACCTTTGCTCCGGCATCACGCGTAGCCTCGGCCTCAGCAGCCATAGCGCGTTGCATCTGGTTTGGGAGACGGACGTCACGGAGCTCCACACGCTCCACCTTGATGCCCCATGGTTCGGTGGCCTCATCGAGGGAGATCTTCATGTCGGCGGAAATCTTTTCACGAGCCGAGAGTATTTCTGAAAGGGTGTGAGTACCGAGGATGGTACGAAGAGTGGTCTGGGCGAGCAGTTTCGTCGATTCTGTAGCATTTTCGACTCCGATCACCTGAAGATTATTTCATGTTCAAATCAGTTCAAATCTATTGCTGTAAATACCGAAGTAATTGGATCGAACACCTTGAAATAGACAACTGCGTCAACAGAAACGGTAACCGAATCTCGAGAGAGGATCTGAAGAGGGGAATTACTATCGGATATGCAGATGATTGCGTAACCAAACCTCTTGTGATGGTACGTTGTAAGAAACCACACGCAGGTCAATATTGATGAAATTGTCGATGCACGGGATGATGAAGAAGATTCCAGGACCTTTGACTTCAGGAATCAGACGACCAAGACGGAACACTACGGCGCGTTGGTACTCTTGCACAATCTAAGGAAAACTTGCGAAGGAACTATTAATTCAAAAAAGTGAACAGTACCTTGATGCACATGCAGATGGAGACGGGAAAAGTGAGGAAAACGAGAATGTATGAGAGAGCAATGCAGAAGACTTCAGTGCATCCACGTACACGTGGTTCTGAAACTGTAACTGAGAAAATACTAGAAAATAGACTCACCTCCAGCACTGAACTGCATTTGTCCGCCTTGCGGCTGTTGCCTCGGAGCACCCTCAACGTCTTCAACCATTCGTTGTGCGGAGTTGTGTGCCGACTGCTGTGGCATTTCCTGCATCTCAACGTTTTCTGCGGGTTGCATCATAGCAGGCCGGTACGGGGTCACAATTGCGTTGGATATGATGAACGGCGGACAGGACGGACCACGAGAAAGAAGGGGTGCACGTTGGGGGGAATGAGAAGGAGAGCGGCGAGTAGGCAGGTGAGGTACGCGAGCCGCCTGAGCTGATTATGTACGCTGACCTTAGCGCGTGTGGGTTGGAGAGACTGAGAGAAGGCGGATTATATTTTTCGGATAAATGAGCTAAACCATACCAATTAGAATGGTTATTTGGAAATATCGGGTACCCTAATGAGAACAGCCGTTTTTAGATGTATCAGGGGTAATTGGAAAAAAACGCATGCGACCGGGAGCAGATGGATGTGGACACGTTTAAATATGCTCCAATCATTTTCGCTTGGCAACCAGGCAACGAGACATACACATTAGAAACTGCTATATTTGAACAACGCTAAACAAGAGGCGGCGTCGTCTTAATGATACGTTTACGGAAGAATGACATGAAGATTTGCGTCACTGAGAGCGTTCTCCAGGATCGAAACGTCAATAGAGCATGTGATAAAATGAGTCAAAAATGAGCTAGACAGGTTGGGCGAAAAGCAATACACAACTTTCAGTACGTCACGGTCGAAGTAACGTGTGTGTGTGTGTGTGTGTGAGTGTGAAACTGAAAAATCAGAATCAGAACTAGAGTGTTATGAAATTTTTGGGTTTTTGATCGGTTTTTTACACATAAAATGCGTCAGACGTGTGAGAACTTGCTATTTCAAAAGTTAGAAAATACACATTTTGGGTTGGTTACTGAACGGAAAGCAGAAAGGCAATAAAATAGGGCAAAAGTGAAACTGAAACAGAAAACAAACGGGACAATAAGTTTGTTTGCTGTGAACACAAGAGCAAGCGACTTTATTTCATTATGGTCTTGTGGCAATCTTTGATATGTTAAAAGATTGCAAACATTATATACTCGTACTCGTCAATGCTCGGAAATACTGTGCCGTCCGAACAACAATAAACATGAACCAGCTGTGAATGAAAAAAGTGCACGCGTAGACGAGCGAACCGATCGCACCAGTCGATATTATCACTGGAATGCATATTGAGTCTTCTGGAAGAGTTACGTCCACGTACCGGTCTGAGGGGTCGTGCTTAGAAGATCAGCGAAATATTGAACTTTGTCGGCAAGAACAATTTCGATTTGCTCAGCTGCGTACGAATTTGGGTTGAGCACTGCAGACATGTAGAAAACGGAGAGGAGCAGACAAAACGAGACAGTCACTATCTGAAGTCAAAAGATCAACGAGCATTCCATTCGATTCATTTCCAAAACAAATTGATAAATGTCAGACGTGCTAAGCGGTCCCCGGCTGGTAAAATTGCTAAAATTCCAAATTTTGAAAAAAATTTAAACTTATTTAGAAGTTGGCGGAACTGAAGAATTCGACCTTGGCAACCATTTTTAGCAATTCTACCGCACGTTCTGGAACTTTCCGCGTTTTTAAAAAAATTTTTTAAAGGTTTAACTTCCGGGCCGGCGGGTAGAGCCAAATTTTAGCAAGTCTGATGATTGTCAGTTAAAAAACTCACACTGAGGACAGTAAAAGGTTGAAGAAATGCAGGATGATTTCTGGTGATTCCGTAAAACAAACTAATAACTGCAATTGAATCACTCACCAAAAACAGCAACTGCCAATTCCATTCTACCTGAAATCACAACTTCATGTGCAAAAAATAATTTCACTTCACCTCTTCAGATTTGATCGCCCTCATACATAAATTGGATATTATAATGCAGGTGTACACAACAGCCACCGCATATGCTCCGTTCTGTAATTACGCTTATGAAATACAGCTTTTTCGGCGATAAAACAAAGGGTCAAACAATTTTATGCAATTTTAGTGCCTACCTTAATCTCGATGCTTTTGCAACAACATTTATATCGGGATCGGAGGGTTTCGTGATCGTTCTCCTCTAGATTCCCTTCCACGTCATTAAGGGAAGGTGCCATGGGAGAAGAAAGAGAAAAAGAGGAAGAAGAGGAATCGAATTGAAATTTGTGTGGGTGCGAAACGAAACTGAAGAGCTAGTCTGCGAGACTGTCTTACAGTTGTCCCAAACACAAACAGCCGGGCGGCGAAGAGGCAGATTCCGGCGACGCGGAACGCGCGCTCTTTTCCGCTTCTTAAATCACTTTCCGCGCCGCTACACGGTTTTCGCGAGCGTTTCTGTTGACATAGGCGGAAATCGAGACTATCAGATTAACTTTGTTACTGCTTTGCTGTTAAGAAGCACATTTTAGGTGAACACATGTTATTCGTGATGGTTAGCGCTTACTTTATTGGTTTATTTAAAGGATTTGGAAACAAAAAACGGTGCTAGAGACAAAATAGACTGCAGTTGCAGAAAAAGTCGAAAACAACACTCTTGTTCGCCTTCCGATCAAAAGTCACCGAAATTCACGTGATTTTTTCCTTTCCATTTTCTCTCGTTTCGCCGTCGTTATCAGCGAATTTCGACGAATGTTTTGCAGTGACATTCTCATCTTCCGAGCACCAAATTATGCCATCAAAGACTACGGCAAAGTTATCATGGACACGAGCGAAAATGATGCGACGTAGCGGAATTTCGACACTTTCGGGCTATATAAAGAAATAATGCAACGTCGAGAAGCGGTTGGTTTGGCCGCTTATCAGCTCTTTCTCTGCAAATCGAACACTTTTGTCACAAGTTTTTCAACATTCAATTGTCAGGTAGTTCCGATTTCTTCCTCCGGAAGCTCACGTTTTTATTAGACAGTGCTATTGTCCATTTATTGTTCTCTTTCCAAATGATAACGTTCAGGAAGCTTGGGTGCTATAAATACTGATAAACTTAAACAGTTTTCAAGTCAAGTCCACTCGATCATGTTGCACTACGTTACTGACACTGTTAAAAGTAAGTCATTTCTACAATACTGTCAGTAACCTTTTTGTATTTCAGATTGGCAAAGAAAACGACGACTATCGAAGTTCTACAAAGATCAGAATTCACTATTAGAAGCTCACAAAGAGGACCAGCAGACGTTCACTGACGAGGAAACATCCGCTGCGGAGGCCCAGGAACGAAGAGATGCAGTCTGGGACTCCCGAATCACCACCCTCACCATTATCCTAAACGTGGCACTCATCATCGCCAAGAGTGTTGTCGCGTACTTCTCAGGATCACTCGCCATTCTGGCATCCGTCGTCGACAGTTTCATGGACATCACATCTGGCGTGGTTGTGTGGTATGCCTGCTATAGAATCGAAAAAATCAACAAGGAACATTACCCGGTGGGAATGAGAAAGCTGGAACCGTTGACGGTAGTCATTGTTGGAATGATTATGCTTTTTGCGAACTTTATTGTTCTGGAACGTGCAGTGGTTCAAACTGCAACGGATGACCTGGACCCGCGTGTCAATCTGACCACTCTCATCGTACTTTGCACTGGAACCGCAATCAAATTCATCCTTTTCCTGATATGCCGAGTCCGCAAGTCAAGCGCCTGTATGGTGCTCGCTATAGATCAGGTTATCAAATGTGACCTGATCGTGTTAATAAATAAAACAATTTCAGCGCAATGACTGCTTGACAAACATTGTCGCTCTTCTTGGCGCCTGGATTGGACAGAATTGGTGGAAGTATGCTGATCCGATTGGAGCACTTGCGGTCTCCGGCTTCATCATTATCACTTGGTTTTTGACGATCAGAGAACACATTCCATACTTGATTGGGAGAAGAGCCAATCAGGAATTCATCAACAGAGTGACCAACGTAAGACTAAACATCTAAAAAAGACTATAAAAGCAACAGCGCCCCGAACTGTTCTCGTTTCATCATCCCTGTCCACATATTTGTTTACAGATTTCCATCAACCACGACCATCGCATCAAGGCGTTGGACACTGTCCATGTTTACCACTTTGGCGAGCGATTCATCGTCGAAGTGCACGCAGTGTTCGAGGAACCGGCAACACTCCAGATGGCGCACGACGTGGCCGAGAGTCTGCAAGTGAAGCTGGAGAAGTTGCCCTACGTGGAGCGCGCTTTTGTACACTGCGACTATCAACTGGACGGCGATGAACACGTCTGATTTCTGTAACCTTGAACAAAAGTGATGATGACGTTGTCTGTGAATAAATCTAGCTATGAGTCATTTTCATTTGGTGATTGAATTAAAGAAAAGTTGGACCGGAAACGGAAACAAAACGAAAATTTTTGGCAATGTGAATCTGAATCTGAGTCCGAATTGAAATTCCGGTTGGTGTGGGCAAACTCAATTAGTACTGTTTGATGGTGAAATTGGAGAGAATGGAGCGAGCGGCGGCAAAAAGTGGATTGTTTCGGACAAAAGCAGTAGCATGAACAAAAAAAGGAGAGACCAGATAGCGGGGGAGACTTAGGCCTCCGTCGGAGGGCACATCTCACTTCGCAACAATGGGATTATCTGTCCTGTCCGCAGCACGGTTTACTTTTGAAGGAACTGGAGTAGTCGACGAGAAGAAGCGAAAGTAGTTTCATTTGCAGACAACGTTGTGGCTGGTGTTTAATGACGATACGCTCCTATTCCCCTTTTGCGCTCTTCTCAACCACCGGATAGAGAGAGAAAGAGAGAGAGAGAGAGAGAGACCTCCCGTTCCGAACATCGATCGATTGCGTTTATGCATTAATTAAGTTACTGCTTGCAAGACCATGGCTGGAGATCAGATCCCAGCCAACAAATCACGTAGGACCAGGTTCTCTTTTCTTTATAATTAACCGCTTTTCCTCACGTCGCCGCCTTGTTTTATGCGGATGGACTGGGCAGATCGAGTTGGAAAAACATTGCGTGAAAAGGGGAAAAGGTCTTTATTCTGCGTGACGCAATAGTTATCTCATCCGCCCATTTTCCTCCCTTTCCCTCAAACCACCATCACCAACAAACAGGGTTTTGATAGAGAGAAAAAGAGAAACAGAGAGACCCTCCTCCTTTTCACTCCAGCCCAGATATTCGTTTCTCATTATCAAATCCTCCCCGTAGATTCCTCATTCATTTCATTTTCTGTTTCTGCCCTTCCCTCCTTCCTGTCTGTCTGTCTATGGGTGGTCAATGCCGACAAAAAAAAATCAAATTCAAATTATCTATTTTTCTCCTAATCATTCTTGCTTATCTTTTGTCATTTTCCGGCGCCTATCACTTCTTATCACATGTTCTCACGCATCATTGCAGATCTAGTATCCAGTCGGCATGTGGATATATCTGCTGTTAGCCCTTTTACCAGCAATTATAACTGCACAACAAAATGGAGAGGAAGTTGTGGAGAACGCGGAAAACTTCCGAAGACGTGAGACATGTTCAAGAGACCAGGAATAACATATTTTTGAAGTGTACGGCATTGCTACCCGTTTAATGGAACTGAGTGGCAACATCATGAGCGCAAACGGAGGGAATGAGGGACAAGAGATTCGGCCACGTTTCCAAGGTAATCATCTCACTTTCGATTCGGAAATTCCTGAGGGATAAGGACGATCTGCTTATTTTCGACTATCAATAAGCAGTTCGGTACGCCATCAGACCTGTTCCCCGTGCCTTTTTTGTCGCGATTTATCATCGCTATTGTGGGTGATACAAAATCTGTCATTTTATCGCTTTGAAGGGGTTCGATCGTTCACGGAAGACAACAGTATCCTGAGTGGCGGCGGCGGAGGGGGATCATCACAGAATGGGATTAATACGATGGCGCAGATGTTCCAACAGTACGGAGGTAAGGACAGAAAGAATGCAGACAGAAAGGGTCATAAAATGGTTCAGGAATGCTTGCCAACGCCAAGTTTGCCCAGCCAACAACTACCACCACGCAGGCGCCGACTGGTTTCAAGTCGATCATTGATTCCTTCCTAGGTACGTTCCACACATTTATCACTTCCTTAATGATATCATGTGTCAGGAACTGGTGGATCAGCTGCTGGAGGTAGTGATGAATTCGAAAACTTACCACCACCACCAACTCCACGGCCGCGACAACGTCAAAACCTGTTCGGACTTTTCGGCGGGGGCCAAACTGATCCTGGTAATATCTTTTGTTTCTATTCATGAAATTCCACTCGAACTTTGTATTTAAGAGCGAGCACCACAACCAGCTGCTCAACCATCGGGCTCCGGAAACATCCTCAGTCTTTTCGGTGACTTTTCACCCAGAAACTAAAACGTTTTTCTACTTTGTAAAAGTTTTGCAGGTTTGATGCCAACTCCAGCACCGACCACAACCACAACCACCGAAGCAACCCCAGTTCAGAGAATCATGAACCTGTTCGGTAATTCTTTGGTAACTTTTTCCTCAACCGTTATTTTACCATTTTCAGTGCCACAGCAAGATCGCCCCCAACCGGAGCAGTCGTCGAGCCGTGGAAAGATCAACTTTCTTGAAATGTTCGGACTCATGAAACCAACCACGACTACCACCGCGACCCCACCATTGAGAGCCTTGTTCGCTCCGGATAAGCCGTACACTGGAACTGCCGAAGATTTTGATGGTAGGGTCTACAATTTGAGTTAAAAATGAACCAATTCTTGAAGGTATCATGAACGCCCTTCTGCGCACGAATGCTCGACCAGCTCGTCAAGAACCGTCGTCTGTTCTCTCGCAGTTCTTTGGAGGAAGAAAGTGAAAAACGTTTCGAATTTCCGACATTTAGTCTAAAACCCCCAAACTAACATAATTTATTTTATTTTTCCGTTTCCGCAGCCGACTGCAGATCTCATACCGTCTTTCTGCCCCTTTCCCTCCTTCTTTCCCCCTGTCTTTCACTCTTTCTCTGTCATCTGTTATAGTTCTCAGCAAACGCTCACACTTTCTCAATTCAATAAACTTTATCAGTTTTGTTTTTCAAACAATTGCAGCAATGTCGATACTTTGCGAGCGAAAACGGCCATTTGCTGTTGGTGGAAGAATGAGACGCGGCTGGGGAAGATGATCCATCTGAAGAGGAAAAGAAAAGGAGGAAAGTGTCAAAAACATCATTCTGCCCTACCTCCATGACATCCTGATAACCGGTATTTTCGTAAGCACATCTGTCGGATTGCTGATCATCCATCTTCTTTGATAATACACCCCTCGCGGTGGTGACGTGATCTTCGTGCGGAGCGACTTCTTCTGAACTGGAAACTTTTTGATCCTTCTTCATTTCAACCGGGTACCTTGGTCTTTGAACTTATTGATCGGGAAGTGGTCCATGTTGTTCACAAAAAGAGTGGGAATCGCACGCCATAGTCGAGAAATACCGTAGGGGAATTTGAAGAAGCACCATCTGCGATAGGGATTATTTTAAAAGTTTTCTGGAAAAGTAACTGACTTGCAACAAGCGCAACCGCAACAAAAGCATCCGCAACAGCAGAAAAAGAAGGTCATTGTGAAGATTCCAAGAAAAGCTGTCAGCTGATTGCGAAGTTCTCCTGGAAAACGAAATGTACTCGTTTTTGAACAATTTTTGATTTCAAACCTTGAACAATTGGATTGTCAAACTCATCCTCAGTATCCAAAACACCGCGGATCACAATAACCGCTGTGATATTGACGATAGTCACCTGAAACACAAAAAAAAAACAATTTTTACATCGAGGCACATGACTCACAATAGCGAAAACCGCGACCAGACATCCCCATCTTTTCGGCTCTCCAACATCTTTCTCTTGAAACATTTTTCAGCTAAGCTGAACTGAAAAGTGACGAAAACAATCGATTCAAAACAGAAAATGGAAATATGCAAAGCGAGCGCGTGTCGAATCGGATGATTTCTCCGTGGTTTACAGGTGAGAACGTTGAAACGGAAATCGAAAAACGAAAAACGAAAACACGCGTATCAATAGAATGGCTTGTAGTCTTAAAATATTTCAGAATTTATGTTTCTGTTCCTCATGACGCCTACGCGGAAGTTTTCTCTCAAAAAAACGATCACGGTTCCGCTTTTGTGTCTCTCTGCTTTTTTTCAGTTTATTGGCGGATATAAGTTAGATGAAAGCGAAAATAAGAGATAAACACAGAGGAATTATCACGGAGATGTTAAAGCACATCACAGATGTCTCGAGTGGCGATATGACAAATGAACAAAAACTTTACGAAGAAATATACACTAGAAATTGACCGTCTAATATCCTGGCGCAGTTCTCGGCGGTGGGCAGTGTTCGCAACCTCCGCTCGGCCCACGGGCTCCATCTGGTCCCACCGGTCCTGGTCCTCCAGGTTGTCCTGGAGCTCCAGCAGTTCCATTGTCTCCGGCGTCTCCCGGGGATCCGTCCTTGCCAGGTTGTCCAGGTCCTCCTGGAGTTCCTGCTGATCCTGGTGGTCCTGCTGGCCCTGGAGCTCCGGCTGGTCCAGTAGGTGCTGGAACCTCGATGGTCTTTCCTGGAGTTCCTGGAGTTCCGGCTGTTCCTGGATTTCCATTGGCTCCTGGAGTTCCGGTTGGTCCTGGTGGCCCGGCGCTTCCCTTGTTTCCCGCTGGTCCGTCCGTTCCTGGAGCTCCTGGGTTTCCATTTGGTCCTTTAGCTCCAGCACTTCCGGCCGGTCCTGGTGGTCCGGGTGGGCAATCGAAGCACCTGAACACGTTGCAATTAGCAAAAAGATCAGAAGGTGAACAGAATCACCATTCATAGTTTGGTGCTGGAGTCGCGGCCGGTCCATCTGGTCCATTCTTTCCTGGCTGTCCTGACTCTCCATCAGCTCCATCATCTCCATCTCTTCCTGGCACTCCTGGTGGTCCCTGTGGAGACACTCCGCATCCACAACAACCTCCACCGCCTCCTCCGACATTAGATGGAGCTGCTTCAACCGCGCCTACAATATGACATCATGTTGGTAATGACTTTTGAAAAAAAAGAGAAAGTGCTTATTACTTTCAAGTGGACCGGAACTGTAACCAGCTTGACGACGAGAGCGGACAATTGCGCCACCAGCAACTTGGGTTAAGATCTGCATCGAAGTGGTGTTTAGAAATTCATTTTGTGGAGGAAAACAGGAATACCTGGGTCTTGGAAAGCTCTCGCCAAATATTTCCGGACCGAAGCCTACAGAAGTCAATTTCAGACTGCATGGAGGATTGCATGTGCTGCATGACACTGTACAGAATGGGAACGGAGATTACGGAGAAAAGAGTGGCGATTGTGGAGATGGCAACTCCATAGAAGGCAAATCTATTATCAATATTGATAAAAAAACTGATGATACCAGAAACGAATTCTTACTTCCTAAGGGACTTTGCCTGCTCTTGAAGACTTTTTACATCATCCGAGCTGGAGGAAGTCATGACTGAAAAAAGAAGCAAATTGGAATGGAGGGACTGGAATGAAAGTATAGTATGGTAGAAGCAAGGACGCACTGCCTACTCTCTACTGTCTCAGCTACAGTGTCGCTGTGTTCGAATAATTAAAGAATTGCGACAATTGGTGTGGCTTTTATATACAAGTGTTTGCGCAGTTTGGCGCAATCTCCACCCACAATACAGAAGAAAGATGAGTGAGTAAAGAAATGTGGATATTCACACGGAGGGACGGCCTCCTCCTCCTCGCTTTTTTCCCCTTTGATGCTTAATGGCGAGCGATGCAGAGAAGCGTTGGCAGTAAGGGAGACGTGATGTCGAAAAACGCAGAGGAAGACGGTTACATTAATTACTGTATAAACACAAACACGAATGATATAATCTCTTTTTTCTCTGTATTGCGATGCCGGACCGACGGTTTCGCTCTGTCAGTGCCTTATCGTCCCGATCATCTTTCACGTTTTGGTTACGCAAACTGTTTTGGCACGAAAAACATGGGGTGTGAAACTGGGTGCGATTAGATGGGATTTGGGATCGAAGGACTTGGATGTTTGTTCTCTGGAAAGAACGGGAAAGATCAGATCCCATAAACTTTTGGTAAAGTTTTTCTCATAACCTGAACCAGAAAGCTCTCACAATGTCGATTTTCAATCCATCTCCCAATACAATCCATTGCTAATCTATTCTGAAAATTGTGTGCCAGCCCAGACCAGCACGTCATACTGTTTTTCCGGCTTTCCATAGTTCTCCCCCCATCTTTTGTTGTCTTTTTCTTTTCATTTGCGTTTTCGTTCATTTCATCAGCAGTAAGGATAAACAAGGATTACGTTTCGGTATGAGATGTCACTTGATGTGTAAGTACGCGTGTCCAATTACCATCGGCAAGAGGTACAAGGTGCTTCATCAAATCATTGTAACAACCGTCCGTCGTCTCATCCCATTTGTCCGTGTACTAGTAAGCCCGCGCGACGTTCCTCGGATGCCATCACACTCACTCATATATTCTTCAAAATAAATTGTGAGTGTGTGTGCGTCTTCTAGCATTGCTTCCTCATCCCGCAACAGATCTTTGTAAGCATCAAATCGTCAACGAGTACTTGTTGTAGAACCGGCATCATCCTTCGGTGCGCGCCTCCGATATAATTGCGCGCACAGCCTCTCTTCTCACTCACTCCCACACAAGTCACTCTCCATTCGGCCCTCCCCAAGAGTTTTTGCATCGCACCTCAATGACGGCTGGCTGCTGGAAGAGAGAGAAGAAGAAGAAGAAGCTTGACGTGCGGGGGAGGCCAATTGTCTTCAAAAATGGAAGCGAGGGGACTTAATTTTCAAACAACCTACGGGCGGCGACGACATCCTCCAGATTGCACAACGCCAATTGTTCTAATTTCTCTCAAGCATTCCATAAGGCGCCCACCAGAAACCAATTATGAAACAGCCATCCAGTGGTCACGAAAACGAAAGAATTCATGTATGAGTGCTGACATCAGAACACAAACACACCCACAAAAGACGACACAAGGACAAAATATATTAGGGAACTGAAAATATTTCAACTAGCTCTTATCTCCTCTCATTTCTGTGAAAAGAGGGGCTCGGTTTCAGCTTTCTGACCTTCCAGAGTTATGCTAATCATTTCCGTCATGAGATCCCTTCCGTTCTCAATTTTCTTTCAACTTCTTCTTCTTCTTCTTCTTCTCCTGTCATACTTTTCAACGGGTGTTTTCAATTTCTCACTCATTTTTTACGACACTTCGTCAAAAAGTCTTGTGTATCTGCATTTTGTATTCTTCTCGGACACGGAACCAGTCTGATACACTCCTGGTCCTGGTGGAGCCAGCACAAAGATTTGTCGACAAAGATCCCGATTTTGAATAGATTCTCTCTGTCAACCATTTCAGTTATTCATCGAATTTGCGTCGAAAAAGAAGAAGAAAGCAGCTGTTTTGCAATTCAGAATCAGAACCGGAAGAATTTATTGAAGTAGAAACTAGAAAGTTTGGAATCGGATTTTTCATTTTTCAGCTGCCTCCAAAATTTTATTTTCCAAACTTTCTAGCCCGAAAGTATGTTTATTCTTTGAATTCAGAAGTCTGCCAAGATTGATGAGAATGCACTTTTCCTCTTAATTGGATGCTGGTTTTTAGGACGGAGCCGGAGGCAATGGGCGGAGCAGCGAGGCGCTAGAAAAAACAAAAGATGGTGTCGAGAAGATTCCTCAGCCAGTTTCGTGGTCCGTCAAGACAGAAAATGACTTCATTTGTTTCGTCGTCTCTCTTTCGCTTTGCTTCTGCAAACTCGAATAAAATTAGCAAGTCGAAGTCGGGTGCGTCGAACTCCATTCTCTCCGGGCTCCTCCTCACTTTCCTCTCCCCCTTACACTTTTCCTTCTTCTTTTCCCAAGGTGAGCCCATGTCTTGTTTCTCTTTATTTTAAAGTCTAAGTTTTGTGTGATCTATGACATCGAAAGAACCCAAACTTGAACCATCAAGTTCCCGTCTTCCTCATTTCCGAGTTCTCTAAGATTTTCAACGGAAATTTGAAACTTTTTCCCTTTTTTTGGTATACTGTAGCCGCCGAGTTTAAAAATAGAGGAAACAACCGAAAGCGCAAGATCAACATCATGCATTGCAAAGTGTTCCGCACGTGATTCATCACTCAAGTAGGTTGAGAAAAATGAAAGGTTAACCTAAAAACCCTATCTTATTCGGTGGTCTAGAACCCCGAAAGCATTGGAGAGAAAAGAAAGAGAAATAAAAACAGAAGCTAAAATAGGACCATGTTGCTTCTCCGTCTTGTTCGTCAGCGAAAAGAAAAAGAAGAAGAAGAAGAAGAAGAAGAAGAGGGAGAAGCAGCGGAGTCCTCCACCTGAAGTCTTCCAACATTCCCTTTGCTTAATGGCTTCAATTAGTGCATCGATTCACCGCCTAACTTCTTTGTTATATGCACTCCGACACGGGGACACGGGGCCCGCCAATTCAACCCGTCAATAGGCAAATCTTGTGTATTTCTTCACGTAATTTTGTGTGGGACGGCGAGGAATGCCGGAAAAAAGTGACTGCGGAGGTGAAATTAACTTCCTCTCACCTCCGCGCCCAAAATTCTGCTTCCGGTCAGTTCGCAATTTGTTTTTCTTTCGCTCTTTCTCCTTTTTATTCTCTCTTTCCTTTCTTTTTCCGCCTTCTATTCTTGTCCGCTCTTCCTTTTTCTTCATTTTCTGGGATCAAGTTTAGTGGGGAGCATTCTCTAATCCCCCAAGACATTTTCGGAAATTGGTGGAATTGCAGCACGCTCGTAAAATCTCAGCAGAAATGCCAAAAACGGCAGCCGAGGTCGTCAGAAACCGAATTCATTCCATTAGAGATAATTGACAATGACAAATTTTGTCATAAAACATATTTTTTATGCTCCACTCTCCACTCGTTCTCTCTTTTTTTCAGAATTTATGGTTCGTCCTCCTCGTTGTTCTCCCGTTCCAGAAACCGTGAATTTTTCAAATCTTCCACTTTCAACGACGATCTGTAGTCCAATGAGCACGCATTTTATATTTTATAGCTTCTGACGACGTTATTACTTTCCGTATTATCCGATAATACCAGGATATTATGACTATGACTTTACTCTCATAAACCTCGAAATTTTAGCTTTTCGCAATGTTCTTGATCGCGAAAATTGTGCGTGGTCGTCGATTGCTTCATGAACTTGAAAAGCAGGAAAAGGACGAACACTTGGCTGCTGATGCCGCTGCTCAGTCAAATGCTCTGGTACTTTATTCAAGATTTCCCTATTCATTGTATCGATTGATTTACTTGACAGAACAATCGACGTGGAACAGAAGCAAGTGCAACGACCGAGGGCGAGAGCGGCGAGGCATCACAGTTCCGGCCGAAAAGAAGGTAGGTTCAGTCAGCATAATCTCAAGAGGTTTGAGGGGATAAACATCGGCACCAGGCACCGCACCAATCTTTGATTCACTTTTGTCATCATCTCATCCAGAATAATGTCAGCTAGTTCATTACTCAAATCTCCTCATCCAATTCCGTTTTTCTCTCCGCCAACGACGTCGGGCGACAACTAATTTGTCAATCTCGCACCTCGTCATTTCTCTTTCTTTCTATCTACCACACAATTGAAACCGTGACATATTGCCTGTCAAACCTACCGACGAACATGTTTTCTTTCTTGCAAAAGGAAGTGAAAGGAGTGAAAATGCAAATGACTGGGTTTCGAGGGATCTGATGATCTTATTGAATTGGCGAAAGGGGACACATCTCCGTGAAAATTGTAGTTGACCGTTTTTGTTTTTCATAATCCGAAGCGTGAGTTCTAGCCGGACAGTGCGCAAGAAAACCGGAGGAGGATCTGTGGATTCCAATGTGCTCTTGGAAGATGGGAAGCATGCTCGAAAAAGCAGTAGCATGCCAAGCATCTACGATCTGCAACAACAAGGTACCGAAAGTGCTCCGAAACGTTTTCACTATTATTTTTAGCCGCACCTCCAACACCCGCACTGAAACACTACAACTACGACACAAGACTGAGCAAGATTCAGAAAAGAGCCATTAGGTTCACCTGGCATAGACTTCAGACTAGAAATGGTGGAAAACGAGTGGAGAACGTTTTTGAAGAGGTTTAATGCTTCAGAAAACATGATAAAAATGTATTTATTTTAGGTCTTCGACAAGTTAATCAAAACCCTGCCTAACATTCGTGACATGTTTTCCACGAGAATGTTCTTGTGTGCCATGTCACGAGGAACCACATCCACTCTCCGCGACCACTCGAAGAACACCGTGAAAATGATTGAGACCGTCATCAAAAATTTCGACGTGGAAAAGTCAAAGAGAACGGACACTGGAACGGAGAACGATCCGAGAGTTATTGGTTTGTGGCACATGTTTCTCAAACAAAAATTATGCGGAGAACTTGTTTCAGGGCGTGCGCACAGCATCTTGAAGCCATATGGACTTGCCGGCAACTACTGGGAGAAATTCGGAGAGAAGATGATCGATGTGGTGTTGGCTCAGGAAGCTGTCAGGGACCTGCCAGGAGCCGGTCAGGCTTGGGTCATTTTCACCGCGTGTCTTGTCGATCAAATGCGTGCTGGGTTTGACGAGAATAGAAGGACGGATCATGAGGCCCAGATGAAGAAGAGTACGGTTCTTCATCACGCAACACAGCAGTTATTGGAGGATGTGAGTGCTAAATCTTAACTGGTACTATTATTGTAACTGTTCAGAATGCTACAGCCACAGCGTCCGTTTCAAACGGAGAATGTTCGAGCTCAAGCCTTCCTTCTACATCCAACGTGGCATGCCCATTTGCCAGAATGTCTTTAACACCGGTATCCTTTTTAACTATAAATATATCAAAGTATTTTTACAAATTTTTAAAGAAGGATACGTCACGATCAACCACCTCCGAGAACAACAAGGGCAGCGACAACGATCTGACGGACACCGTTTTCCTGTAATCTCAATCTCATTCTCGTATCTCTCCCAGTTTTCTCGTTTCTCTTTTCTCATTTCTGTTTTCCGTTTCCCGTACCATCCATTCCTTTCCTTTCGTATAGAATCCTTATCTCCGATAATTGGGTTATTGTGTCGATCAAGACTGACCTATTTAACAGATATGCCCCCTGTCCACCGTCCTTTTCCTTTTCACTCCTTCATCACCATTGCTATCCGATCTTCTCCCCTCGTTTCCTGTTCTTTTTTGCACCTTTCTTCAGAATAATGAATGAATGAAGTTTATATCTTGTGATTCAAACCTTTTTTGCTCAGGTCCGCGATGGAGAAGCCACAGACAAGTGGCAACAACGTGGCACGCGCCACGATTGCTCTCAGCGTGCTCAGCGTTCTGATTCTCGGTGTCGTGTTAGTGGTGTTGAACGCCCAATTGGACGAGGCTCAGGAGCGTCTTCAGAACAGAATGGGATCTTTTAAGGTATGTGATTGACTGCTTGCCAATGCGTGAAAACGCGAACAAACAAAAAAAAACAACCGCTTTTGTTCCAGTTCGTTGCTCGCAACATTTGGCAGGACATTGTTTTGGTGAAGAGCAATGGAAGAATCAAGAGGCAGTACGGGGGATATGGAAGTGATGGGGCGCAGGCCGACAATCAGCAGTGCACTTCTTGCGTTCAATTGAGATGCCCACCTGGACCGCCGGGACCACCAGGAGTTAGCGGAGAGTCAGGATCGGACGGAGCCAGCGGACGACCAGGAAAGCCGGGACTCGACGGACTCGATGTTCCTTTGGATCCTGAACCAGCTTTCCCTTGTGTTATCTGCCCAGCCGGACCACCAGGAACTCGTGGACCACAAGGAGAAACTGGACGTCCAGGGCAGCCAGGAGAGCCAGGACATCCAGGACTTCCAGGAAGACCAGGAAAGCCAGGGCGTGTCGGAGACGCCGGAGCACAAGGATCTCCGGGAGAGCAGGGAGAACCAGGAATCAAGGGACCACCAGGAGACGATTCCATCGGAGGAACTGGAATTAAGGGTCCGCCAGGACCCCCAGGACCTAGAGGACCAAAGGGACCGCCAGGATCTAACGGACTTCCATCGCAGAACAGTGGACCAACCGGGCCAATTGGAGAGATGGGACCACCAGGACCTCCAGGACCAAGAGGAGAGCCAGGACCGGCAGGACCATTTGGACCGCCAGGAGATTCCGGAGAGCCAGGAGGACACTGCCCATCATCGTGCGGAGTTCAGGAGATTGTCGCCCCGTCGGTTTCTGAATTGGATACCAACGATGAGCAAGAAAAGCCGGCCCGTGGTGGATATTCCGGAGGTGGATACGGAAAAAAGTAAATCAACAAGTCCCCCCAGCTAATCTAGGCGGTGATAGGTTGTCAAAAACAGAATCCAATCACCGTAGCCTACGACCCTACCTCAAAAAACCAATTACAATTTTCCGTCTACCAATTTTTAATTTTCCAACTTCAATATCTTATGTTGTTACATATAAATTTATGTGTTTATGCCATGTAAATCACTGCGTGGCAAACAGATTAATAAACTCGTATGTTATCGGGAGTTACCGAGAATTGAAGCTTTTGCTATCGTGCCTATACCCCCCATAAGGGGTGGCTGGCCAAAGGTATTGAATAGCAAATTCGGGTTGGGTTAACGGCCTGGGTCGTAAACTCGGAGACATAAAACCGGAAGGCGGCTGGAAAGGCAGCTGGCTGGCCGGCAACATTCAGCATGTGCGCATGACTCTCGCGCAAAAGCCACAAGAAGACGCATCTACAATATCGTTTGACTACTGTAATGACCTGAGCCAAACGAGGGGTTTTAAGTAAAACGAGACTAATTATACACGCAAAAGCATCCATCTTTAAGAGGTTATGACCATACTCGCCTATGCTCTGGGACCTCTGTGCAGAGAACGAAAAAGAAGAGAAAAATAAAGAAGCGAACGACGAACAAACGTGTCGAATACCGATAGAATATTATCCAAGATTATTATTTCATGAAGGGACGTCTTCTATGACAATGTGTTGCTTGCTTATGTCTTTTGACGCCGCGTTTAATTTCGTTTCGTGACAAGTCACAAGTTGTGAATATTTTATGATTGTTCACCACCCATCCCTTTCCTTCTCGCCATTTTCTAAGAATCAACCATCTTCTCTCTCTCTCTCTTTCTTTTCTTTCAAGCAAAAAATTTCTTCTCATGTTTATACAAAGTGAGTGACAAAATATGACTCACTGCACAGTGAGTATTCGGTGGGTACCAAGTGTCACCGCTTTGTGTACAGTTACTACAACTTAGCGTGAAGCGTCCGGATCTTAATTTACAACACGTTTGCGGTCGTCGACTTCCGAAGGAGCTGGATCAGTGGACCGTAACCAACTCGTCTCGTCAAGACATGTCAAGCTTCCGTTTCCTTCCCCCCGTCCATTTCGCGCACAATAACATAATTGATACATTTTAGCACCAATTTTATGAGGAACAGAATTTGTTGCGAACATGTTGTCAGCTGCCCCCCACGCATCCCCCACCATTACCGATCATTGCACCCGGCTGCCGAGGGATATGCGCACCATATTGGCGCGTTGATGGACGGAGCAAGCCACGACGTCATTATATCAAGACTGGTGGCAGCTCGAGCTCGAGACCCAGCTATTACCTAATTTTGAAGCGCTTCTCTCCTGGTCTTTCCCCCCTTTCTCGCGATAATGGATGTGCTCCGCCGTGACGCCGAGCATTTTCATTGTGCTGCTTTTCTGACTGAGATTTCAGTATTCACAGTGTGAGAAGTATTTATGATAATTTATTGAAAACAGACACAAGGTTCAGCTCATCGTTCATAGTTTTAGTTAAGAGTACGCTTAGCCCACTCCAATTGGATTGGATGGAAATTTTCATTTTTTCGCACGTTTTTTTATTTAAAAAAACGCACGCAATAATGATGGTATTCCAATTAACCCCAACCCTCCCACCCTCCCTCTCATTTTCAATTATTCTTTTCCAGAAGTGTTTCATCTCTCTGACCTCTGACTAGTAATGCAAGCAATGCACTTTTAGAGAATTGTGAATCTAAACATAAAAGTGCTACCCAGTTTGTACCCTCAAATCCGCTAACACCTTCTCAATTCTGTCCTTTCGTCAGAACCATGGATGTCAAAATCCGCTCTCGCGAGCCCGCCCCGCACGCCCACCCGCGCCCCAAATAGTTCTAAAACGTTCTCGTCCCTCATTTTTATCACTTTGCATTAACGATCTTGCACGCTTGACCGGACGGATGTGCCGTCTTGAAAAGTATCGTAGGCCGACTAAGAAATGCTCCGAGGAGTACTCACCTAAGCCGCTCATTGGCGTGAGACAAGAATGGGCGTGGCGATTTTGGGGGAGCATTCATGGACAGCCGCGCATAACACATACAACAAGAATCAGCTTACACCTAAACGGGCTCCGCCAATTTCGTGAGCTACCTACCTATTTTAAAGCCTCGGCGAGGTTCAAGAATGAATAATATATGACCAGACATTTTTTGCGAAGTTCATCAGAAATTTCTGCACACTCCACTCACCCATTCCTTTTTTCTTGCCCCTTTTTCGGATTTCTTTAATCAATTTCTCCCACACATGCATCCATCTTCTCACGGGTCTGACTTATAGGAAAATCTGAGATTAACACGGAAATAGGCTATCAATATTCTTGTGTTACGCCTTTTTTCTCTTTCTTTTCTTATTCAGAAACGTATGTTTATGTTCGAATCGTTTTTCAGCAAACATGCTGGGACACAACATTCTGACTCTTGGCGCCTGCGATGCACTGGACAATCATATCGTAATGTGTAGCACTGGTCTTCTGTCGCAACACGAGGATTTCAACAATGGTTAGTCTATCTTCTTTCACTTTTTCTTGCAACTTGAGAAGACGAACAGTATCTGTCTCCCCCGCACTCTCGACTTTACTTTCCATGTTTTTTCTTCCTCCTGTCGCTTTTGAACTTCCACCGCCTTGCCTATATTACAGTGGCCTTTGTCGCTTATCAATTTCTTCTCTCTCCCTCTCCCTATTCCAACTTCTTTTCCTTAGTTTGACCGTCTTTCGCGCCCTTTTGTGACTCAGTTTTACACTTTCGCCCGAGGTCAATCACACCTGTTCACTTTGTTCTTTTTCGGGTTCTATCCTCGCACTCAACACCCTCTCCGGGAAAAAACAACATATTTTCGCTACTTAGCCGTGCTCATCTGGAAATTTGATATTTTAATGGTCACACCTCTTTCCCGTGCGCATCATCCGCACCTTTAGCAGTTTATGGTCGGGTGGCACACCTGCAAGCTGGCAATGAGCATTGAATTACCGTTAGGTTCGTTATCCTCTATCCTGGCCTCCCCCCTCTCTCTCTCTCTCTCATTTGTCCCGAAGCCAATACGAACAGGCTTATACGGGATGGTGACATGAAGAAGCAGAAGCAGAAGAAGAAGAAGAAGCGGGAGGGAAGAAAGCATATGTGTCAAGAATAAGAATCAACCCTTGACGGCGCTATATGAAACAAGTTGAATTATTTATTACAGTTAATGCAGGCCATCCGAATAGCGAAGAAGCCATTTGTTCGTTTTGTGACAAGGAAATAAGAGACCGATTTGTTTCCAAAGTCAACGGAAGGTATTCAGTGAAGTACATAGGGGTCTGCGGCAATTTACTGTTTTTCAGATGCTACCATGCGTCATGTTTACGGTGCTCGACTTGCAAGGACGAGCTGGGAACAACATGCTTTTTGCGCGACGACTCGATGTATTGTCGGACACACTTCTACAAGTACGACACGTGTTTCTTTCTATCTTTCTTCTGTACAAAACATTTCATTTTTGCAGGAAATATGGCACAAAATGCGCGGCTTGTACCGAGGGGATTATTCCGGATCATGTCGTTCGGAAAGCGTCAGGACATATCTATCACGTTGAGTGTTTCACCTGCTTCATATGTAAACGGTTAGTTGCGTAGGATTCTAGGATTCTAAGGTAAATTCTATTTCAGGCAGCTTGAAACCGGCGAAGAGTTCTACCTGATCGCTGATGATGCTCGGCTCGTGTGCAAAGACGATTACGAACAAGCGAGAGATAAACGTAAGTGCTTCCCAAGCCCCAATCAACTCAATGACCTCCTCAACACACTCCCAAAGTAGGCGATCTTCCAGAATCCGCCGAAAGTGAGGGAGACAATAGTAACAAGCGACCGAGAACGACGATCTCTGCTAAAAGTTTGGAAACTTTGAAGCAAGTGAGTCAAGCCTCCCTCTATTATCACCTTCTCCCGTCCTCCCGCTCTCCACTTCTTTTCCGTGGTCCAGTCATAAAATGAAAAGAAATCATGTTGTGTAATGCTGTGCGGATTGACGAGAGTGGGGGCGCGGCAGCAAAAACCGCAACACGTCCACGTCTCGCAGACGCGAGCAGAATGGGGTGTAATAAAATACAATAGAAATGTCAAGATTTCTATTTCATTAAAACTGTGAAGCTCCACGCTCGATTTTCAGGCCTACCAAACAAGCAGCAAACCGGCTCGTCACGTGAGGGAGCAACTCGCATCCGAAACTGGATTGGATATGAGAGTTGTGCAGGTCTGAATCTAAAAATCCTCAGGTGGGAGGTGTGTGTCTCTTCCAGGTGTGGTTTCAAAATCGAAGGGCAAAAGAGAAGCGGCTCAAGAAAGACGCAGGACGTCGTTGGAAGTCATCGAACCGCGCGGACAGCGATAGCAACTCACCTATCGAGAGTCTAAACGGCCAAAGCCCTAATTATTGTGAGAAATATCACGCAAAACCCCCCGGCTAATCCTTCATACCTTCTAGTGTACCTGGACCACACGATCGACGACGGAAATGAAAGTAATTATATGTATCAATCGAGGGAGCAAACACCCGATAAATGTGAGGGTTAATGGTTGAGGGGGGTGGGCATGGAACAGTTTCTTTTTCCAGTTTTCCGCAACGATACACCGTCCTCAGAGCCTCCACTGCAACATCTGACCACTCCAGGACTAGGGGTGCTCTCGACGGTTTTTCCGGCACCACTTCCGCTTCCAATGTCCACGAACGTTTATGATATTCACCAGACTGATAGACATCTCATCACGCACATGGGCACACAGTTCATTTGAGTTTAAATATAGAAAACAGCTTTTCCGGTTCATCAGAAAGCTTTGTGTTGTAGCTTAGTAGTCGAATCCTGTCAGATTTCCCCCAGATTTTCCAATTTTCCTGTGAATCCCCACACCCTACCTCAAGATTCTCTCCGAAAACTTCTAAGCCAAAGAGGAAAAAAAAACTTATCCATCCGTCTATGTATTTCCTATCCCCCTTTTCCTCCCACACACAGATGTTTGTCCGAAAGTTTTCAACACTAACATTTTCACATAAATAAATAGGTCCCTTGCCCGTTTTGCGTTTCCCGCTCCCTTCTTTTCCCCCTTCCTCTCACACCAAACACTTGTTACGTATCCCTCGACACCTTGACCAATCGGCCATTCCTCAATCATCGTGAGCCCTCATGGTGTGTAACACTTATTTCGAAATTTATGATTGATGGTTTTCACTCCTTTCTCTATTCTCTATTCACACAACATACACTGTTTAATTTCCGATCATCGAGTTGCCAAATCATTTTGCCATACATTCATCAAATGTTTCCTCCTCCTCTTCTTCCTCATTTTCGATTTTAAAATAAAACATTCATTCGCATCATGTTACTCTGCCACGTGTAATACTTCGAATAAACACATTTTATTGAGAGAAAAGACGACGAACAGGGTGAGGGGGGAAGAAATGAATACAGTTTGGCACACTTTTGGGAGCATGTGATTGAATATAGAAATATCATAAGATTAGAAAAAAAAATGACAGTACTTGCGGGAGATTTGCAAATCTGATGACAAGTCTTGTGAGCAAATCATGACGAGTCAACATACGGAAGATCACCGACCACTAACTTGATTGGATCAAGTGATCTCTGGAAAAGAATCTACGTCGACAACTGAACTGAGACAAAAAATGAAATAAAAAACGGTTTGAAAGCGGCGGAATGGATCGCAAGGGACGAGGCTGGGGTGAGGTTAATGTAGTGAGAGGGGAATACATATCACAAGGCAACGAAAGGGTAGTACAGAAGGACAAAGCTGACAATTGACTGACGCAAAAGGGAGAAACTTTATCAAAAATAGTTCTCCGAGTCAATAATTACCTTTGGCACGTTGGCGGTAGCGGCTCCTCGATGCGACATGTCGTTGCTCAACGACGTCTTCTTCTCGACTTCCGGCGAGATTTCAGTCGACTCGTTGGTGTAGGGCTGAAAATTGTTTTGAAATGGATACCAAATTTTACATTTTAGGTTAAATCTACCTTGTAGTTCACCGATCCATTCCCTTTGAACTCTGGGCTGCTATTTCTGCAGTCCAATTGTTTCTTCTCGTCGATAGACGGACTGAAACATCTCAAAGATACAAGCGAAAACGCCAAAATTCTAACCTGTAAGTGTGTTTTGGTCGATCCCATGGTTCGGGGGCGTACTGCGACGGGTAATAGTATCTGGGAGCAGCTGGCGGGTATCCTTCTTCTATCTAGAACATCATAAAAATGATTTCATAATGACCCTTTCTTTTTTGAAGGCACCTGTCGCTGAATCGAGCGTCGCTTTCTCCTCGAACTCTTGTTGTGCACCATCTTCAGAACTAGAAAACAGAGGAGTCCGACTATTGAAATGGCTAGAACCGCAATGGTAAGGTTGCGGAGATCCATGATGTAGTCTGTCATTCTGTGCATGTCGTCGGCCACCTAAAAATTACTTAGATGAAATAGAATCAAGCAATAAGGTTACCTGAATCATTTTCGGGATGCCTTTGAAGATCATGTTCATATCAGGATACTGATGATGGTCCATCATGTCGCCCGGATTGTGATTCAGGCTTTGGCTACTGCCCATCACTGAAAACAAGTTAGGGGCGTGATAAGATCGAGAAGAAAGGGGAAGAAAAGAGAAAAAGAAGGGGGAATGTGACTTCTCAGGAGAGCAAAACGGAACCCAAGACGAATGAGAGCCAACAAAGGCTAGGAGGTCATTTCTTCTTGCACAAGAAATGAAAAATTTTAAATATTTCCAAAAGGTTTGTTGCATTAGTTTTGTTTACATGAAGACGGAACAAAACGAGAACCCATCGAATAGGTCCTTCTCGTTTTCCGCCCATCTTCCCCAATTGCCTCTTTAGAAAAATCTGAGAGTTTGGCGCGGTCGTTCTCGTAAATGAACCTCGAGGGAGTTGAGCCCAAAATATGTGCATTCATCGCCAAGAGTTATGAGTCGGTTCGACACGATGTCGCTGGGAGCAGGAGGAGGAGGACAATTGTTCGCGTCGGCCAAGTGATACGCGATTCAGCTCGTTTACTCTTGCACAAAAAGCGGTGTCATCGAAAGAAAACGAATTACCGAAGCGAAATATATGAGGGCTATGTGTGTAAAGGGGGGGGGGGGGCTCCTTGTGCCGCCGACCGACTGACGGACCCTCCCGACCAGAAGGATTAGAGATAATGACAATGGATGCGGTGGATGGGGCAGACTTCGCCGCCGCCACGGGTTGGTTTGGTTCGAGCCACGAAACAGCTGACCACCAAAAAGTTTTGTGATAATAAGAAAGAGGCAAGAAACGGCTGGAGAAACACGCAACGAGAAAATGAAAGAGAGAGAGAGAGAGAGAGAGAGAGAAGGATAGAAGAGAAGAAGATCCCAGGCGAGGAATGATGGGATATGTTTATAGATTGGTGGAAAAAATAACATTAGCTCTCGGGCGACGAGCCGCGCCGAGCGAGACCAGCTCGCGTCTACACGCCCTGATCGGATTGATGAGAAGCAGCGGGATTTTGATTTTGATTCTGAGATTTAGATTTACAACGTGCGTCTTTCTTATCTTTTTCTTTTTCCACCGGCTCATTTATCAATTCTAATTTTTCGTTTCGTAAAACGAAGACGCGTAAACAAAACAGGGAAATGGATCATACGTAGATCAGAAAAAATAGTTCAAAGTTCAGAAAGGATCAAAACCAAACAAACATGTTTGCCGATTGATAGTATTGATATGAGAACAAAACAAGTGGAACCGAAATGAGAAGAAGAAGAAGGAGAACACATAAAATGTTGTCCGATGGGCACATTCGACACGGAATGACAAGAACACCTGTCGAGTACTGGCCAGGCGTTTTACCGCATGCCATCGCAGTCCCTGGCCCCGTGTGGTCCGCTCTCGCTCGATAAATGATGGTGTAATACTGGAGGAGGAGTGAGTCGGTAAAAAAGTAGGGTTATGCAAACACGTCTGGATGACTTCCCCCCGTCGGACCGTCTTTTATCGTCTGGTCCTGTTAGCATAAAGGGCACGGTCCTGGTAAACAAACGTCCGGCAGATTGGCAAGAGCATTTCCATAATTGGAATGAACTAGGCGCGAAACTTTTGACACCCCCCCGCTACACACACAACAAATCAGATCAAGGAAGCGACGGACCACTACCAAATGGCGTCTCGTTTTGACTTGACACTCTACGACCGACCCCTCGGTTGTTGTTTTCGTGGAATGTTAGTTTACTCCAACAGAATACTCACTTTTTCATCATTCTCTTGTTGTCTTTTGTCGGTGAAGGGCGGCTAGATGCATTCAGAATAGCAAAAAGGAACTGACGACTTTGGCAGGAAGAAAATAGAAAAAGTGAAGAAAAGGACCAGAAAAATTGAGATGGAGTATAATCCACTCGCGATTGATGTGGATTAACACTGACTCGCTCGGAAAGAAAAGTTTCTAACTTTTGGAAAAGTGAATTTCAATTTTCGAATTCGAGAATTCGAGAACAATGAAAGCAAGAGAGGCAACGACAGAAGGACAATCCATTTTTCATTAGATGAATTCAATTGGATTCTTTCAAATCCTTCCCGTTCCTATTAATTTTTCAGTGAAAAAAGAAAAACAGAGCGAACAACGCAAAAAATGCGACAGACCGACCGACTAGAGCCAAAAAACAGGGGTAGCACTGCATGGTACTGACAGCATAGGTATACCGCCCAAAAATGACTAATGTAAAGGTCTCAAAGCACGAAAGGTACGCAGATAATAAAAATAAACGCTCAGGACGAGGGCTCTCGTTAAACACACTCTGGCCCTTCGACCTGCCCTCCGATGACGTAAGATTATTGCGTTACTCCACAGCTCATCAAACAGGTGCGTTCGAAGACGTTCATGTTGATTCTTGGTGACGTAGTAGAAGAAAGAAGAAGAAGAAGTGAAAAACTATTAGTTCCAAGCGAATAAATCATATAATGTTCGTCGAGAAATGTGGGAACCGATTGGAGGGTCAAACAGCAACAGCAGGAGAACATGTGGTGACTGTGAAGCTGCTGCCGCAAAAGAATGTGTTGATTGGCATAATTGACGAGGAAATGAGTCACGACATGGCCGAGAAAATGGATTGGAGCAGTTCTCTGGTTTTCAAGAAAAACTTGATCCTGAGAAGTTGGTTGGAAGTAATTATGAGTTTCCTTGTGACTCAGAACCAAAACTTTTGCTAGCCAACCGGAAAAAATACGTTTTTTGTTATCACTTCATTTTGTTACTTTTGATTCAATGCAGAAATGTCAAGGAATCGAGAAGGAAAAAATTGCTTTGATTTATTAAAATTAAAACAATTGGACAAAAACGACTTTGAAACCCAGTTAGGTTCTCGAAAAATACAGTTTCTCTACTTTTTTTCAACGCATTTTTCAGTAGAAAACTTTGACGATCTAAACTGGCACCATATATTATTAGCACATCAGTGCTTCAGGCACCGTTTAACTTCACAATTCTCGTATGTTTCAAACAATTGATCGTGTGCCTTCCTCTCAACCCCAGACCATACAGTTTTCATCCTTTCCAAACCATCAAAGCTAACATGATGAAACATACACACACAGATTTCTATTTTTAACCCTTCGCCCCAAATTGAACAATGCCGCGTCCCGGGCACAAATTTAGCTTCCCACCTTACCATAAGCAATGGTCAACCGTCAGACTAGTAGCGGCTCTCGGGCCCAGCGGCAAATGATGATGGTGCTCACGTTGTTATTATTTCAGGTGGTCAAACAGAACCGTCTCGCCTACTGACAACGCTATGGGCAGTGCGCGGAATCGGGAGGGCGGAAAAGAAAAACGAGCGAACGGAGGCCGCGCGGCAAAGAGCATTCGGATGCTGGTCAGTTCTACAGTTGTACCGAGAACATCATGCTGATTCGACTCCTACTGTTTTATTCGTTAAGTTGTGCGTTTATTTTTTGAGTTGGTGAAACTTTAACACTCAAAAATGTTTCAGTTATTGGAACGAATGCTGTTAAGAAGAGCACAGGCCAGATTGGCCAGGCTTGTTTGACAAATGAGAAAAGACGATGTATTCCGGAGAATGCCGAATGCATTGATGAAATTTGTATGTGTGCCAGCTTTTATAAAGCCGTCAACGGGCAATGTGTCACCGAAAAAAGTGAGTTTTAGAATTTTTATTGGGGGGAGAACCACGAAAAAACGGGAAAAGAGTTGTCTCGTCTCCTCGTCTTCATGACAGATTTGGATTCGAAAACACTTGAAGGACGAGCTCATAGGCAAGAGCAAAACCTCATTTATATTCCGTTTCATCTATTTCACATCCCCTCTCCTCTCTCCAGGTAAAACGCTCAAACAACGCTGCCGCGGAGGAGGCGATTGCCACGGACCCGGCGAATTCTGCTCCTCGTTCTCGATTTGTATGTGCCTCAGCACTCATGTTGATGTCGGCAGCCAATGCAAACCGGGTGAGTGAAAGGGGCGCGCGCTCATCTTCGCTTTCCTTTCACGGTCTGACTGAAGTAGCCAAATAAGTTTGCTGTTTGTCAAATAATCTGTTGACAATGCGTTCCTAATGCGGGTGGCACCAGCACAAGCTTGCCGATGTTGACTTACCGCAAGACGCTTCAAAGTTACACGGGTGCTACCAAAACAGATTAGAATTGGATTAAAGTACATCCAACTTTCAGTGATTTACCCGGGACAACATGGATGCGAAGACACGGTTCAATGTAACAAAGGATTTCCGGGTGCGAACTGTGATGTCCACAGAAACTGTGTCTGTCCAGTGGGTCTCATGGCCATACAACAAACTTGTATTCCTCTGGACCGTAGTCGAATGCATTCACCGATCAAAAATGGTTAGTTCAAAATACAGCTCAAGAAGTAGGGAGAAAAGATAAAATGCTGAGTATAACGAGAACAGCCGCTAGGTATGAGTCATGCTTCACTGCAGGGACCATGTCTATCAATCATAGCAAAAATAAAAGATAACTCTGTCACATGATTCTTGTTCATCTTTTCCTGCACCCCTCACTCATTTCTCATCCCTTGAACTTAAAACACGTATTCTTTTACTGAGCTCAACTAAACATGAGGTTTTTTTGCATACTATTGTTGATCATGTTAGGTCAGTGAAACCGATATAGAAAGAACTATCACTTTGATTCAGAAATGATGCTGCAAAACGAAATCATGGCCGATCACCGAATGATTAACAAGTCCGACTTCCGCGGTAATTTTTTCAGACGGAGAAATTACGACGGTCCAAGAGCATTCCAAATCAATCCGGGTTAGTTTTGAATCCATCTTCCCAACTTATGAAGCTCTCTTTCAGATGAGACATGCTCCTACGACAACCAATGCTCCGGATATCCACTTGCAATTTGTGATTCTGTCTGCAAGTGTGTCAAGGGCGCGTGGAACACTGGAGTTACTTGCATTGCATCGGCTACAGGTACTCGATTCAGTTTTAGTACTCTTTTTTAAATTCCAAAATGTTTCAGCTCTTCAAACGTCTGTCGCTTGTCCGGCTGGTCAAACATACATCCGAGAGGCTGGAGTTTGCATGACAGGTTATTAGAAATCGTTTTTTTTACTAAATGTAAAAATCATTTGCAGTCCAACAACCCGGAGAACCTTGCCAATACTCTCAGCAATGCTCTGCGCTGGAACCAGGTGCATACTGCTTGAAAATGAGGTTAGACCAAATGCATAATTCGAATCTAGAGCATATTAACTTTATTTAAAGATGTGAGTGCGTGTACGGAATGAAAAAGAGCAGCAACGGATGTACATTTGTGAACAACGACTGTAAACAGAGAGGTCACATCTTCATCAGCGAGATCGGAGAATGTCGGGAAGTGATCCCTCCGGGCGGCAAGGGATGCTCTCACAATCTCCAATGCTCCGGCGCCTACCCAGATGCCACATGCTTCATGCAAACTTGTACCTGCCCACCAAATCTACCAGTTGCTGCCGATGGAACTTGTGGAAGAGCGTGCCCTGACAAGCAGGTCTACTCTGGGGTCACTGGAGAATGCCTTCCAGGTTTGTCCCCCAAAACTTTCACAATTCATTGAATATTGTTGTTCCAGAAAAACAACCCGGCCAAGACTGCATTTACTCGTCTCAGTGTCAAGCAGCATTCGGTGGACTTGTCTGTGACAAAAACACATGTCGCTGCCCGAACGGTCTTGTTTTTGATGGGCTCAAATGCTCCCAGTCTTGCCCAAGTCACAAAAGAGTTATTGACAAAGATATTTGTGTTGAAGGTAAGCTCAAATCATACATTTCCCCCAAACACTCTTTGTTTTCAGGTTGTCCGACAAACTTTGTGGAAGTGAGCGGTCACTGTGTTTCCCAGGTGGCCATCGGCGAGTCATGCACTGCAAACGCCCAATGCAACTTTGGAAGTTTCTGTCAGAGCGGAACATGCCAATGTCCTCCTGGATTCTACGTTGTAGACAGTCAGTGCCAAGCAAGTGAGTTCTGAAATCACTTTTTCTTCATAAATTTCAACGAATCTATGATTATAGTTGAAAGTGATCCAAACGGAAGCTGCCACAACAACGAGAAGTGCACCAAAGGTTCAGTTTGCTACAATGGGAAATGTGTCTGCCCGAGAAATCAGGAACTGGTGAATGGATACTGTCAACCAAACAGAGCTGGTAAGTGAATCACATTGCATGTAACGCCTCCTTTCCTAACCCAAGTAATCCAGCAGTCCAAGCCTATAACACTGCCCTCAGTAACATCCGTAGAATCCGACTTCGGTTCGCAAGTCAAGCAAAGTCCCGCAATGTTCCTCTACTAACCGACGATGACACTAACAGTACTAATGGTAACAACTGATCTTATGAAAAAACCAAACAAATTTTTACAGTTCCAATTGGAAGTGCTTGCGTGAGAATCGGCGTTACTTGTGACGGCGGATCCGTCTGTGTGGCCGGAATCTGCGTCTGTCCGCTCAGAAAAACACCAAGAAATGGTGTTTGCATTGAACAAGTTGCAGGTATATTATATTTTCCAAGCTATCTTTACAACGTTCGAAAATTCAGCACGTCCCGGGGCCACCTGTGCCAACGGTGAAGAATGCGTGGAGAACAGCATTTGCAGTGAAGAAACGAACATGTGCGAATGTATCAAACCATCACAAATGGTGGTCGGAGGGCAATGCATTGAAAGGCTCCGATCGCACCCCGGATACGGTTGCAGTATGGGAGAACTGTGTGTGGGCAACTCGGTTTGTGTAAATGGACGATGCGAGTGTATTAACGGAAAAGTGGATATCAACAAAATTTGTGTGGAACCAGTTGCTGCAAAGCTCGGAGACACTTGTGGAAAGGGAATCAACTGCCAGGGAGGTAGCTACTGTAATCTTGATTCTGGAAAGTGCGCGTGTCCTAGAGGAGAGAAGGAGATTCATGGGGTTTGAAATACTCGCAATGCTTTCAAATATTTCATTACGATGTTTAGGAATGTAAACCAGTGACACTCGCTCATCCAGGTGACATGTGTACGGATTTGACCGCTCGTTGTACCGGCGGATCTTATTGCGTTCGAGGACGGTGTGAATGTCCGTTCAGTATGCATGCAGTTGACAAGAAATGTGTTCTTCAACAAACAGGTATGGATCTATCACATTTCTAGCCCCACAGGAAGTTTTTTCAGCGGCTCCGGGAGAATCTTGCACAGAAAGCATCTCCTGCTCCGGTCTTTCCGTCTGCAAAAACAACCGATGCACTTGTGTGAACGAAATGATAGTCAGAGACAAACTATGCGTCCAGAGACGGAAAGTAGAGGTTGGAAGATCTTGCGAATTGGAAGATCAATGTCTTGGTAACTCGACGTGTACTGACAATGTTTGTCTATGCCCGACCGGCCACGTGGCAAGCATGAATGTCTGTCTTCTTCGCAAAACTGGTTAGTAGCCAAGTTACTAGGGCTTTTTTTTGAGATTTCAATAACATTTTTCAGTCACGCCTGGATATCTGTGCAACCCCGAAGACATTTGCACCGGACAATCAGTTTGTATCAAGGGGGTCTGTCAATGTAAACCAGACTACAAACAAATGCACAACATTTGCGTCAAAAAAAACATTGGAGTCGAAGGAGCTCCATGTTCCACGAGAGATGATTGTGGTGAAGGACTTACTTGTGATTCTGGAAAATGTGCTTGCCCGGAGGGATTGTTCTCTGTTAACGGAAGATGCAGAAGCTACAGTAAGTTTGTGTCCGGTTTCATAACAATCCAAATTTATTCAATTTCAGTTCAACTCGGTCAGACGTGTACCTCTGACGACCGATGTGCGGCCAGAAATGCGCAGTGCTCGGAGAACGTGTGTGCTTGCAATTCCGGCTACGTCAACATCAATGGACAGTGCTCCGTTCAAATCGTCACTCCGGCAGAACCTGAAACATTGTCACAAATCAAATGTAAGTCCCAAAATGCTCGGTTCTATTTCTGGTGTTCTTTTTTTGTTGTGTGCCGTGAAATTGCCGTGTTTATTTAGCTGGACTCATCGGTCACATCTGTACAACGAATGACCACTGCAAAATCCTGCACTCTCACTGCCGACGCAACGTTTGTATCTGCAAGGACGGCTACAGAATCTTCGGATCAACTCAGTGCATCCCAAGAGTTGCCAGGCCAAAAGAGAAAAAGATTGAGAAAATCAGCAAACTTGTGGAACTCGGAGAGCAATGTGATAAACTGTCACTCTGCCAGAGAGGGGCTATCTGCAAAGACGGCGTGTGCTCTTGTCCGGAAACTTTCTATGAAATGGATGGTGTTTGTATGAAGAATGTGGCTAAGATGAAAGGTTTGAAAGATTTATTGACATTCATTTTGTTTTTTATGTTCATGTTCAGTTTTGGTTCCCCCATTATCGTCATGCTTGAACGGGGAAGAGTGCAGTGGGAATAGTGAATGTGTTCATGGAATGTGCTTCTGCAAAGAGGACTATACGCTGTACCAGGGAAAATGTCAACGGCTGAGAATCGTGGAGAAGCTGCGAGTTTTGGAAACAAAGAAGATAATCAATCCGGCAAAGGCATCTTCACCTACAACCATAAAACCTGCGGCCACAACAACATCTCCCATGACCACTACAGCGCTCAAAACAACAGCAAAAGCCACAACGACTACCACTACCACCACCACTACCCAAGTCCCTCTGACACCCATAAAAATTTCTATGAAACTTGGTTCCTCTTCCTCTTCTTCATCCCAAATCACACCGAACCCAAATGTGGAGTACAAGTGGAAGCGTAAGAATCTTTTTTTTTTTGGTTTTCTATGTTTCTGTTCAGTTTCCAAACCCGGACGTCCGTGTGATTCGCTCAGTTTCTGTACCAGTTGCTCGGTGTGCGTAAACGGTTTCTGTCGTTGTCCCGAAGGTCTTGAACTCTATGGAGAAGAGTGTGTCAGTCAGATTGAGGGTATCGTCCTTAGTTTCCATTTCTCTATAGCTTTAACTGTTGATTTCAGCTACCAAATGTCTTGCTTCTAATCAATGTCCTTCTGGAGCTCTATGCGTGGGCGGAGAGTGCAAGTGTAGGGCTGGACTTGCTATTTCCAAATATGGATTCTGTGTACCAATCACTTTTGGTACTATTTTGGTTACAAAATGAACGGGATATGTAAAGAATATTTCAGCTGAACCTGGCACAACATGCTCTTATGGAGAAAGGTGTCAAAAAGATTCGCACTGTGAAGATGGAATCTGTACTTGCAACGAACCTTTGATTCTGAAGGAGAACAAATGTGTCAGATCGCCCAGAGGTTAGTTGGAAATGACTTAATGAACATAATCCTATCTAACAAAAGCTTGAAATTTTACTGAAAAACTAACCGCATGACCGTTCAGAGAAACGTTTTGTGAGTGATACCCATCGGAAACTTTTGCGATTTACTCCGAAGAAAAAGGCAAAGCTGGGAGAGTATTGTTTCCGAGATGACCACTGTGAAAGTCAAAAGCAGTGTCTGAATCATGTCTGCAAATGCGCAAGGAACTTTGTTCAATCTTCATTCTCTTGTGTTCCCCGGATGTCAGGTATGTCACACTTATAGTTCCACTGAAATGTAGCGTTAGTTCAGTCGTTTCGTCACTCGCCCTACCCGGAGAGTCCTGCCGCAAAGGTTTCTGTGTCGGCGGATCCACTTGCACAAATTTTATCTGCAAATGTCCCGAAGATTATTATAAACAAGGCGATTCTTGCATCAGATATGAGTCCAGAATTGGTGCTCCTTGTGGTCTGACAACGGGATGTTCCGGAGGATCCACATGCTCTTCCTCTTACTGTCAGTGTCACGACCAGTACGATGCGGATATTGATGAATGTTATCCCTATGAGACACCGGCTAGAAGCAAAAACATCAAATCTATCTCTGGAAGGAAGAAAGTCAATCGTGTTGTGAGTGGTATGTATTCATTCAGTTTGAGGCCAAGCAGCTGATGAACTAAATTTTCAGCGTCGACCGTCAACTGTCCAATTGGATACGATCTTGTCAACGGAATGTGCGTCAATAGTGAGACCCTTTCAGTTATCCAATTAGGTATGTGCAGGCGTTTCTGCTACGGCAGAAAAACATTCAATTTCAGCTGAACCCGGTGGAGCCTGTGAAGATGGAAGAGTACTTTGTACTGGCAATTCTGTATGCGCAAACAATGTATGTATCTGTCCTGGCGGAGAAACCGTTCAAAACGGGACGTGCTTATCGATAAACACTTTTTCTGCACCTGGAGAACTGTGCGACCTGACAAACACTGTTTGCACTGGAAACTCGCAATGTGTTGAAGGCGTCTGCAAATGTCCTAGCAATCAAGGCGCCATCAATGGGAAATGTACGAGCATGGGGAACACAGCTTGTGGACAGACTCAATGCGGAAACAACCAGATTTGCATTCAAGACAGTTGTCAGTGCAGACCGGTGAGTGCAATCAATCAAAACTTCTCAATCGCGATTTCTGGTGTTAAGGGCTATTACCAGCAGCCAGGCAGTTGTGTAGCCGATCGTTGCAACTGCATACAAGAAGTAGACCTCTCAAACGTGGACCCGTGCAATACTAGACAATGTGGAATGAATCAAATTTGCCTTCAAGACCGTTGTCAGTGCAGAACTGGATATCTGCAGTTACCAGAATCATGCGTGGCCGATCGATGCAATTGTGTTCAACCATCCATCGATGTGAGTGGAAGTTGTCCAAATCAGTGTGGTAATAATCAAGTCTGCGTGCAAGATCAGTGCCAGTGTCAAAACGTAAGCTAGCGCTCATTAACTTTTCATAATTGTATGAAAACATTTAGGGATACTATGTACAACCGGATAGCTGCGTGGGTGATCGCTGTAATTGTGTTCAGCAGCAAATTCTTCCGGATGCAGTTAGCTGTCAAAGACAATGCGGGAACAATCAAGAATGTGTTCAGGACAGATGTCAATGCAGACAGGCATGCTTGTAAAATGAAAAGTGCCTAAGTAAGATAGAGGTTTCAGGGATACTCGGCACAAACAGAAAGTTGTATTGCTGATCGCTGCAATTGTGTCCAAAGTGCCACAATCGCCTGTGTCGGAAGTGGATGCTCACCTTCTCAATCTTCCTCTCCATTCTTCGGGTTGCCCGGGCAAGTGTGTGATCTGCGACCCGATGCAACTCCATGTCGAAATCAAGCTCAATGCATCAACAACTACTGCGCGTGCCCGTCAGATCGAGTGATCAGTGGTTCTAGTTGCGTGAAATATCTTGGGGACGCACTTCCCGGACAAAGCTGTCAGAGTAGTGGAATGATCTGCAGAGGTATCAAGTTTTTCGGGGAGTTTCTTAAAGTTTTCTTGCTTCAGGTGGTTCATCTTGCAACCAAAATGTCTGCCAATGTGCTACTGGTTTCACGCCATCTTCCGGTCGATGTATTCCGATAGTTGAGATAAGATTCACAATGATTCCGGTTACAACTATTGTCCCGGCTATCGTTTTTGACTGTAAGCGAGCGAGTTCATAGAATCACCCATAATCTTTGTGTTTCTAGTGAATCCCGGTCAAACTTGTGATCCGAACTGTGCGTATCAGTCTTGTCTCCAAAGATGCGTAGGAGGATCCACGTGCAGCAATGCAATATGCACGTGTCCACAAGGAAGTTACGTTTTCAACAATATCTGTACTACAAACTTTGCTCAAAATGATAATACGGTTTGTAGTTGAAACTTCACTTGAAACTTCAACTTTGATTACAGAACTTTACCAGAACGGCAAGACCAGGAGATGTTTGTGACAACACAATTGTCTGCATTGGAGGTTCGTCGTGTGTCATCGGTACTTGTTCGTGTGACATTGGATACACTCCGAGCTCCGATCGAACATCTTGTGTTCTGATTGACCGCTATAACGTTAGATCGAGATCGTATCCGAAAACCTTTTGCACATTTGATTCGGAGTGCACCGGAGGCTCCATTTGTGTGGATAAACGGTGCGCGTGTCGGAATGACCATGAAATGATCAATGGAAATTGCCAACTTGCGGTAACCGTAAAAACATTTTTCTGATTCAATGCATCTTCTTTCAGAATCAACCTGGATCCAGATGCCATACAAGTTTCTGTAGCAAAGGCGCCGAATGTCGGAATGGTTATTGTGTCTGCGCAAAAACGAATCATTCGAACTCGGCATTAGATTGTGTGCCCGCAACTGGAACCACCACTATGCTTGGTGAGTATTTGAACCGAGTACGACTCAGAACCGTTCGTTACAGCATATCCGGGCTCAAAATGCGAAAAGAGCACAACCTGTCAGAACACCTCGACTTGCCTTTTCGGTTTCTGTGTCATTCCACAAGACGAAAGCGACAAAGAGATGAACAGTCGGAAAAACCATGATATAACAGCCAAAAGTACACATCCGTTTTGTGAATTAAGACGAATATTTGTGTTTCAGAGAAATGCAGCAACTACAAAGACTGTGGAAAGCTTCAAACATGCTCCACCGACGGATTTTGCGAATGCTCCTTTAACACTAATCAAATTAATGGAGAATGCGTTGCACGGCTTGCCTTTTAATACTGATTTCTAATGATATTTTTGTATATTTGCATGTGAACTAACTTAATGAACTTTAACTAATACGTACTAATGTTTTATAAAAAACATACAAATGATTCTAGATCCGGTGGCAAGAAGAATTCCAACCGCGACAGTTTTGACGGAATGTCCCAAAGACGGTTCATGTAAACTTCCTGATTGCTTCTGCACCAGGTAACAGGTATTTCACAGAACTATCTACTGAAAACTGAAATTTTAGCTCTGGAAAGGTTCCTCCAAACAACCTTGACCCGAAACGAGTCCCGCAAATGGTGATGCTCTCGTTCGACGATCCGATCACAGACCGAATAATCAACACTCTCAAATCAGTGTTCAGTGGAAAGATTCGTAATCCGAATGGATGCGCTATTAAAGGAACCTTTTTTATTTCTCACCAATGGAACAACTATGATCAGACTCTCTGGTTGCACAGCAAGGGCAACGAGATCAGTGTGAATTCGATCACAAGAGAAGACTTGTCCGGTCGGACTAAAGAAAGATGGTACCGAGAGCAGAAGGGAATGCGGGAAACTGTAGCAGAGTTCAGTTATGTTGACAGAACTCAAGTCATTGGAACACGAGCACCGGGCTATAAGATCGGAGGTTAGCTTAATTTAACATTTCTGATTTTTCCACTTTTATGTTTCAGGTGATGCTCAATTTGAAATGATGACTGAAAACAATTTCACATACGATAATTCTATGCAAGTTAATGGTGCGTATTGGCCGCAAACCTTGGATCACAAACTTGCGTGGGAGTGCGATGGAAAATGTCCCACACACACTCATCGGGGTGTATGGGAGATTCCAGTTCAGAATTTGCAAGCCGATGACACTCGCTGGTACAAGACTTTGACCAGGGCTTTGAAAGTGATAAAAAATACTAAAATAAGCAGTATACCAATGTGTTTCAGCCAATCGACTCTCGGGAGTCAGTGAAGAAACTATTGACGCGCAACTTTATGAATCACTACAAAACTAACCGTGCCCCGTTTGTTGTTTCACTCGATACCGAGTTTTTGACGTATCTTCCGGACAATGGTGCTATCTATGCATTGGAAGACTTCCTGAAAGATGTAATTCATATAACTGCCCATATCTGTTAACCAATGCAATGTTATAGGTTGTTCAAAAGCAAGATGTGTTTGTGGTAACCGGAACTCAGATTATTGACTGGATGAAAAACCCGACCGACTTGAACGGCATCAAGAATCTCCGCTCGTGGCAATGCAAATTCCTCATGAACGATCACGTTCAGCCATGTGAAGTGAGCAACACAAATTTTTAACATATTTTCAAAAAGCTCATTTCAGGTGCCATCCACTTGCAGTTTCGACGGAAGAGCCCGTGGTCAGCTGGCGCATAGCTTCAGAATGTGCGGAGTCTGCCCCACTTCTTACCCATGGATCTAATCTGAATATCAAAAGCATCTAATCAAATATTCATTTTATTTGTTCCTTTCCTACTTAACGCTCGTACCTTTTTTATTATATTTCGATCTCCAGTTTCAGTTATAAAAATGTCTGTCTTAGTCACCATCTTCTCACATTTAATGCATTCCACTCCGCACCACTATCACTGAGAACTTTGAGTTTTTGCGGAGGGCGAAACCTCGCCGTTTTGTCTGCTTATCTCGAGATCTCTGCAAAAAACCGTTTGACGGGCGGGCGCGCCGGACACGGCAACAAGCACTCGATGTTGTGCAACTCCCACCCCGAACCGTTACAACGGCGTACCACTTTAAGATGAAGATTGGCAGAAAAAAAAGAGAAGAAAGAAATCTAAGGTCAATATTCCCACAGTCAAATACTTCATCCAAAGCAAATAAATCGCGTGTTGAACAAGACGATTATTCTTTGGCTGCGATATACCGTCTTTCACTAGAGCTTAGGAATAAACGCGAATCCTGGACCCATCACATTAATCGGCTACTGTTATTCTCTGTTTTCGGCACTTTTTTGTTATTTTGTTCCAATGTACAGAATCTCGTCTTTTGTATTCATCAGTATTGCACTTTTTTTCGCCAAATGCGGTGAGTGGGCCACGTTTTTCTAGAAATTTGGCTGGAAACAAATCAGCATCAGGAAGTAGCATTCATTCATCCGGAACATTTATTTTTTCAATCAGAAAACCTTTTCCCGCGCTTTTTACCGCTCGAGCTGCCAACTGTCAGACTCGGCCATAACACATAACCACACAAATTCTCCACTTTGTTCTCCCAATCTCCCGCCACTTCCCGACCGCGATTTGCCCCGGTAGTCAAACAAATCCGTGACTACTAGCCAGGCTGGCCACCGACAAAAAACGTTAGAGTCTATGTACAATCAAATGTCGAGTTCAGACCGAACAGAAATGTTTGAATAATGACGATGGATATTGAATTTCGGTTACATTTTTTTTGCAGAAAAAGCCAAAGAGAAGGTAGTGGAGGAAAAAGCGGAGAAGAATGAGAGAGAATTGGCCAAGCACCTTCTCACCGATTATTATCAGTATACCCGGCCGGTTCGCAACTATTCCAGCGTGCTCAATGTGACGGTTCAGCCACAAATTTACAATTTGGTGGAAGTGGTACTCGGGCAGTCGCTTAAAGCTTGGTATTCATTTTATTTTCAGAACGAGCAAAATGAACAAATCAAAATTTTGCTCTGGTTTCCACAAAGCTGGCAAGACGACTATCTCGTCTGGGATCCGAAAGATTGGAACGGGATAGACAGGATCATAATTCCGAAATCTCAAATTTGGATTCCAGACGGATACATTTTTAACACGTAGGTCAATAGATCACTTCAAAATCTTTTTTCTAAACACAAAAATATTCAGAGTAGAAGAAACGGAACCATTGGAGAATCACAATGCAAGAGTCAGATATGATGGACGAGTTGAAGTCGATTTCAATAAAGTGAGTACATATTTTCCTCCTCTTTTCGCTGTTTCAGCATTGTTTGTACTTGTTTTCAGCTCGTCGATCTGACCTGTCCTATGTCGGTGCTCTCGTTTCCATTCGACGTTCAGTTATGCGCCCTGCAGTTCGGCTCGTGGTCCTATCAGGCACACGCAATCAGCTTTAACGTTCTGGACACTTTTGTGCCTAAGAAAAGCGTAAAAACGGCTTGAAATCCGTAGCCAAAAATATGTTTTTTTTTTCAGAAAAACTCAGAATGGGATATTGTTTCTTTCAACGCAACAAAAATGACTACAAAGTATGGGGACACTCTCGGAGGATTCAATGTCTACGAGGAGATTTTCTATTACTTAGTGAGGTTTTCAACATTTTGATATAATATCAAACTTGAACGAGTTTTTTGCGATTTTGAGTTAGCAGATCACGTTTTCCGGCTTGTACAAGCTATTCAGTGGAAAAATCTATTCCTCCAAGTGAGAAATCTGAAAAGTCGACATTTTTTCCAAATTTTTTTCACACTTTTTGAAACCCAGTACAATCCGGGCCGATTTTCGAAGGGCCTCTATAATATACATTAATTTTGCAGGAACTCCGACGAAAGCCGCTCTACTACATTGTGGTCATTCTTCTTCCATCTTTTCTCATTGTCACCGTGTCAAACATTGGTCTCTTTACACCCCACGGAGTGCATGGAGATCGTGAGGAGCATGTGAGTTCGAAAATCTGGATAAAATGTGATATTCAGCCGGTTTCAGGTGTCTCTTGGTCTCACTACGATGCTCACGATGGCTGTCATTTTGGACATGGTCACTGGTCAAATGCCAAGGAGTAGTGAAGGAATCCCTCTTTTAGGTGCCACCTCAAACTTTATTTCTAATTCAAGACCATATCGTTTCAGGAATGTACGTTTTGATAGAATTCGTGATATCAGTCATCGCCGTTTTGGTCTCCGTTGGGATAATCTTCGCCCACGAAAGAATGCTCTACTTGGACGCGACTCCGCCGTATTGGGTGTACCGACTTTTCTCAGACGAGTGCAAAATGTCTCTTGAAGAAGTGAGTCGGGACTTATTTCAAAACTGATTTATGCCGTTTTCCATTTTTCAGATTGAAGAAGATTTTTGCTCGAAGCCAGCTGATCTAGTGCAAGAACTCAGGTTTTGTATGGAAGAAATCAAAAAGTATCTCGATGAGCAGGTAGCTTTCATAAATCAACCTAACAACTCATAGTCATTATTTTGCAGGATTCAACCGAGAAAAATCGAATAATATGGCAGCGATTTTTCTCATGGGCCGATATTCTGTTCAGCATTTTCTTTTTTGTTGCTAACTGTCTTGTGACGTTTTTCATGTTCATGGAATTCATTTTTTGATAATTTTGCTTTCGGCTATAAATATTTTGTTTCACAATTACCATCGATCTATGCACGATGAGTCATGGATACACGGTCGGACACGCCCACGCACGCGTTGAAGTCGGCCACCGGCAGCCAGAACGCGGCGAAATTTCAGTCGCATGTGGTGTCAAAGCTTCCTTCTCTCTCTCCTTCCTTTTTTCTTTTTATGCCAGTTCTGTTTTCAGATCATGCTTGGGTTCTTTTCGGTCGTCTTGAAGCCGTTTCAATCGATTCGGAACAAGTTCCGAAAAAAAGAAGGAAGAAAACATTTTGTTCCGTTTGAATTATTCGCTCTCCCGCTCGTTCCTCTTCTCAACATTCTGACATACATGAACTTGGACGACCTGTAAGAATCATAATTTTTGGCTTTTTGAATAGTGTTTTTCAGAGCCATGCTCTCGCAGACGTCTTGTGTCGGAAAACGGGCTGTCCAACTGACGAAGGCACCAGACTTTGACCTTTGCGTCAACTTTTCATTTGACTTTCTGGTGTTCTTCAAAAGCGAGCAAGAACCAACGATCTACGAGATAGAGAGTCTGAAGTTGCGAAGTTTTTTCAATTTTCAGTACTGGGTGAATGGAATTGATCCGCTGCTGAAAAAAATGGATCACTTTGTGAAGACGTTCCGAGTTCCAATCGGACGAATGATCATCGACCTCAACTTGTTTTCTGAGGACAAACAAGAGTTAATCGATTGGATAACTGCTCAACCCAAGGCTCCGAAACTCATAAGACTAGAAGGAGTTAATATCGACGCAGATCTCTTTCATTTCGTCCTCGAAAAAAACATGTCAGAGAGAGAACTGCATTGCTGCGCCATCCCCACCGAACCGCTTCGAGATAAACTAACCATTCACATCGACCGAATGACGTCATGCAACTCGCAATGGCTGACAATCGGAATTCTTCTCGAACTCGACTGTGCCTTAATACATCTCGCGAAGTCAGAACTCAAAACGAGCGACTTGATCACGTTTGTCGCCAGTTGGATGAACGGAGAGATGAAACGACTGGAATGGTTTGCGGTATCTGGAAGAGAGGAGTACGACCTGCTAAGAATAGTCGATGGATTGAGCACGACCAGACATAGTCTCCTCGAAAACCGTCTGATCACTTAGTAAGTCTCTTCTAATCAAACAAATTAAAATCCAAACCATGTGTTTACTTTTCCAGCACGGACTACAACTACGAAGAGACTTATTTCCAAGTGTCTGGTGGATACACGGTCCAAAGAAATGACGGAGTTAAAATGCTCATCTCGAATTACGGTAGAGGTGATGTGTACGGAATGAGCTTCGTCGTTTTTCCGGAAACCGTCAACCACCACTGTGTCGTACAGTCGATAGAACTCTTGGAGCCCTAATTGCTCATTCTTTTGTGTTTCCTTATTCTGACTTCCTGCCCTTTTTCGCTATTTGTTGCCTTTTTATCCAAATTATTATGGGTTTCATTGATTATTTGTCAAATAAAGAAACAATTAACAAAAAACTCACCCATCTTTCCAGAAGTCATTTGCGAATTTCAGAACAAATTAATTTGTTCCAGCGTTGGCGGCCCAACATAATAGAACTGCGCAGAATAGAACCGCGACATAATAGAACTGTTCGGAGCGCCTTTTAAGCCTTTCTGTAGAAAAAATGTTTCGTAGAAAAAGATAATTTTTGAATCTCGTGATCGATTCATTGCATTCATTAATTTCACTTCCGTCGTGATTCCTCTTCTCTACGGTAACGAAAACCCACAGGAAATAATTTTATTGTACTATCAAAAACGAAAGGAAACCAATTTTCTAGATATAAACTGTGGTCTTCTGCTTAATTGTTCGTGAGACGAAACATTTTGCGAAAGTTAATTGAAAGGAACGGACAAAATGCTCATATAAATACACAAAAACAGTTCTATTATGTCGCAGTTCTATTGTGTCGCGGTTATATTCTGCCCAGTTCTATTATGTTGGACCGTCGTTTCCGATTGTTGTACAAATGCATGAAAATGTTGTGAATGACTCGCTCGTAGGCTCGCTGAGCTCAGCTATGTGTGACACATGTTTAACGTGTGATACTTCCAGTTCATCGAACCCTCCGTACCTTTTATAGACTTCTCCTGCAGAATCCTCGCCGATCAGAATTCCACTATACCGGCTTGGACGCTCGGACGGCAGCCTCTGCCAGCAAAGAGAGAGTCCTTCTATTCCTCTTCCTGCCTTTTTTTATGCTTTCTTGCTGTTTCACATGAATTCTTCCTTTATTTTTACTTAAATCTCTGTCAAAATACAACAGATGCCACTTTCTGCTAAACAAGGCGCAGTACGATGCTTCAAAAACCGGCGGGTGTCCGCCGGGCCTCCACAAGCGCTAGCTGAGGAGAGACCTGCAAAACGCGCAAGGCAACGTTGCTGGCGCGTTTCGCGTGAGCTACGTAGGCATTACTGGTACAACAGTCGACGTCAGATAATTGTGCTCTTTGACTAGTGAAATTCTCTTCTGTTCGCTGTTTCTCTCGTGTTTCACTGACATTTTTAAAATGATTTTCTTGCAGGTGATATGAATCTGATAGGTTTATTACTCTCCCTTTGCCAATTGGCATTTCTCGCCGCTCTCGACCGAAAAGGAGTGCATACCACTTTGAAGGCCAACTGGGATTCGACGTCACTTCTAGCCGAAGCCAGGTAATTTCAGGCCCAATTTCTCCTGCGGAAACTACGGAATTTTCAGTGAATTCATCGCGAATGAGAACGAAAAACTATTTTTCAAATTCATCGATATTGTAAACAACGAGTCCGGTACCCTCAATTGGGAGAAATGTGAGTTTATCGATTTTTCATGTCTCTCAACGTTTTCCGTTTTTCAGTGACGGATGAGAAGAAATACGAGTATGCAATCAAGACGGCTACAAAAGTCTTGCCGACGTCTTCGGTTGACCTTCTGAAGTTCGCACTGGCTCTCCGACAGTATTCGCCACGTGTTCAGTCTTTCCAACAGGTACATCCGCTCGCTGACCAATTCCTTGGCTCTCATTAATCACCAACATTCTAGATTGCCGCCGAGTACGGGGAAAACTGCGACGTGTTTGCTGTTGTTGGAGAACAAGTGTCCTGCGAGTATGACAAAGTTGACCAACTGACGAAGAACGCAAAGAAAGACAGTCAGATTCTTGAATCGGATCATGTTATTGGAGACAAGAAGTCACCGAAGGCAGTCATTCTATACGGAGAACTCGGAACCGCCTCTTTTGCGAAGGCTTGGCAGAAACTGTCGAAGAGCCAGAAGAGCGGACTTATCTTCCGTCATTTTTCCAAGAACGTCGAGTCTAACCCAGTTTCCTTGTCTGGATATGGAGTTGAGTTAGCCATAAAGAACACCGAATACAAGGCTGTTGATGAGAGCAACGAGAAGAAAAATATTGAGGAGGACGAGGCGGATCTCTTCGGATTCAACATCAAACTGCTCAAGGAGCTTCATCCGGATTCCGTCGAGCAAATCGAAGCGTTCCGGATCAACCTCAAAGATTCGGACGAATTGACGCCGCTCAAGAGATGGGAGCTGCAAGACCTCAGCTACCAGGCCGCCCAAAAAATTGTCAACGCCGGACAATCGGAAGCCCTTGGAACTCTCGAGGAATACTCGCAAAACTTCCCGACGCACGCTCGTGCTCTCGCCAAAACCAGTGTCAATGAGAAACTCCGTAAGGAAGTGCTCGATAACCGAAAGTTGCTGGAAGAATCTGGAATCGACGTCGGAGAGACTTCCTTGTACATCAATGGAATCAGTCAGGACATCAATAGCCTGGATTTGTTCAAGCTTGCGGATCTTCTCAAGCAAGAGAACAAGCTGGCACAAGGGTTCCATGGAATGGGAATCAATGTAAGTTTGAGTCAATGTTAGAAAGCTATAAGTTGCATGAAATTTCAGCGTGAATACTTGTCAGTTTTGGTTGGCATGGACAACTCGGATGATGAGAAGACGAGCTACGCCGTCGACCACAGAGAAGGATATCCATTTGTGAGTTTACTCGCTTCAGACATGAAAATTGATGTTACGTGCCTTGTTTTCAGTTCATCAACAATCTGGACACTGACAAGAAGTACAAGCAGTGGGGAAACAGCGTGAAATTAATGCTTCAGCCGTACTACCCCGGAATGATCCGTCCCATCGCCCGCAACTTGTTCAGTTTGGTCTTCGTTGTTGACCCGAGCAGCTCCGAGGGACGAAAGTTCTTGAGAATCGGGCAGACCTTCAACAATCACGACATTGCGATGAGAATTGGATACATCTTTGCGGTCAACCAAGATCCAGAGGCCAGTGGGGAGAATGACCTCGGAGTGGCGCTGCTCAATCTGTTCAACTTTGTCGCCATCGACTCCTCAAATACTGATGCTCTCAAGACTCTCAACTCGTTCCTCGATAGTTATCGCTCCAAAGAACCGACAATTGAGGATTTGAAGACATTCTTCGAAGGAAAATTCAGCGACACCAACTTCAAAGACGTATTCGGAGCCGATTCTGATTACGACAAGGGACGCAAGCAGGGCTACGAGTTCTTGCAAAAGACCGGTCTCAGTGACGCGCCGAAAGTTCTGCTCAACGGATATGTGTTGGATGATGAAGGAGTCCGTGGAGACAACATCGAGGAGACGATCATGATGGAAGTGATGAAGATATCTCCGAAACTCCAAAAGGCTATCATGAATGGAAAGCTCACTGACCGCATGAATGTTGGTAACTGGGTGCTCGAACAGAAGGAAGTCATGCCAAGAATCAATAAGAGAATCCTCTCGGCTCCGAGCAAGCGCGCTTATGTCGATCTCCTCGGTTCTAAAGAATGCAAAACATTGAAGGGTGCCGAGGTTCTTCCAGACACTGACAAAGCCAGATGTCTTCTGGAGACTACCAAATATCTCCAAAAGGCGACAAACGACGCAGTCCTGGTAAGTAATCAGTTGGATTTGGAGAAATCACGCTCATAATTTCAGCCAGTTACCTTCTGGACGGTTGCCGACGCCGAGACAGTCGATGGACGTCGATTCATCTACAACTCTCTCCAAATCCTCAAAAACTCAGCCAAATCTCGGATTGGAATCATTTTCAACCCGGAGAACATCGACAAGGCTTGCGAGCCGGAGAGCATTTCTTCGTACATCCGTGCCGCTCTCGAATATCTTTCAATGGATCAAGCCAAGCGACTGATCCTCAAGTTGAGCAATGAAGAATACGCCGCCGACTTTATTACCGGCAAGATGACGTTTGACGATCTGAGTGTGGGAGGAATGGACACTGGCAAATTCCTTGCTGATAAGAAGAAACTGACCTGCGAACGCACTCGTGCTGAAGCCGGTCTCATCAAGAGTGTCCTGGAAATTGCCGGTGGAGACCGAGTCATTGTCGGAAACACTCTTCAAGTTGGACCACTCGACAAGAACGAGCACTTGGAAGCGGCTGATTTCAAACTCTTGGAGAACATGCTTCTGTCCAGAGGAGCCGAAGTCATCTCTTCGCACCTTACCAAATGGGAGTTCAGTTCTGCCTACGGAGCCGGCTCCAATGTCGTCTTCGCCATTTCCGGACTCATTGGAAAACACGCATCAACTCAGAAGCGTACTTGGGTCAGCATCAAGGGAGACGAGCACAGTGTCGTGACACTTGTGGCTGACGAGGCCGACAAACCAGCTATCGATGTGCTCGCCGTCGTGGATCCACTCACATTGGAGGCTCAGAAGCTCGGAACCATTCTGCAAGTCATCAAGAAGGTTACCAATTGCGACATCAAGATTGTGATGAATCCGAAGGACAAGCACTCTGAGTTGCCACTCAAACGATTCTACAGATACGCCGCTGCTTCCGAACTTAGCTTCGATCAAAATGGAAACCTCAACGCAAATGTCGTCAGATTCGACGGACTTCCAAGCAAGCAGCTTTTGACACTTTCTCTCCAGGCTCCAGATTCTTGGATCGTCGAGGCTGTTTCTGCCAAGTACGATCTGGACAACATCAAGATGGAACAAGCGTCCGGTGATATCGTGGCCGTCTTCGCCCTCCAGCATCTTCTCGTGGAAGGGCAATGCTTTGACGAAGTCAGTGGACAGCCACCAAGAGGATTGCAGTTCACCCTTGGAACCGACAAGAACCCCAAGCAGTTCGATACCATCGTCATGGCCAACTTGGGATACTTCCAGCTGAAGGCCAACCCAGGAGCATGGAAACTGGAGATCCGTGAGGGAAAATCTAGTGATGTTTACAAGATCGGCAGCCACGTCGGAGCCGAGAAGATTGCCGATGATGTGCTCCAAGTGGTTATCGATTCGTTCACCGGAAAATCGGTGAGAGTACGAGTGGAGAAGCGAGAAGGAATGGAAGAGAGAAATCTACTCGCCGACGATGAGGAAGGTGTCTGGAGCAGTCTGAGCAAGTAAGTAATCATTAATGACACGCAGATAAGTAACATTCAATATTTTAGTCTGGTGGGCAACAAGGAGAAGCCGCAAGAGACCATAAACGTATTCTCCCTGGCTTCTGGACACTTGTACGAGCGCTTCATGAGAATTATGATTGTGTCGGTCATGAAAAACACGAAACACCCCGTCAAGTTCTGGCTCCTCAAGAACTATCTGTCGCCGCAGTTCAAGGAGACTCTGCCGACCCTCGCCAAACATTACGGATTCGATTACGAGCTAGTCGAGTACAAATGGCCGAGATGGCTCCATCAGCAGAAGGAGAAGCAGCGCATCATGTGGGGATACAAGATTCTATTCCTTGATGTGCTCTTCCCACTCGACGTTCAGAAGATCATTTTCGTCGATGCGGATCAGGTGGTGCGCGCCGATTTGATGGAATTGATGAAGTTTGATTTGGGAAATGCGCCGTACGGATACGTGCCATTCTGTGAGAGCAGGAAAGAGATGGATGGATTCCGATTCTGGAAGCAAGGATACTGGGCGAACCATCTTGCCGGCCGTCGCTACCACATTAGTGCCCTCTACGTCATCGATCTCCAAAAGTTCCGTCAGATCGCCGCCGGCGACCGACTCCGTGGACAGTACCAGGGACTCTCCGGTGACCCGAACAGTTTGGCCAATTTAGATCAGGATCTGCCGAACAACATGATCCACCAGGTGAAGATTAAGTCGCTGCCGCAGGAATGGCTCTGGTGCGAGACGTGGTGCGACGACGGTAGCAAGAAGAACGCCAAGACTATCGACTTGGTGAGTGGAATGAAAACTGCTTTAATGAAAATTCTTTTTTTTTCAGTGCAACAACCCTCTGACCAAGGAGCCCAAACTGGATTCCGCAAACAGAATCATTGGAGAGTGGAAGAGTTATGACGATGAAATCCGCGAAGTCATCTCTGGAAACGGCGAGGATCACACAATCACAGAAAACTCTGAGCATTCTCACACTGAGCTCTAGACAAATTTTTCAGTTTTGTTCCAGTCTTTATCATTTTCCATTTTCCCCACGGCTCCATCTGAATAATCAGGTTCCAAAGGCATCCATGCGATTGATTGATCGGCGGAATGCTCTTTCGTGTGTTGTTTCCAATAAATATTGTTTGATCAATGTGTGGGCGTGTCATGGAATGTGTCACAGGAATTTGTTTTTTTTCTGGAAGCGGATATTACACTGCGTCAAGACCGCGGATTCTGACCCATTCCGTTGCAAAATGTTGCTTCGTGCGGTCGTGCTCGTTTCTCTCTATGCCTGGGCGTTTTCTATGTACATTTCGGATCCGGCCAAGTGGAATCGTCATCCGTACTTGGTTAAGGTAAAATCAAACAGTTTCTGCTTATCCTATCATTGTTTTTCAGGTGCTCACCAAAGATGTGAAGTCGGGAGTAATCTCGACCTGCTCTGGAACTCTCCTTTCTCGGTCCATCGTCCTGACCAGCGCCAACTGTTTCCCCGCGGATAGAAAGTGAAAAAAATATCTACCACTCTAAGGAGTTGATGATTTTTTTTACAGGAACCTAGTTGCGCAGGCCATTATTATCCAAAAAAGCTCAAAGGACATTATGAACAAGGCCATGCTCGCTGTGAACGTCGAAAAAGACTTGGCCATCATGCAGATTGATCCAGTCACCGACGAGCATGTAAATATTCCAGATTTTACGACTAACAAGCGTTTTCCTTCTTCCAGTTCTGCGACAAAGACCCATATCCGTCTCGTGTCTCTCGTCTCAACTTCAAGCCAAGTCTCACCGAAGCCACCTACCAATCAGTGACGCCGAAGGAGATTCAGGACCTGAGATGCCGAGTTGTCGGATTTACCACCACCGACGATGGTATTCCTGAGTACCGTCTCAAAAACAGATAGAATTTGTTATTTTTCAGCTGACGATTTCGCGTCCTCGCATGATTTGCAGATTCTCGAGTTGGAAATGCGTGCCGATGAGGACAATCTCATGTTCTCGGAAGTGAACAGCAACTCTACCGGACGTGTCTGCTGGGTATGAAGTGTCCTGATGAAGAAATGCGGAGAAATATTGTTCAGGATGATATGGGAGCACCGTTGGAGTGCACTGTGAACGAGGAGAACAAGTGGGTCCAGGTCGGAGTTGTTCGTGCTCTTTACGGACGTGGAGTGAGTGCAAATACTCATCAAATGACACAATATTTCAAATTTAGGAGGACAAGGATTCCAACTCGACCATGGAAGTTACTTGCGCCGACGTTCAGGTAGGTTACAGCACAGATAAGAAGAAAATTGGCGAGGAGCGTATTTTGTAGTAGCGGGTCACTTATCACAGAAAAATACGGCCAGTCCACATGCCGAACCTATGATTTATCATCTTTTGGACTTGAGAATGGGAAAATATATATGAGATTAAAGGGGACGGGTGAGACGGTGAGCCGGCAGAGAAATAATAACGTTTCTCACAAGTGGATTTTCATTTCAGACTATGCAATTCGCCGTCTTTGGCGACGATACCTTTGCCCACACAATCGAGGTCGTTGATAAGGCCAGTGTCTTCGAAGCGCAGGACAAGTGCTTCTGAATTTCCTGATTGTCTTCACGTTTTTATTGTCTCTTTCCCTTCAAATTTCGCAATAAAGCTCACGCTTCAATTCTTCTAAAGGCCTTGTGGTCCCCCAGAGTCACAGTATTGATTTTCTTGCGCTTGCACTTTTCCTCTGAATTCCCTTCAATTTTGCTAGGAATCAATGTTACTGCGGCAGAAAAAAGTTGACCCCTTAACATTTGCCTTCTCCGCTGAGATTGTTACAATGAACACTTTTGCAGACAGACATCACACTTCTCGCCGCGAAATGAAGGAAATTGCGGGGGGAAATCATGGGAAAACACACCAAAATTCGATTTCTTGTGGTTTTTCTGGGAAAATTTTAATGCTTCGCATGGCTGCCTAACGTAATATTGCTAGTTTTTCTTCTGCTTTGGAATTTTGGCGCAACTATTAACATTTTCAGATAAGAATGGGAAAAATAAACTGGAGGTTACTCGCATTATCAGCAGTTTTGGCGGTTACTGCAATCTTCCAGGTATTTTCACTCACTTGCTGTCAAAACAGCGGTTTTTTTGTTCAGATGGGATACACAAATGCTTATCCAAACACTGCGATTGCAAGTTTTCGATTGTATATGAATGAATCGTCGGATGAACCGATGACAATGTCGAAAAGCGAATTTGAATGGGCTTGGTCCGCGATGTTGGCCGTTTATTTTATCGGATTTGCTGCTGGAAGTGTGATTTCAGCTGGAATTGCCGATAGAATTGGTCGGAAATGTAGGTAAACTCTTCCATCTAAAAATGATCATTTTCATTCAGGGACTTTGTGTCTGGGAACATTCGGAAGTTTGCTCTCCGCTATTATCGCTTTGTTCTCCATTATTTTGAAGATGCCAACGCTGTTTGGTTTTTCTCGGCTCGTAATGTCACTTTCGGCGGCAATTTCCATGAACGGCCTCATTTTGCTCTTCCAGGTCGGTGAAAACCCCTTTTCTCGAAAAAGGAACCCAAGCCCATCTTCTCTTCCCGTTTTTCATCTCACTAATGGAGCTTTCGAAGCACGCACATTGAATGGTGAATGAGAGTACACCGAGCAGCCATAAAAAGCTCATCCGAAGGGTAGAAACATGTGGTTTCGAGGAATGCATTTCAAAACGGCCGAAAAGAATGAAAAATGAGGAAGCGAGAGTAAGCCACCAAACACCCCCGGACCAGAAATGTTTGCAGGAGAGCTCCCCGACACACATGAAAGGCCTGATTTCGTTTAACGCCGAGATGGCTTTCGTCGTCACCAATCTGATCGGAGGTCTTTTCGGAATGCAAGCCGTGTTGGGTCAAAATCTTGTCGGTCTCATCGCGTACGTTAGCAATAATTGTATAGAAATTGGAATTTTCTGATCGGGAAAAAAAGACGATTCAAGTGAGAGATTACAGAATCTCGATCGTTCCGTCAGCTGTCGCATGTTTTCTATCGGTGTTCCTCAAAGAATCCCCGAAATACTTGTTTTTGACTAAAAATGACGGAGCGGAAGCGGGAAGAGCGCTCAAATTCTATCAGAATATCACTGACGACGAGGAGAAGGCAAACGTACTGAATGAACTGAAAATGGAGCGAGAGGAAATGAGCAATCAGAGAAACGGATCGATTTTCGATATAATGTCCTGTCAACCGACTCGTAGAGGATTCCTGTTGGGATTCGCTACAATGCAATTGACTGCATCGGTTTGGCCGGTCATTTTCTACTCCACCGACTTCCTGTTAAACGTCGGGTTTAGTTACGGACTGGCGGAAAACGTGTCAACTATTATGCTTTTCATAAGGTGAGAAAATCAGCATTTCTGATTTCCGAAGAACTTTTGATTTCAGCACATTGAGTACAATAGCTGGAATGTTCACAGTCGAGAAATTCTCGAGAAAATGGCTGCTGATCGGGACGGCCATAGTCAATGTCTTAGCGATTCTAGGATTTTCACTGAGCGCAATATTTTCGGAATACTGGCCAGTTGTAAGATATGGATGCATTGGCTTTCTGATTCTTCACGGGACATCCTACAGGTTACTTTTTTGCGTTCTCGTTTTGTATTAAAAAAACGTTTCAGTATTGCAATGGGACCCATCGCTTGGTTCATAACTTCGGAATTGGTACCGATAAACTGTCGAGCAGCGGCACAATCACTAGTCCTTGGCCTCAATCACACCGTTGCTCTGGTTTTAGCCTTTCTTACATTTCCACTATACAAACTGATCGGTAAGTTGAAAGAAAAACTAATTCATTTTTGATCAATACATTCAGGTCCTCTGGTTCTGGTCCTTTTCTTCGTGTTACCGGGTGTGTTATGCATACTGATGCTGATATTCTATCTACCGGAGACCAAGGATAGGCATATCAACGAGATAGTGGAAGAACTGAAAGATGCGGGAGCTAGGCGAAAACAATCTCGAGAAGAGGAGAGCTATAGCATGAATAAATTAGGATGAGCATGGCGAACATGATAAAGAAGCGGGTGTTGATTGAAGCACCGTTACAGAAATCATAGTTACAGCAACAAGTTTGGCGGGTTGATTGGTCTGACATACACGCGTACATCTGAAAAAATCAAAAATAGAGAATATTTGCAACCTTTTTTTGAACTCTTACCTGCACAGGTCCGACGAAAGTGCGCTCAAACGAACGTTTACAGTCACCCGTATCGTCACAGGATAATTGAACCTGAAAAATTCGTAATGTGCAAGAATTACTTCCAAAAACTGACAATCCCACTGCTGCCCGTATACTTTTTGCAATAATTCGTCGTACACTGGACTACTCCGAAAGATCTCCCGTTGAACGAATTGATGCAATTTACATAGGCCGCCGAAATTGGAAGAATTGAGAGAATCGCTAGAAAGGCGACAATTTTGGAATACATTTTGGTGAGAATAGTGGTATAGGGCAGAGTGGTATTTGAATTGACCAAAACATGATTCATTCAGGGAAATAGTTTTCGTATTTGTCAAGAGATGACACCGCGCACACATACCTCGTACCATCGCTAAACAACAATCATCTCGCCCCAATCTTCTAGTCGTTTCCTCCAACCTTTTTTCTTGAAAAACGAAATCATTTCCGGACTGTGGGGGTCACATTTGCCAGGGTACCTGAGAAAATGCAGATGATAGTGAAAAATGATTCTCTCTCTCTTTCCCTCTCTCTCACTTTTTCGTTTTGCAATAGTAGTTTTCAAACTCGATGAATCTGTTCTGCTTGTCCCAATTCGGATTATACACAAAGTTGGCCAGATGTTTGGGGTTTTGGTACGTTGCTTCAGGCACCACAAAAACACGACAACCGTTAACCATCACCGTGACGACGCCGTAGTAAGCGGTCCGTTGCATGCCTCCCTGAAAAATGTGTCATTCGAAATTGCGTCTCCTTTTTCGTTGAAAACAATTTGAGATGTCAGCTGAGCAAATAAACAAGTGCGTGTACTCAAAATGAGACTCGCAAGACGTACCCGGATGTCGGTCATCAACTTGAAATGTGCGGCGAGCTTGTGCCAATCCCTGATGTTTTCGTATTGAATTCTGGAAAACGGACATCCTCATGAAAAGGATACTGTAAATTGGATGAATCGTACTTGTAATTGTAGGTTTTCTCCATTTTTGTCGTGTTATCCAGTTTAATGGGCCGCGCGTTCTGAACTAGGTGGCAATTAGTGAAAGAAAGGACAAACGGGAAGTGAAAAAAGTGAATCAACCTCAATTTGTTCAATGAGAAGTTGATCGTATGTTTGTTTATGGACCAATTTGGTAGGTAACAGGGAGAAGTCGATGTTGGACTGGGAAGCGCTGATCTTGCTGAGATAGTCTTTGTACATTCCTCTGCAACGAGATTATATTCCTAATTGGGCTACTTTTTCTGAGTGGAAAATACCCGCTAGAGCCTTTTCCGGCGAGCTTCATGTTATGCGAAGTCCGACTGATCTCCGGCCGCACACAGGACCGATTCTTGCGTACCTCGGGCCGTCTCATCCAGTCATCCCAATAAGCGGCCGGGAATCCGGGCGAGAGTTCCTCCCAGAGTTGTCTGGTCAACATCCAGCCTAGTCCGGGAAAGAAATCGGTCCTCCAGACCAGATCTCCACGCGTCACGTCTATCAATCCGCCTCCTCCGTTGTCATTCCAAGCCGAGACGCACCTGAAACGCGTATCCATTCTTGTGTGGTCTTTTTGAAGAACACTCTCACCAGATGGTGTCGTCCGCATTAAGAACTTGTTTTCCCCATCGGAAATACGAGAAGAAATCGTTACCGATGTCAAGGTCGTCTGGAAAACAAAAAAGATTTACATGCATTCCTTCTCTCTCCCGAAATCTACAATATTCAATGAGCCGTCAGTGTTCTCTCAACTAACCTTCAGTCACGATGACATGATTATACCGGAACTCGTTGAATACCTTGTCCAGTGCCCACTTATAATGCGCTGATATAGCCGGGTAGTTATTGCGCTTTTTCATGTCGTTCTTCTCATGCTGGGAACGCATAATGTATGAGAAATGATCGGAGAACAAAGACGACTCACTCGTATATGCGTTACGTTCTTGAAATCTTTTACGAATCGCAAGGCAACTTCGGAAACGGACGACTTCTCTCCATCTTGGCTGATGATTATGTGGTATTGGTAAGGGGAAGGTCGTTGTCTGGAACAAAATGTTTGGGTTTAGATGGAAAGACATGGAAAGACATGGAAAAGTATGTAAACTCACGCTAAAATTTGTGATAAATGATTCCTAAGAGCGTCGGGCCTTGTTGCACAGAACACTAACACTGCCGCCACGAATTCAGTATCATTTCCAACTCTCTGAATATGAATTTTAGTGATATTTAGACGATGTCCAGGTACTCACTGTTGTTGATGTTTCCTCCGCCGTCTCTTCCGTTGAACTTGAACTAGGGGCATTGATAGCAAGCTCCTAAAGATGTTGGGATAACACAAAAACCGTAAAGAACTAGCAAACCTGTTGAATGACACGATCTTCAGATCTTAAGTAGACGATAAACGAGCATAAAGCAAGGATGCAGATGACTTTGAACAGTGTGCTCGCGTGTTTTGATGCCGACCGACGGAGCACCCGTTTCATGTGCACACGCCCGTCCTTCTGGATGGACAAGTGTCGAAAAGCGGTTAGTGGCGATCTGCTCAAATATTCTAGAAGCGTCCGAATAACGACACGACTCGACTATGAATGGAAAACGAAGCGCAGCCGGCGGCGGCGAGAAGAGAAGGAGATGCGGCGACGAGCGTGAGAGTCGTCTTCAGCATCTCTGCTGCCCTGCCCAGGGCCAAGCAACAAGACACCGCAGCAGGGCCGAGAAATCGCACCGCGCAGTGCCTAGTCCCCGAAACGCTCTCTAATCCTCTCCGCTACTGGTGTGGTCTTTTTTTGCGGAGCGATCTCTGCGCGCTAGTGAGGCCGACGAGAGAGGGGCATATGGAGCATCTGCGATCTGATTGCGCGCAACGATTGTACAGCAGATAGAATGGGCAAGTGGAGAGCGGAATGATGTGCAAAAAGAATTTGCGTGTGGTACGAGAACGAGTTTTCATGTACACAATCGCCATAACAGGTTGTTTTGAATTCAGAGCGATACACCTTTGAAAAATATCTTGTAGTGCTTCCAAAGTATTATGGATCCGGGTATTTAAAATGAACGATATTGAAAGAAATAATTGTTATATAGAACCTGCCCAGTGCTCGCAGGCAAACAATGCAACAATAGCGTGCAACTTTCAAGTTTTTTTTAAATTCAAACATCGTATAGTAGAAAAGTATTTTTTAGTGTTACAGTGCATGAAAGATAGAATCGGTGGTTTAGGAAAGAGAAATGGGTAATCTTAGCTTATAATAGGCACAGGGAAAACATTCTGGATGACCTTCAGTGCTTCAATAGTTGCAGAGTATTATCATTTTGCACAGTCGTGAGATTTCTCCGGGTGAGTCATGCTGGAGGTTTTAGAGGGGAGCAACGATGCGATCTGGTGTAATGTTTCAGAGATTTCCTCAAATTCCAAGTATTTCTGATGTCTTTTCGATGCCTCATCTTCCAACTCCGAGATTCTCGACGCATTTTGTCTCTCTTTTTCGTGATGTGCGTGCTGTGTCGACCGGATGCTCGTTTCGAGGGCGCGGATCTGAAAAGTTGTTTCCTCAGTGCTGCCGGATATCTTTGTCTTCTCACTTTTCCCTTCAACTCGTCAATCACTTCCTCATGCATCATTTTTTCCTCTCGGAGTACCTTGTTCTCGGAGGAAAGAGATCTGTAAAAAGCTGTTTTCGTTTCGGTCTAAACTTGTAACTCACTTTGACAGTGCATGCAATGCGTTGAGTTCTTTTTCCACACGACTTCTCTCCGCGATATTCTCATCTTCACTTTTATCACGGTCCATAATCTGTAAGCCAAACAAAAGTTTGTTTCAGGATCTGTGTAACTCCTACCGCTTTCTCCAACTCTTCACATCTCAATCTCGTGATTTCAATTTTGTTGAGCAAACTGTGACTGGAGCTTCTCTCTGATTGAAGCGCCGATCGAAGCTCAGAAACAGTTTCATTTGTGACTTGCGCTTCCTTCAGTTCTTTCTGTCTCGACGAGTAATCCACTTGTTCCAGACGACTTAGCTTCGTCGACAACTTGGCGTTTTCCTTTATCATGCTCGAGTTCTCTTCCATCACCTACCAAAGATTTCACTCCATCAAATTTAATTAATTTCTCACCTTATCAATAAGTTTTCTATCGTTTATCTTCGTCAGTTCAAACTCCCGCACTTGTTGTATGTACGAGCTGATCGTCTCTTGATTTTGCTCCTCTTTCAATCTCAGCTCCCGAGTTTCTTCTTCAACTACCGAGATTCGACTGCGTAAGTACTGAATCTCTTCATTCAGCGTTTTTATTTTGGAGTCTTTTGCCAGAAGGTCCTCTTGTAGGTGCATAATGGTCGCCTAAAAAGAATTTCATTCAAACGTTTCTAAAAAGGTTCGTACCTGAAGATGAGAGATGTCACTATTGGCATGTCTTAATCGTTTCGTGAGATCGAGCTTCTCGTTATCAGTCGCCACTATTTTCAGTTCTTTTTCCGCACAAGCCGGTGCCAACTCATCAATTCGCTTCTGCATATGCAACAGTTCCTCTAACAGACTCTTCTTCTCGGTTGTAATTACATCTACAAAAATTTCTCAGCGGTAGGCATCACGAAAAAGTCGTACCCAGTTCATTTCTCTTCTCAGACTCTATAATTTTGATTCGATGCGTCAACGAGCTGATGATATTCTCCTGCTCAACTTCTCTTTCTTTCAAAACGGCAATTTCCTTTTCAAGATGATTGTTTCTCTGTAAATAGTCCATCTGTAATCCATGATAGTATTGGAGCACAATTTACCTGAGCAGCTTCCATCATAGATTCATCTCTTTCGTAGTTTTGGCTCATGACAAATGACCTGTCCCTAAACGAACATGTTTCTGACTAATTAGCCCACGCAATTGGGCGCCTACCTCATGGAGTTGACGTTTTGAGAACGCGGAAAACATGGGACGCTGTACTCCCTTTGGTCACGTGCAGCCGAGTAGAATACCTAATATAAAACGTTATTCACGAAAAACAAAACGCACTAGTGATTACTTTATCTCTTTCTCTTCCTTTTTGAGAGCAATGCGACCTATCCGTGATAACAGCCGGAATGGGCGGGTGATATGGCGGCAACTGGCACCACGTCTCTCCATTCAGCGAAACCTAAAAGGATATCACGCGATTCCATTCCATCCTATTATTATTGGCTCACTTCGTTTCCTCGTGCCAGTATTTGCGTTGTAGTCGCACGACGATGTTGCTCACTCTCTCGCACTTTTCCCAAACGATATTGTTCTTGTAATTGATGATGACGTTCTTGTTGTCTCTCTTCCTCCTCTTCCACTCGCTTCTCTTGTTGTTGTTTTCTGTAAATCCCTAAGTAAAATCAAAGAATTAGACCCTAAAACTCACAAAAACGAATTTTCGATTTGCAAAAGTTGAATCTGCTGCTGCAGGCTCTGCGCGTATTGGTCAGCAAGATTCGAAATCTCATTAGCCTCGTGGTCGGTCGCTTCTCTGAAACACATCTCGATTCATGCCTTCATTAGTCTAAAAGCGTACACAGAAGTTTTCCGAGAAATTTGCTCGGTTCTCGTAGCTTGACTTCCTTGACTTTGCCGTCTTCTCGGCGCAATATGCGCTGCTTTTCCTGCAAAACGTAATTAGGGAAATTAAGAGTTTTTTCTGTTACCTTTGATCATCAGAGACATAGGCCAAGACTAGAATATATATATATATATATATATAAATGTCTGGCAATATCAAGGGGGAGGAGGGAATGCACGGAAATGAGCCCTTGGGGCGGCGGAGGGTGCGGCCGGGAGGGGAACACCGGCCGGCACCGCTTAGCGGTTACCATGGCGATGTGCAGCGAACCTCGTATTATTCGGAGGCTCCGTTGACCCCTGTTGTGCATAATCCATCGTTAGGTAATCATTCTGTTTACTCGTTCCGAATCAGCCGGATTACAGCGGTGAGCGCTGTGTTTCTAACAAATCCAATCAAAACTACAATAAAAATGATTTATTTAACTTAATAGTGAGAACACCTTTTGTAGTTTTTGTAAAAAATAAAAAAGTTTGCTCTTTTAAGAGATACATTTCTGATTTTTAATCAAATTCAAATACTCACAATTCAATTTCGGACAATTTCAATGATACATCACAATTTATTGAGAAAAAAGACAGAAAAGAACGAACACATTTGAAAAACAAAACCATAAGAAACTCATTGCACAGAAAATGGTCCATAGACTGAATTAAATACAATAATTGCCGAGCAAATCACATCACAATTTCAACGGAGGAGTTTGAAAATTAGAAAAAAATATTGACATATAACTTCCGGGATGGTTTGATAAGTTGAGGGGAAGGGGAAAAAACGACGTTCTTACTTTTCAAGAAATAAAAAAGACGACGGGTAGGTGTGGGAAAAATGACTAATAATTAAAACAGTGGGTATGTTTTGGTATCTCGGCAGAAAACCGTTAGAGAAGATTTTTGGTATGTTTTATGAGAAGTACCCTGTAGAAGTTATTCGTAATCTGTGAGTTCCTTCCCCAGTTCTCTGTTCGCTGCCTTCGCTTCTTCTGCTTTTTTGGACTCTGCCTGAATCATTACGGAAGCGAACCACTCCTCGACGTCAGTAACTTTTTCCTCGTGAATTTGGACGAACGGATGTTTCTGGAAACGGAGATTCGTTCCAAACTTGCTCATTTCATCGATCGCGACTTACCAAAATATCGTCGTAGTTCGGGCGTTGGGATGGGGTACGCTGAAGGCACCACTCGACAAGTTGGCACAATTCCGGACTGTAGCCATCGGTGGTCTTCAGGAATGGTGGGTCTCCGCTGAGGATCTTGGTCATCATCTCGAACTCGTTGCCCGCGTACGGATAGTTTCCAGTCGCCAGTTCGACGAAAGTCAGTCCCAATGACCAAACATCACTGCGAATGTCATACGACTCCAAGTTATTGGGGTCCAGACGCTCAGGACCCATGTAGAGCGGGCAACCTGCCTGCTTGGAATGCGCACGCGACTCGATAAGCTTTCCGGCAATACCAAAGTCGCAGAGCTTGATGATGCCGTTCCAGTCGAGCAAGATGTTGGATGGCTTAACGTCACGGTGCATGATTTGCTGAAAAAGATAGGATTAGACAGGTTTTCTATCCCTCTTCCGTTCTTGTCCCTCTGAGAGCTTACATGCTTAGTCTTCAAATAGTGCAAGGCCTTGACGATGCTGATGCTGAGTTTGCCGATGACGTCCTCCGGGATTTTCTGTCTGATGACACTGAGAAGACGGTCGAGGCAAGTCGCCATGCATTCCATGCAAACACGAACGTCATACTGAAAATCAGAAAGTCCAACTTTAATTGGGCGTACCCTAGGGAAAACCTGAGCTTCTGTTCAGCTCAAAGTGCACGCCCGATTTCCCAAACTCACCGGAGTGATAAAATACCCGAAGCAACGGACAATGTACGGACAGTCGAAGGAGAGACAGATGACATCGAGATCCATGAAGATGCGCGACATCTCGTAGTTGTTCGAAGTGCGTGGCATAGTCTTTACGGCCATGATCACGCCATCGTAAGAGCACTTAGTCACAGTTCCACAACTGCCGTGCCCAATGTCCTCCTCGAACTTCAACCGACTGTAATCGGCTTTCACTCTTCCTCCTGGAACAGTTTCTATTGTGCGTAGATGAGTTTCAAGCTTACCACGGATGACGAGCATTCCCGAGTTAGTCTCAGCTTTGGCAAGAAGTTCTTTCACGTTGTAGGTGTCGCCACGAGACGGATGGCGAGGCGATGGCACTGCGAATTTCGGCTCGTCAGACAGTTGCCGGTCATTTTTCATCATTCCGAGGCCAAAATCGCGCTCCATTATGGTTCTACCTGCAATAGAGAGAAACTTGGAAAATGATATGTAGGCGGATCGAGAAAGAAGTATGAAAAGAAAAGAGAAGAGATTATGGATGTCTTGGATAATAGTCGCCGCCCCCTTCTGTTGTCCTCATCCTCCCCCTTGCTCCCAACAGGGCATGAAAGCTCGTACGTCTGCAGGATGCGTGTTTTGAGCCAAAGAGTTGCAGTTATAGCAAAAAGAGACGGAGAGCAGTCGGGTCGAGGGATTAGAGCTGCTCATTTGAGACGGCCGACGGATTCGTGCGACTCACAGAAATATCTCTCTCTCACACTCATTTTTCACGCGCTTTCCACTTCTTTTTCCGATTGCAAAGTGCACTTTTAAAGAGGTCATTCGTGGGACTCAAAACTAGAAAACAATTGTGGGCGTTTGCAGAGAAAAAAGAAGAAAAGGTGCAGAGCGGGCATGCATTGATAAGCTTCATTTGCGTGCGTCAGGGCGCTTGCCGTCTCCTAAAATAGGAATTGATGTAGCGCTTCGGGATACTGATCTGGACCGTGTGGAGGAAAACAGAAAAATACGAAAGGATAATCATTTACTTAAGAACAGATACCGCGACGCGAGCGCCTGCGTGCCTCCCCTTTTTGCCGGTGAATAATCAAAACATTCGGCGGTCCGTGCCGATTCGTTCAAACCCTCCCCTCAAGAATTTTTCATCTTTTCTCCCAATCCGATTAGTCCCATCAAATTTTTTCGTTTCTTTATTCTCGAAAATGGTATCGGTTTGAGTTCTTTGCTAAATGACGACAACTACCAGAAAGAAACGGAAAAGGAGAACACTATCAGCGTGATAATGATGATGATGATGACACTGCCTCGATCAGCTGACAAGAAATAGAACCGAAACCAAAACAAAAAAGTCTCGTGAGAATATAGTGAACGGAAGCGGTTTCCGACTGTTTTCCACCCGAAACATTATCAAAAACACGGGGAGAGTGCGTAAAAATTACAAAATGTTTCTGTCTCTCGCTCATGTCAAGACAATGTTTACTCTGGGCGCACTGTTTTCCAAAATCATTTCGTAATTTCCGCTAAAATCGTTGTGAAATTTTGTACGGATGAATTGTAGGCTTTTATACTAACTTCTGACCGATCAGAAGAGGCAGGGTGTGAAAAATGAGAAAAGCGAGAGAACGAGAGAGGTAAAACTTTGAAACTCCACCCACAAATTTCCGGAAAAAAAAGATCCTACAAACCAATGAGTTATTGAGTCTGAAAACGTTTTTCGACAAAAATCATTTAGAATTCTGGCAAAAAAGTACGTGACGGGTGAGAAATAACCATGCGACCTCTGTGAATTTGCGTCATTCCCATAATTGGGCATGAATGGAAGAGAACGAGAATCGGTTATTTCAATGATTTCGGATAAAAATGAATGTTTTCTCGCCTAAACGCTCCCCTCCAGCTGCCCACTAAAATCAGATATGGACCAGTTGTTTGCATGACTCATCGCACGGTTCGAAGAGTGGGATGACGCCCGGAAACGAGGCGTTCTGGTGAGTCAACTTGCAAGGAAAAAAAGTGAAAATACCGGCGGGTTGGTTGATTTGTAGTAAGCTCGCTTGAGTCGCATTCAAACATCGGAAAACTTGCACGCACTGGAGTGGAAATGAATTCGTCCACGTATTCTGAGAAGAAGCGGATTTGATTCGAAGCGGAAGCTAATTAGATCAGTCATTTTGAAAAGAAAGTAATAATGAGATTGGAGTAGGAAGTGACCCCCGACCTCAGCAAACATAACACTTGCTGCCGCCCGAAAAATCGATACGTGCGTTCGTACGTTCACCGAAAATGATGATTTGTTCCTTCTTTTCCTCTCTCGTTCTCTTTTTCTCTCTCTTTATCGCTTCTCGCCGCCGAACGCTTATCGAAAGTGACAAGGCACCCGAAAATTCAAAACTTTGCGGTGGCATTGAGAAAGATGAACCTGTACTTGTCAGTTGAATACCTCTCGAAACCGTAAATCGAACTGATCTTCCGGGTGATTCAACTAGAAAAAAGCTTGAGTTTCGAATCGGAGATCCGTCGGAGACGAATGAGTCAAACTGAAACTTCGATCGACTTAAACGACAGGCGTTTGAGTCATACGGGGCGGCGTTTCACAATGAATGACTCACTTCACACAGTGTTAGGTAAGGGGGCGTCTCGGGGGAGGTTTCGCTCCCAATAAGGAACCGTTTTCTTAAAAATAGCCTTAACAGATGCAAAATTTGTGTCGATTCGCTTTGCTGCGAAAAAGGTTCACCTGGTCGCAGCAAAAATGAGTGTGATGCGAGTGTGTGAGAAGAGAGAACAAGTGGGAGAATGAACGAAGATAAGGAAAAATTTATCAAGAACCATTGCAAAAAGAGAACTTTGATCCAAGTTTTTGGAGCCATTTGTGAAATAGATCTGATTTAGACAGTAACCAACCAAATCATTTTTTTAAACTTGTTCTACACTTAAAATTATAGAAATTTTTGCGAGAAATTCTGTGATTTACGAAATAGAAAAGTAACGTTACGGGAGATTGATGAATGCATCTGGCCGTGAAAGAGAAACGTGGCGGCAATGCATGCATCAGAGCATCAGAGCATAAAATAATAAATTCTCAGCTAAAACATGAAATTGACCGGTCGACGACTCCACTGCACAACCAATACGTGAAGCAGGTTCGCCACCACGAAATGTTCCGAACGAAAACGCTCTATTTGTCTGGGCATTCTCCGCTGAATGCACTAATTCCCTCTCTTTTTTTCTCATCCTCGTACACAACTGTGTACGAGGTCCGTGCCGCTCGTAATATGCCAATTGTTTCATTTCTTTCTCGCCGCGGACGTTTCCTTCGACAAATGTCGCACCTTCCCGCTGCTCCAATTCTTTTTATCAGCTGTTATCGCTTTTTCTGCAGTTTTTCGTGGTGTACACACTATTTGACGCCCAAATGCACACTGAACACAGACCGATAAACGCGCGTCCCCCTTCTCTGTTCACAGCCGTCCGGCTGGCCGCCCGGCTGCCTTTTTGCTAACCCACCGGTTGGTCAGACGCGTCGCGTGTGCGTCGCGGTCGTTTACCCTACAGTTAGTTGTCAATACATGTGCTTGTTTTTCCTTTTTATCTCCGTCAAATCCTTCCGTTTTCTCAATATTTTAAGCAGCTATCAACTTCTTTTTCAGCATGTTTTATGCCGACTTCGTTCTATCGAAAAAAGGCCCCCTTTCGAAGGTGTGGCTTGCCGCTCACTGGGAGAAAAAATTGTCGAAAGCACAAATCTTCGAAACCGACGTCGATGAAGCCGTCAGCGAAATCATGCAGCCGTCGGTGAGCAAATATTTGTGGCGGAAAAATCGATAAATACATATTTTTGCAGCAAAAACTCGCCCTCCGTACGACGGGACACTTGCTCGTAGGAATCTGCAGAGTCTATTCGAGAAAGACCAAGTACCTGCTCGCCGACTGCAACGAAGCCTTCCTCAAGATCAAGCTCGCCTTCCGCTCCGGAATTCTCGACGCGCCGAATCCCGTCAAACCGACTTTCAACATTCAAGACGTGAGTTCTCTTCAATTCTGCGTGTTCCTCAGCGTTAAAAAAAAAACAAGAATTACTATGTATTCTGCGCGCTAACTTTCGCCAGAAATTGTGATTTTCTAGAACGTTAAAAGAATCGTGCGCTTTCGAAGCAATTCTTGATCAAAACCCACGTGCCTAAGACCGGGCCAACGTGTCTGTTCGACGAGGGTCGGACCCGTTGCAACGGTTAGCGCATCTGCTTCTGTTTCAGAAATTTCAGAAAGGAAAAAAAACGTGTTGTCCCCAAGCCACTTGAAACAATTATTACCCAATCTGACTTGCAGATCTACGGAGACTTCGGAGACAATGTCCTCCCAGAGTTCGACGATGAAGAGCTCAACCACGCACCAATCTGTCAGAGCCGCATCGATGATATCACTCTGAAGGAGGACATTCCGCAGAGATTCGACTTCAACAACGGAGGCATGCTCGAAGTGAGTAAAATCAGTAATAACAGTTACTAATGGTTCCTCCTTCAGGACGATGACTTCGGAGAAATCGCCGCCGGTGTTCAGCCAGAGGATTACTTCCGTCTGATGGAGGACTGCAACAGAATGGATCTCGAGATGGAGATGGAGCGGAACGCCACGTCGACCAGCACCAGCTTGTTCGGACGCGAGCGCGAGTCGACTCCGTTCCTCACCGATGCTCATGCCTCGGGAAACGCGATCTTCGGAGACGATGACCTTGGAGGCAGCTCGCATCACGACGATGAGATGGACGACCGCGACGTTCAGGGATCTTCGGGCATGAATCACACCAACGACAACTACCCGATTGAGGATATGGACTACGACAATCCGATCGGCAACAACAGCACGATGCTCGACCGCTCGATGACTCCGCTCCGTTCCGAAACTCCGCTCCGTAGCGAGACTCCGATGTCGTTCCGTGCTCCCAGTCCGACTCTCTCGATCAACCCGTCTGTGGCGGCGATGGAACAGGACACGGTCGAGTCGTACTACGCGCGCCAGGCTCAAAAGAAAGCGGCTAAAGTGACGAAGAAAAAGGGCATGGACGAGAACATCATTATCACCGGAGAAGAAATGAAGTCGAACATGGCTGATCACAGGTGAGAGAGATGACGTGGAAAAGCAGAGACATCAATCTTCTGGGTCATGAATACAGTAAATGACGTGATTTAAGTTTAGTAGAGGGTGTAAAATGACGTCTCGGCTTGAGAGGAAACAATGCTGTTACACATGAGTCATCAAGAGAACCATTGACTGTTGGTTTGTTTCAGATTTGTGAGGGACTGAAAAGAAACGATGCCCTTGGAAACGTGGCACAAAACAATTAAAAAAACATCTCTCTGAAACGTTCCGTGGCCGTGGCCTAGGAAATTCAGGTGTCGAAACTTCCCTGCCGGCAATATGACGAACTTGCATTTTGACGGGCGGCTGATTTGTGTGAATGTTTGGCAACGTCTGAAGATTGTGTCAAATGCACTATCCGAGTTTATAAAAACTTTATTGTCTATGGATGTACCGGGCGGATGTTTAGCCCTTGATTTACAAAGTACCTGTGCATTTCGGATAGACCCACGTGATTCTTCTCTAGTGCATTTACATCCAGCGATATGTGTGGCTATTCTGAATCTTATGAAACTTTTACTATTCAGCGACACTCTGACTCGTCTCGATCTGGCGCCGCCAACAAAGACGCTGACAAAACTGAAGAGACGTTCGATGGGCGAGCATCTTCTCCGTTTTCCGGCCTTGTTCTCGAACATTAGAGGAAAACCGTATCTGGAGGTGAGGACACAACTACTTCCCACTTTCAAATAAAACTTTTTTGTTTCAGTACTACCGTGATGCGATGTCGGCAAAGGTCCAAATTCCAAACACTGAAGACTCGAAGGACTGGATCATTGAGGCGGTCGGACTTCGCGAGATTGGAGAGGCTGAGATGCAGCAGCAGCAACAAGAGATGAATCTCCACGTCCAGGTTGGTGGAACATCCTACGTTCGGGAGTTAATCAATCTGAGGACTTGCTTCGGGTTGCGGACTAGAAATATTTGCCTCGGCGCCATCCCAAGCGTAATCAAAGATTTTGTCCAGAATTCACAGAAAAGTGGTGCTACTAGAGTTTTAATTGGTACCCAACTTGTCGCATTAAGGCGGCTCAATTCTTTTCCAATTCCCTTGACGACTCTTAGACGTCTCTAAACCAGGCATTTCAAAACCGTCGGAAACAGTTCAATTATTGTTGTTGTTTAGCGAGTATCCAAAGTTGTTTCTTGAAACCCTTGACGCCAACGTTTAATGTTGTTTTTCTATTCACCGTTTCTGACGACTGTATTCAGACACAATCAATTTTATTATCCCCCAATGTCTCTGAATCTCGTGAAGCCCAATAACTTGCCGAAACTTTATCTTCTATGGATCGATGTGTCCTGATATTTGCCCCCGGTCTTTTTTGGTAGTAGAATACGAATTTCATGTTTAGAAGTTTCTACAGTACTCAGAAATATACGCTATAGTGCAAAATCGGTCCATTTGGTAACACTTTCGGCATCGCGTCGGACTTATTGAACAAGAAGATAACGGCATACCACAGTGACTTGAAATCCAGTTCTATGCATAGTTTTTGCTCCTGGTCCCTTATGTCTTTCTAAACCTAGCAGCTAATGAATATCCAGAAGATGGTCACTCAATTAGTGCTCGCGTGTCGCAATATTATTTCTGTAACAAAAACTGTTGCGCGATACCCGCCGGTGCTTTTAGGTGCTCTATTGAGCCTGCCGCGTGTCATCCGGCACCTCTGTTGCGTAAGGTGTCGCCGAAACATGCATTAGTCGTCCCCCGCGGTGAGGAAGACACCGCCGTCGTACAAGGTGTGATATTACCGTACTTATTTACGCGTGACGATCACCATCCCGGTGAGCTGCGCAATTATAGTTTTGTGTGGTGCACACATGCATTGCGCAATCCGACCCTCTGATGAAGAACAATGGAAGCTGTGCACGCTTGAATAGGAATGGCTCATGGTTTATGAGTCTCGGACATTAGTCATAAAATTAGGCAATATGAGAAAGCAAGGTGGTTTGATGGTGTGCAGGTCGATGCTCACTCACCTGTAACACGACACGATTACGGTTTCATTCAAACGTCGGCTCTAGTAATGAAAATCTGAAAGTCCCTTTGCTCGAAAAAAAGCACCGATTCTAACACCAGAATAATAACAGTACCCTTCCTTTCGTCGACCGTCTGTCAGCGGCACATCTTCAAAAGTGGGTGCAAAACGATTAAACACTTAATTGTATGTCAATCCAGTACTTGAGTACCGGAACATATGTTCGGCCAACCTCTCGAGCCCCCCATATGGAACATCCCTCTTCTTGACTGCCTTGCTTCCAAGCTGGTGCTACCTGTCCGTTGCGGTTACCACTACTACGATAGGATTATCGTCTCAGAAAGGCAACGCGCGTTGTTGTGTGTTGAGAGACTGACTGGACTGTGTCAAGTGCAAAATGGTGACACAGTTTTCTTGTCGCTGTGATGACTAGTATCGGCTGACTGTGTGCGTGGTAACCGCGTATCCACTGGCGCGTTATAAAGCCGCCACCGTAATCTGCTTAGCACATCCGAGTTGTTGGCTGTAGAAATGGGAATGAGAGAGAAGACAAAAACGTATTAGAAGGGCAGGATTTGGAAAAAAGTCAACTTTTTGTTTCAGGAGGATCCCATGTTCGCTGATGACTTCGATATGCCGCCTGTCGACATGGATGCCATGGATCACTTTGATATCGACATGCCACATCACCAGATTGATGACATCGGCATGAACATGGATGATGACGTCCCGCAGCACAATCCACTCTCGCCATTCGCCACGATCGCCGAGGATGAGGAGTTGTCGCCGAGCGACAAGCGCAAGAAGCGAGATGTAGGTCCCTCGAGCCAAAAGTTTCCCTAGAATCCCTATCATGACATTAACATACTTCTTTCGTGATGCCGCCGCCAAAAAAACCATGCATTCCGGCATTATGCATTACCAGAGTGCAAACAACCTCTGGAGGGGGGAAGTAACAAAAGAAATGTGGTCCATGAGAATGTCCGACCCCAAGACCCTTCTCTCTTCCCGAACCGACTCTCTTTGTTGTAGCCGCCGGGCTATTGTCATGGCGGTTGGTGGCGAAAGACTGTCTTATTGATATGCAGGAAAAAACCATGCATTTGATTACCCAATGACCGCAGACTATAACATTGACGGTTTCAGGAGGAGAAGGACGAGCCGGAAGTGGACGACGAGAACCGCTGGTCGAAGAGAACTCACGCGCTTCTGCAGACCATCGCCACGAAGATCACAAACTCGGACGATGGAGCGGTAGGTTAAATCTGAGAAAAAAAATGGGAAAGGGAAAAGGAGAAGTGTAACTGTCACCGCATGAGTGATGGGCATGATAGGTATTTCCTGAGAAACCAAAAAGAAAGCACTTTTCGTCTCGTTTTGTTGCCCTTGAATGTGTAATCATAGGTGTTCATGTTCCCATCCATCACATCAGCAATTGATGATGGCGCCCCCTCCATCGCAACCGCCCTCACCTCACACAAACTTTTCAAAAAAAAATCCCCCCACAAGGAATTTGAAATCCCGACTGTTTCAATCTTGGTTTTGGGAGTGCGGATTGGGGGAGAGGGCATCTCGTAGTCGTCGTGTGAAGTGTGAACATATGATGTGCGGTGAAGTGGACGCAATAGCACTACTGACAAGGACACATAACTGCCTATGAAGTAGGTACATAAGAAAGTGTCTAAGGATGGAATAGAAAGAGAGAGAGAGAGGAAAAGAGAGAGAGAGAGTGAGAAGGGCTGCATGTTTCGAGAAGATTAGTGGTAGTAGTGGTCAAGAAGGTCTTGTGTCTCGGAAGGAGTCCTCCTCGAACCAATCCGGATGATAAATCCGCTTGAACTCTTTAAAGTGTCCGTAAGAAACCAACCACTTCACATCATTTTATCCAGACACTGTCTGTTCGGTTCTGGAATGGAAATGAAATGAAATGAAATGAAAACGAGGTCAAAATATTTGCTTTTTCATAAGTGACTTTTACACGTCTAACCGGAAATCTTGAAATGCCTTCATTCTCCCCTTCATTCACTGTTTCGCAACTGAGACGACCAACGAGACTAGGTTAATTTGAACTCATGACCTTCTGACTGACTCCTCGGATGGTTAGACACTGTATTGACGGGGAAAAGACAGTGCCATTATAACCTCTTGATGTCCTTTTCTGGTCTTGGAGGTCGTCGCACTTCTTATTTTTTCTCGAGTAGGCACACCGACTCCGAGTATTCTCTCCAAATTGTCCGAGTAGTAATTTGACATTGTTGCGGTCAGGTCTCGGAACACTTCTTTTTTGGAGGGGAAAAGTATTAGTAATACTTTCTGGACAAGACAAACGTTAGGCGGCCCGGATTAGTCATAGAGAAAGTCCCCCACCCTAACAAGTGAAAGCATGAAAGATACGGTATGAGCAGAAGGCTTGACACACACACGGTTCTCAAGTGTCGGAAAGTGATAAATTATGCTTTTACGCAACTCGAACATAATGTTAAGTATGTGTCACAACAGTCTGTTCGGTGCCATATGTTGCCACCATTTCTTCACGTGGAAGTGTTGCGCAACCCCTTCCAAATCCGATTCTTTAGTAGTACTTGGTCGGTTGCCAATGTCTTCTTCGCTCAGCCAAAACCGCTGTCAAACTAACAAAGCTTCACCCTGGTCATCACTTAGCGTATGCGCATACATGAATACCGGGAGACGCCGTGTATACGCGCATGCCTGTGACTTTGATCCGACATGAATAGGTGTGCTGATTGGTAAACTTTGAAAATTGAAATGAATAGAGTGATTATTGGCGGACAAATGAACTATTTTCAGATTGAACTAGACGATCTGATGAAGAAGAACACGACTCGCAAGGTGGCGGCCGCCAAGTTCTACTCGCTTCTGTGCCTCAAGAAAAACCAGTGTGTGGACGTGATTCAAACAGAGCCCTACGGAGATATCAGCATCAAAGCGGGTCCGAATATCGATGTGAACACGATCTAATTTACATATTATTACACCATCGCTCACCCAAACTTCAAACTATCCATCCTATCCTATCCCCCTACAGTTCTGTATCCGTTTCTGCATATATTATAGAACACGCTTCGCTCCTTCTTCCCCTTCCTCTTCTTCTTCCTCGCTTCCTTCAATACCTCGATCGCTTCCTCAACTTGTAGTTTACCTATGTTTCACTCCAAGGAGGTCGAAACAGTACGCGCTCGTCAAGAGATTCGGGGTAGCGAGAGTAGAAGAGGCGGTAGTTTTGTGGGAGGGAAAGGAGAAGAAGAAGGTGGGAGGGTATTGAGAGTGGCGGCATGAAAGGTGTCTCACCTTTCAATGTTCGCCGCCGTTCGTTCCCGCTTACCGCATACAACTTTTTCTGCTCTCTTCCCACCAAGGAGTCGCTGAGCTCTAACTATTAATACTCTGCTCATCTTATCTGTTTGCCATTCATTTTATGCCCTTTAATGATTGAGATCATTTGCATATAGAGCCCACCCTCTTCTTTTTCTTTATCATTTGGGGAGCCCATAGTCAATCGTGCACGCCGCCCATTACAATACTAGTTAAACTACACTAATAGTCAATGCGCATTTCTAATTGACCATTTTCAAATTTTTCAAAATCCACCCATCTGGGTATCATTCTATCCTTTGGTATAATTTAAAAAATTAATATTATTTAAGGGGCTTAGCCTAAATGTCGAGTTGTCATGTCCAGAGTTACTCGACAGAGCTTCAACTTGCCATGTCCTCTCCTACGTTCCTGTTGTCACACACAAACCTATGTCATTTTAATTTTAATTAATAATATGTGCTCTCTTTTTCATCCACACCAGATTTGTTTATAACCTTCTCCCACCTCCCATATTCAATCAAAACTTTTCCATTCACAATTCAGGCCCTCTTCCCCCAACTTTTTTTCTTTTGATACGTTTGAGTACGGCTCTTCGCAGTAATTTTCTGCGAACTCTCCAATCCTCAACACAGTTGCCTGAAAATGTCTCATCGAAACCTATAATAGTCTAATAAAACAAGTTATCTGGGAAGTAATCCTAAATTCCACTGATTTCATTAGAAAAATTGAGGACACAGAGCAAGTTTAAGAGACCGGAACAGCTAGCAAGATTACGGTATATGCAAAAGGGCGTGTGCAAACTGGCGCCTGATATCATCATCGTCAGACGACGCTGTGTGGCCGCCGGCCAACCAAGACGGTCAATCTGCGTTTCCGTCGTTTTCGCGCTTCATCGAAGACTCTTGTCGGCCGGCCGCGGCGCCCCCTCCCTTTCTCACCTACCGTAACCCGATCCTATGAGACGAGAAAACCCGGGGCGGCTTGTGATCGACGCAATGCGCAATGCGCCTCACGCGTGCACACCACCTACCGTCCCGATATTCGTTACGGTGTGAACAAATATTTTCTCGATCTCGTGTTGTTTCCTACCCGTCCCGACACATGTACATATGTGTATAGTTTCTCAGTAGAACCGTCAACCCTCACTCTCACTCTCCCTCAAAAAGCTTTCAGCTCACTTTTTGTTCACGTGCGAACGTTACAGTTTTAGTTTTACATGACAAAAGAAACGGTCGAGAAACAGAATTCGCAATATTTTTGAGCACAATAGAGGAGGAGGGGGAAAGTCGATGACAAGACAGGAATTTTCTTGGTGAATCATTCGGAATTCATAAAGAGTGACAGCGATTTTGGAAATAATTTGAAAACAGTCAGCTTGCGAGAATGAAAATGCATTCTAATTAGATAACGATTACGGTAGGAAATATTAAAGAATGTGAGAACAAAAGAAAAACGACTAATCTGCGGCACTCCTCAGCTTGTTGACTCTCTTTCCGGACCACCTGCGTCGCCCGGAAGTGGTCCTCGGAGCCGACACGGTACTCAACAACGTTTAAACAACCGTTTCGGATCGCGAGAAAAGCGGGAGAGTTGAGAGGGCGACTAATAAGGCTGGAAGAGCCGAGTTGGAGGATGAAATCAAGAGAGGAAAGAGAGCTAAGCCAGTATGTATGTGTATGAGAATTGTGTCTCTGTGTGCGCCCGCGTACGCCCTTTCAACACGAATACAAAAGACTGAATAGGAGGAATGGAGCGGTGGATTGAAAAGAAACAATGCGCTGTAATGATTGGGGGAGACTCGACGACGACGACGACACAGAAGACGGACGGGCCCCCAGACGACCACAATGCTGCCGCTGAAGACCTCCTCAGTCATATACCCCACTCTCGTCATATTTCGAGAAACGAAAAACCGTCTGAACTGCTCTTTGTTATTCCCAACACGTCACCATATTCTGATCACTTGAGTATTACTCATTCCGACATGATTTTCCGGCGGTAAGTCTTTCTCTCTCTCTCCCTCTCTCTCTCTCTTCTTTTCGTAATCTTCTACTGCTCCTCTCCGTGTTGATCACACGTATCTCAACGTCAATTTCATCGACGTACCTATTTTCGAGATGACCAGCTTGTTGATAGGATTAGCGAGCGGCGAGCTCGCGCCCATAACTACGTCTTTGTCTGACACCGAGTTCTTCTCAATAATATATCGTCGTTCGGTTTGGTACGTCTTTATTGCGAAACCGCGCCCATGACGACCTAATAGGTGCTAGAATCTTGGGCGTTGTCATCATCCCACTCCGTTTCTCTTTTTCACAAATGCCATCATCAGAACCGATCAATGCCTACTGTCCCGTCGTTGGTAGTACTTCTTTAAGTGATTCCGCCAATTTCTCTGCTGTTCAGACACACACATACGCATACACACTCGCACGTCTTCATTTTAACCCATCCTTTTTTCTCTTCCTTCTTCCTTCCTCCTCCAACCATTTTTCTTCAACCCTTTTCCTTCTCTTCCAACCTCAACGGTCGTAACCGATCATCGTTTCTTCCACAAGGCGCATCCGCAATTATACGACCTTATAATTCGCCTCTAAAACAAATAAACGATCCGGGCGTCTGTCTCGGAATAAGGTGTCATTTCGAGTTTAGGACGCCTCCGGCCCCGCGCGACCAGCCCCCGTTTGGTAATTTGCCTAGGCGAAACGAACCGTCTTGAGCGTGCACGAGTTGAGTCGCTTCCAAAAGTCGAGAAGCCGTGCCGGCGGTCGGGCGCACGCGGCGCACACACCTTGATCGTTTCGACCTTCGAGTGCCCCATAGATCCTAAAAAGATCGTTTGCGTCCTCTTTCACTGTATAAACTACCCCTCCTTCCTCCTTCTCGCCCACCACCACCTCGCTCAACTACTCCCGTTTTTACCGACGAACCTCCTTAACTCAATTGCTCGTACTAACGACACCATCGCCTCATAGTCGGGGTGAGGTGGTGGGATGAATAAAGTCAGTCGTGGTCGTCCGTCGATGGCGTCACATCATTTTCCCATATCCGTCATTCAGGCGTAAGCTAGAATAGATTCATCCACAATATTGACGATACATGCCAAATGAGTTGGAGAGGAACTCGGGTTTTACGGAGAGCTCGAGCACTTCAGACTAATGACCGATCATCAGAATTGCTCCCTCCCCAAAACATTCCAGAGTGTTAAAAAAAAATCCATAAATTCTCATGTCTACATCTTTAACCCCTCTTTTTTGTCAAACTTTTCGTCGCGACTGCTGTGGCGAGCGCTTCAGCTTCAGCACAAGCAGCGGGGCAAGCAGCCTCGTCGTTTTTTTTCGCTTCCCGGATACTGTAGCTCTGTGTATGTGAGAGCGTGTGTGCGTTACTCGCTCTGTCTGTCCCGCGATGAAGCTCTGCGCTCCATCAGAAATTGCTCGACTCCGCAGCTTTGCCTGCTCCCCCTCCCCCCTTCCCCAAAAAACTTTTTCAATTTCACTCACTGAGGTGTATTCTTTGTGTATACGCAATCCGTGGCGAACCTTAAAAAAACGATCTTGCTCATCCGTATACACCTGCTTTTCAGACATCATCCGTTCTCGTAAAACCTAGCCTAATCCTGCTTTGCGTTTATTACCAACCTTTACATTACCGGGTAACAACCCTGAGCCGCTAATTTCCCTCTCCTTTTACAATCAACAAGACACCGCAATCAGAACCTTTCTTCCTTCGTTACCAACGGATTATCTGCTTCGCAGACCGAGCCGATGCTCCAGCGTGTATATCGCTCCATTTTGTCGGATTAGAACGGCGGTTGAAAGGGAAGGTAAATCTTGCCGCCCAAGGAATGAATATCGCTAGTTAGTGGACCTTAAAGCTGCTTCTTCTAACATACTCCACGTCAATTCATCAAGTTTCTATTCATACATGTTTATATTTATAAGACTGAAAAATTTGTCACCTAATCGGCCTTCAGTTTTATCACCCACAATTACCGTAAACTATCCATGAACACACTTGTTTTTCTCCTCTTTAAAAAACGAACGTTATGATTGAATTAATCCGAGCAACGATCCAAATTAGCAACCTCCTTAGTGTTGTCTCTCTCTCGGAATGAATAGGCCTGGCGGGCGTTGAATAGTAGCGCCGTCGCGGTGCCCAACGGCGGTTTCTTATAATAGACACTCGGATTATGAGCAATTAGAAGAAAACCCGCAAAAAACGGCGGAGAAAAGCGAGAGGATTTCCCTTTTTTGGCGTGGGGGAAAAGATTCGATACATTTTTTTGCAAAGTGTTATCTATATCTATTGAATTCTATACAAAAGCGGCTCCGGCTTTAAGGGAAAGGGATATCCCCAGCCTGTGTGGTCTCACGTCATTCTGAAGACTATTCCTTTTGACTTTGTATGAGTAAACTAAACCACTTTTTAACCCTCATGTGATTTACATTGACTTCTGTATCCAGTAACGTGTGAAATTGAAATGTGTATAGTCAGAACCCCTTTCACTCGGCTTCTCCATTCCCGGGAAGTGTTGTTCTGTACACGGTCTCCTGCACATAGTTTGCTTTAGTCATGTCTTCGGACGGCGTCGTCGTTGAGGAGAAGTGAGAGAAGAAGAAGAAGGTTGTCATCATCAGAGGTCCCGTAGGCCCATTGCGTCGACATCATCGTCGGTATGGGTCTCCTGGTAGAGCGAGAATGCCCCGCCCATTTTGGCGCGCTGATTGGCTGGTCGGTTGCGGGCCCGCCCACCCACAGTTGTCTGTGCACCTCTCGTCGGCGCCCAATCTCGTGAACCCTCCTCCTTCTTCTCCCATCTCTTCTACCTCCTTCTCGTGCGCGATTCCTGCCTCCCACCCGTTCAAAATTCTATTGTATATTGGTTGTCTTTTGCAGTGTCCGGTCGACGTGTCATATCATTGTTGTTCGACAAGAAGATGATGATGGAACCGGATTTAAGCAAGATGCAAGACTACGCTTCGTGGGGTTTTGGGACTTTCCAAATGCCACCCACTTCATCCACACATCTTCATCAGCAGTCGATGCCGGATGATATCTCCAACGGACCCGACAGCCCGGATTCCACAGGCAAGGACGGAAAGAAGAATGACGATAGGTAAGAATCCTTTTGACGGTATTCAAGTACCCGAACTCTATTGTTTCCAGGGTGAAAAGACCGATGAATGCCTTCATGGTTTGGAGCAGAGGACAAAGGAGAAAGATGGCTCAGGTAAGAAACTTTTCAATCTGATCTGATCACTATTTCCCACACTCGCCTACTGAATAACTAATGAGCACAGTTTACGTCAACGATTCGTGACCTTCTGGGTTCACTTATGTCTGAGATCCTAATATATGCACATATCTTGTCGCGCAGTACTTCTCAATAGTAATCCTTTCTGAGGTTCACTTCTTTAATCCAGTCTGAAACGTTCTCACTTTTTCTTCTTCTTCTACTTTTTTTGAGATCATTGCTCATTCGCGAGCTGAGAAAGACCTTCACTTCCTGGTCTTTCTTCTCTTATTACAAACATCATGATCGGTTCTGTTCAGGAGTTTCCAAAAATGCACAACTCGGAAATCAGTAAACGTCTGGGCACGGATTGGAAAGGTCTCAGCGAACAGGAAAAACGTCCATTCATCGATGAAGCGAAGCGACTACGCGCCATTCATATGAAGGTTAGTGGTTTTAGAGAAGGGGCCGAATCTGGGACGCTATCATCGGACGTCGTTGAAATAGTGATCATCGTCTTCTTGTCTTCTTGCCTGTCGTCATCCGACCGCCAACCAACGCTTTGTTTTTCTAGGAGCACCCGGATTACAAATACCGGCCAAGGAGGAAGACAAAGTCGATCAACAAGAAGAACGGCGCGCCAATTCCATTCGGAAATCTTGACACCAAAACGCCAGCGGTGAGAGCTTGGAAATGTGTAATATTCAATGATGGCATAATTTAATTTTCAGTACCCACAGATTGCCACGAATTGGAACGCGTCAAATCAGTACATCGAGCCGTTCCGTTACACTCATTTCTATCCCACCTCCAACGTGATGGATCACATTCCATCTTTCTTGGGCGCCAACCAAGCCCACACCATTCCCACCGACAATTCCTCTCCTTCTCAGTATCAGCCATCGCCGTTGAGCACTAACTTCACAACCGGCAACTATCTGACTCCAAAATCAGAGAGCTCTCCGGTCGGTAGTGACTCGACGGTGGCCACTCTTGACTCGAATCAGTACAGGCCATTCTATGACCCGAAACCAGATCCGATGATGTACTCGTACACTCTTGACTTGACACATGCTCAAAACATTCAAAACGCTCTTTCTCAATCGCATGTTACCTCGTAAATCTGTTCCATTTCACCACCAAAGACTGTCATTCATTCACTTTTTTTCTGTTAACCACCCCCTTCTTCTCCACTTTCCAAAACGGTTCCTGATTATTTGAATTCCAAATCAGAGGCAGTTTTAGAGTTGTGCATTTGAAAGACTTTTTCTTTACCTCTCACACTGACAATCCCCGTTCGAATCTGTCAATTCACAACCAAAACGTTTGCCAATCATAACTCTGACATGGTACACTATTATTGTTATACATCCCTATTCTCTTACCCATTCTTCGTCAGTTTTTGGTGATTTGTCGGGGTGAGCATATTTAACTTCTTCTTCCATTATTATCCGATCCCGTACACTACGTTTGCTCTTATATACATCATTCGTCATTTTTCTCCATGTTCCCCCAGTTTTCCTTATTCTCACCTATTCTTATTCTCTTTCCTCTTGTCTCTTCTTTCTAATTGTATATTTTCCTTCTTTTTCTTTGCTCCCAAAACCCGCTTAGACACCTATTTAGATGCGTTCCCCACTCATCTCTGAGGACCTCATATTTTTCAGTTTTGCATTCTGGAGTAACATGTTCTAAAACATAGATGTTGATCCCTTCAATTTCTTAAAAATACGTCTTTTTTTCTAATTTATCCATAAAACATTGAAACATTCAACGCTGCATCTATTCTATTGAAAAGAAGTGGGACCGACACACTTCCGGAGCAGCTTCTTCTTTCTTCAAGAATACATTCTCGCACATCGCCAAAACTTCTTTCTCGCTCGGGTTTATTTGATGCACACGGCCAACACTCAAACCCATGTTCCTTCCTTGATTTGGTCGTTACCGAGAAGTTTATTGTACAAACAGACGGGTTGGGGCGAGAAGAGAAACCGAGAAGAGTCAACGAAAACTGTGCATATGAATTTCACGAATCGTCAAACACACACACACACACACACAGTCGTCGTCTCGCTTCGCACCCGCGCCCAACACAACACATACAGTTTCTTGTATCGAATCGTCCTCGGGCCCCCGGGGGGGGTCTGGTCTCAATTCCTCAACTCAAACAAAAATAGCCGGCTCGCGGCTGCCGACATGTGTACAGGAGGGCCCTCCCCGTGATGTTGCTCCGATCAAATTTCGGTGCAGCCCTTTATTTTTCCCTTCTCGGAGCACTGGTTGCGAAGCAAGCACACGAGCAATTGGAGAAAGAGTTCACAGATTTTGAAGGATCGAAAGTGGACAAGAAGTGGATGCACTTCTGAACCGAGCCACGCACAATTTTGTCTCGTCTGGTCCTGCTTGCCATCGAAAACAACAGCGGGGGACCCGGATGCCAATTTCACCGCCAGATATTTCATATGACTTTGGCACAAGTACCTCGGAGCAAGTGGGGGCCCTATTGGCCAGACCGCACAGCAGGGGGTGTTCAAATAACTGACTAATATTTTCATGGCTCTGGAGGCGTTGGACAACTCTGGATTGGCGAGAGGGACCTTTTTCTTTTTCTCTCTTGACTCTCAGCCATGATTGACTATCGTACACCTGAGCCAATTTGGGAGCAAGTCAGTTGCTCGGCTCTTGCCTTCTTCTCTCCTCGCCCAGCACACTCTCATGCACATGGCTGAAGCTTCCTACCGTAGTCCGCCGACCATCGAGGGGCGCGGAGGCAAGAGTGGGGGCAGAGAGAGTGCTCTCAGGGATAGACAATGCTCAGAGGAGAGCTCCGGCATGTTATGCTGCTTTCGAAGAGGTAACTTTTTCCGTCTCGGGGGGGTCTTGAAGAGACTTGCTTCCGCACGGCGGTTTCACACTGCACCACCACATCTTGTTTTTGATTTGCTGCTCTGCTCGCTCGACAACTCAAGACGATAGTAATCCGATTTCGGAGAGAAGAAGTGTGCACCTTTTGTGTGAAATCAATCTCCTTCCTCCTCCATAATGGTATTTACAGTCGGCGGAGAGAGGCGAGAAGTAGTGTCAGGAAGGAGAGGCCGGCGAGTCCATTTGTGTGTATCACATCGTGTTCGCAAACATTCAGTGTGTTGGGGCCACCCCGCGAGTTCCTCTTTGTTCTTAGAAAACGAGCCACACACAGACGTACAAACACCTCCTCCCAGGGGCTATCGGATAGTCATCTGATCGGATTGTTTTTTTCCTGCTCTGTGTGCTTCTGCTCTTATTTCCCTCTGTATTTGGGCAAATTCGCGCACGGATACTACTACCATCAGTTGGATGGATGGCACACGGAGGGAAAGGAATGGAGAACAATGAACTTCGCGCACACCTGTCTGACGACCCTCCCAGAATAGAATATTCTAGTATTTTGATGACCGTAGGAACACTTTACAGTAGGAGACTTCCGTAACTTTCAGCTAATCACATTATAAGCCTGAGTCACAGAATTCTGACGTCAGGTTATGAAGGGAGGAGGGATTAGGAGTACTTGTTCGTTCAAATCATGTCATGCACTGCTCTGCTCTCCGAATATGACACCTCGACCGACACATGCCGAGCGGTGGAACCCGGCCATAATAAGCTGAGGTCTTACAGGTAGAAAACCAGCGGGGTTCCACGTGGGGGCACGAACCAAGGAGGCGACCATCCTATTAATTATCTCGCACGCGTCTATTGTTCCGCAGTCCGGAGGAGACCTCAAATTATGATGTACGACTGGCTCAACAGGTCGATCGTTTCGGAGAAAGAGAGTGGCGGACCTAAATCGGAGGCAAACTAGCAGATAATCCCTACTCGCTTGATTGCATAAATTACTCCTTCATCTTCGTCGCGTTACCGTTGACGGCGAACAATGGCCGTGGGACCCGAGAACATTTGAAATCGAGTTATATAAAGTGACTTTTGCAGCTAGATCCGATTTGTGTGCCGTTTACAGATTTGAACATGAATATACCAATTTTGAAGGGGGCCGACGACTCAGGGACCCAAAAATATTAATCATACATCGTTCGGTCTCTATTCATTGAAAAGGAATACGGCTATGACAAATCATGCAATGTGCCTGTATATGGTCGGCACCGTCTATTGTATCGACGGTCCAACCGTAATCATTGAATACAATTATATCAGTTAGTCATACTGTATACACAGTAATCTCTTTTTCATTTGATTGGGGACCTTTACTGGCCTACACTTTCTGAGCATTGAGAACTAAAAAAACGTTATCGAACTATGTACATTTTGCGAAACGCATTCCATCAGTCCACAACGATAAATCGAAGAATGCGTCATCTATTGTTATCAAATTCTGCTGTGTCAGCGAACAAAACTCATTTTCTCATTTCAATTTATCAGCGCCGTACTGAAACACACAATGCGTACAGTACCAAAGGGACTATATGTACGAAGCGAAAAGGTGTGAATCGGTGACATTTGGCGACCGGCAATCTGTCTGGCATCGGCAGATCGCTCAATCAAACGCTCAATCTACCGTGTGGTGAGCGGAGCTATGTCATTAGCAGAATGCCGATTTGTTCTGCTCTCCTATTCCATTCCAGGGGTGGGCTCCATCCGACTCGTTTCTCTCTTCCTCTCTTTCCCGAGTATTAATAAAAATAATAATGATAATTGTGTATTTCAGTAATTACAAGTATATGCTGCTGCTGCACACGCACATACTTACATGCACATACGAGAGGAGGAGAAGCAGAAGATCAGTCAGTGTTGACGGAGCCTCCGTCGGCAGCTGCGTCCCGCTCTTGTCGGAGAAGCCTTCCCGCCTGGCAGCTTACGGAATTATGCATTACTTGTCCAGTGATTATGAGCTGTGACGAGCCACCATCCTTCTAACATGGGGGCAAGGGTCCGTTTCGCGCACTCTATTATTTTAGTGACAGATGACAAGGCACCGCCACGCAAATGAGTCCATTGAGCGACAAGCGGATTGAGGGGATGATCCGCTTGTAAGCTGCCGCAAAAATTACAGTGTAAGGTGCACGAAACGGGTTAATGGACGTAGCAGAGACTGCGGTGACTTGGTTTGACCGGATAAGAGGTTCTGGGGAACGGAATATGGGTTTTTGAACAAGACGCAACACATCCTCGGCTGGGCGAAAAGCCTGTCGAAGTCTGGACTTTTGACCGACCTGTGATAATCCAATTGGATCTAAAATTTGCAGACGTCTTGGACTTGGATTGAAGTATTTTGGGTTCACGTTTCACATCGAGAGGATTATCTAATCAGAAGCTCAGTTTTTGCAAAAATTACGGCTTTTTCGGTCTCTGATTCTCATATCACGAATTTAAAGTATCCATGTAAACCTTAGACCCACTATACTTAAATTGAAGTAAAAAAAAACTTGCTTATTTAGGATCCAATCAGTTTAAAAAAAAGTCCAGTCTTTGGTAGGCCTGAACACATCAGAAAAAGTTCTTCTGAAATCTACTTAGGATTTGAACCTTAATCCAATTTAGCAGCAAGATCCGATGATTCATTGACATTTCCTCGAACTCTGCAAATATTATTATAGCAAAAAAGAGCTAGACGCTGAAAGTGATCAATCATCTCCGTCGTTTGCTTTCTCAAACAAGTTTTTGATCTGCTGGTTCTCCGGGAGAGCATGTCGTCATCATCAGGGAGCTGCACTTTGAAGCCACTCATTCACAGAGACAATGGAAATAGCAAAAAGTGCGGTTGTAAAACAAGAAAAAAGTGGAAACAGCTGGAAGATCAACATGTGACTCGTTCCTCTCACTTTTCCACTTCCCACTCACTTCTCACTCTGACAGGCAGCGCCACTTGTCTTTCTTCAACTTTTTGCTCGCATTTCTTCAGATTTTAATTCATTCTCTTCGTCAGTGTGATGTTGTGTTTATTCGCTCCTCCAGATTGTTCTCTATTCTTCTGTAATTAGTCCGTGCGGTCAGATCTGAGACTTGGCCCTCGTAATGAGCCTATTCTTTCTCACTTCCTAACCGGATCTCAACAAGCACAACCACAGCCACAGCACGTTCTCCTCCCAGAATCTTAATTGCCATAAAATTGCGACTGGCCGATTTTGAGCTCTGACACCTGGGATTTAACGGATTGGATCATCGTTAAACTGAATTGATTGCCCCTGCGTGGAACTATTGTTGATGAGGCTGTTCACGCAACCAAAATACCGTTACGCAACCGACAAATGCGCGCGGGGTGTGAATTGGACAAGCTGTTGAGTAACACCTAAAACTAGGGGTACGGTAGAGGCTAGAGGGGGACTAGCAACCAAGGGATATGTGAGAGTTTCTGAACTTTTTTGATGCTTGTGTGATGACAGCTTGCTGGCGTATGATAATTTTGGTGATTGGTGTAAACACGTTTGAAACGGGATTGTTTGAAAGTTTTTGAACAAAAAGAAAACCATACTTGAAGGAGACCAGGCCGAAATGAAGTATTTCATGACTCCAGCCCGCACTTCCTGGAAAATCGGGGAATTTGAACTGAAACTTTATTATTCTGGTTCATTTTAAAAAGCATGCGAAACACATTCTTTGAATTTCCGAACTGAAACGTTTGAACTTGCTTCACGCACCCACGGTTTTTTTTTTCGAAAACCTCGTTTTTGTTTTCTGCTGATTCATCGCAGCGGCATTTCAAAACCCTCTCTTTTCCTGGTCAGGCGGACTCCCGATTTGTCATCTATGGCATGTCGCCCGTATTTATAGAATTCAAATTCCAAACAAAACGTTGTTTATGTCTTTCACTTTCCCCATCAAAAACCCACATGTTTCTCCTGGACAAACAACACAGATCTGGTGCAGTTTCCCATAATTTCATAGCTTCGCGTGATTGTGAGATTTGCGGAAGTCATTTTTGCAAAACTCTCCCATACATCAAGATTGAATGTACTCAATGGCGTTTGCAGAAGTTTTTGAAGAGGTTCGAGATGCCCTCGCTATGAGAAAAACATCATTTTTCACGTCCTCCTTGGTTTTTGAACTTTTGACCCCTGTTCTTGAGAAAATGACTTGAGAAAACCGGGTTCATGTTAAGAATCTATTTGGTCAGATTTGTCAGAGTTGACGGCAGCAAGTCACGTTCAAAGTATTCGAGATTATCCGGCTTCTGAATCCTAAAATCTAAATATCAAAATGCTTAGTACGTGTCTGTGTTTTCATCGTAATTTGTGCTGAGTCTGGAAAAATAACAACAAAGACCAGCTTCTCAGATTGTTTTTCTGAATAATTGAACTTTAAGAGAAACTGCTCGAAATCACGTTCTATCCCTTCAATTCCCTCTGGAATTGTCGCCAAAATGTCGTCGTTCAGCACTTTGCCGTCACTTGCTTTCTTCTTTTTTTTGTATTCGATACAGCTACTAATACAATCCGGCTAAACACTTTCTCCAAATCTTTTCTATTTTTTCTTAGCGAACATATGCATCGCATTAGAAGAATAGCCATTCTTTCCGGAGAATAAATTCCCGTCGAACTGCCGCTTTTTTTTGCGTTTGTTCATTTTCTGCTGAAGATGTGAGAAGTGTTTTCCGTTGAGACTCATTGAAACCCGGAAGTCTGGAATTGCCTGAAACCCTTCTAATCATTCACCATTCTCCAAGTTCTGTTTTTCTCTCTTTCTCTTTCTCTCTCTCTTCTTTTCTTTTCTCGGAACTCGCAGATGTTGTTCTAGATCTCAGAAGCAAAACAAAAGTTCACTTTCAGGTAGGTCTACGCCCTATAATCAAATTTTCTCAACCTCGACAAGCAAAAACTCTCTATTATCTTCGAGAATTTTATCCTGATAAGAACACGTGCTTAAAACGGCCAGTAAAATGGATGGCTGGCAAAGTTCGAAGGTCTTTTCGGCTGCTCGAGTGTATAGTATCACACCATATTCGGGTCATCCTTTTCCATAAATGTCAAACGCACATGACTTTTAGTGTCAGACTGGAATGTGATGGGAGTAGCTGTCTAGTAAACAGGCAGTGGTAAAGTGCATGACCACAAATTAGCATGAATTATAAGTGTGTATCATTTTTTGTAATTTTCAGAAGCGTTGAAAGGAAAAGAGAGAGTGAAAATAAGTAATTCGAAAACAATAAATCTTTCCTTATTATCTTACTACTCAGTATTCTTAAATTTAATTGGTCTCATCCTGCAACGCCCACTTTCCCCCTAATTAGTTTTATTTTCTTGGCAGTTTCTCCTTCGAAACAAAAACTTTGCACCAAATGGTGACTCATATTTACTCGATTTACCTCCTCGAACAAATACCGTTCTATGATCCCGTGGATTGTTTTGGCCAGCCACTTTTCGCCCATTTGCCTCAGCCGCCACGCAAACAAACACAAAACTTGGGCTCTTTGTGTTTGTGAGCACGATTTCCATGGTGACTAGAATTATTTTCATTTTCGAACGACATTTCTGAGAAAAAGGCGGCGTGCTGCGGGTTAATTGAATTGTGCACATTTTCAGATTGAAATGCGAATCGAAAAAAAGCGCTCTTTGAATCTCTGTTTCTCAGAAAGCAGGCGGCTAGTTGCATTTGCATTTACACTGCCCCGCGGACGTGAATTTCACGTGATTTGACTACTTTGCAATGCCGCGCGGGGCCTAAATGAATTTTATTTTTTCAGAAAAATATTCTATTTTCTATTCGCTCAAACTCAACATCTCGGCGAGCCCATCAAAAAGGGTGGGAGAGAGAGAGAGAGAATTCTCTTTTCTGTCCCTTCAAATTTGTTATTTCATTCTATTCCTTTTAGGCTATGATATGCTTCTCTTTGATGTTTTGAGAATGGAACTGAAAAATATCTTATTTTGGGATTCTGAGTTACGAGAAAAGGAAAAAAAAAGAACTACTCGATAAGGAGCATCTTCTTCTTCTTCTTCTCCCCTTTCTCTCCACATTTTCATCCTACTTTTTATTTGCTCAGCCGCTTAGGTTGTTTTTCGAAGCTGCCTATCATCGCCACTCACAAAAAATAGCCAGACCTTGAAGAAGTGGTGATTTACGGTTCCTTCCTTTATTGCTTCTTCCTCCTCTCCTTCTTCTTCTTCTTCTTCCTCTCCTTCTCTTCATTATCCCTTCATTCTCCCACATTATCAGAATAACGTGCTTCAGAAACAAGCATCAATCAAATGCGTTCCTCCCCTTTTCTTTTTCACCTTCATCTTGTCAAGTTCACTCCGTCATCAGTTTTACCCTTTTGCACGGTGCGCTTGACTGTCTTGTCCAATCCATTCTGTCGATCACGCAAAGTTCTATCAGTCAGAAGTGCAATGAAAATGGCAACATTTGAACAAAATACGGGGTGTAGCCGACTAATTTCGCTGATAAAACGCATATAGTCTTGCGGGGCAGTGAATCAGCTGAGACCACTATATTTTATCGCTAGTTTTTCGCGCTATGCTATTTGCCAACACCATCTCTTTTTTGCTGTTGATCCTACAACTCGTCACTCAACAGTGTGAAAACTCAATTTTCCCCTAGAAAGAGTGAAAGGAGCAAATATTTGGAAAATGTGTGAGAAAGTCAGTCAAGCACTTCGTCGCGTTTCTAGGCTACACGGCTCCATGGAGATTTCAAGCTTTTGCTCCCTTTTTCCATACTTTCATCCTCGTTTTTACGTTTTGTTGTTGGTGTTCATAACGTGAATTAGGACGAAAGAAGACGGGCGCCTACCTTCAGTGTCAGCGCCAAGTGCCTCCGCCTCTTCTTCTCACTTTACGACGTTCTCAAATATTCAAGTCACACTCTTCAACAACCCTATCACTCATAAAAAACCGTCAATGTTCCATATCACTTTAAAAGTACAGTAAACACTTGTTTGATCATTCAACACAGCCAAATTCTAGATTTCTACCGAATTTTTGTAGTTCCGACCTTGTCTCGCTGAACTTTCAATTCTGATTGATGTTGCCAACATTTTTTTTTTAAATAATCATCTAATTTGCATATGCAAATGCAAATTCCTACGTATACGGCAACATCACTGATAGTATACAACTACAACACATGTGTAGTGGCAGTGTGCCAATTGGGAAAAAAATCACGGAGAGCTGTATTTTTTCTTTCTCTCTCTCTCTCTCTCTCTTTCTCTCTTATCAATCGGTGTACTATGATACTTTGGTACGTGATCTCCCTAGGGTAATGTGTGGGTTTTCAGAAGAAGGTGTCTGCCCCACTTATCTCCGAATACTCCCGCATTTTTATTCTCTTCCTCTTGTTTCTTTTGGGTCGTCTGTCGATGCCGTCCACTTTCGAATAGCCTTGACAAAAATTGTCGGACGGTCTCTTCGCATTCATCTCTTTCGTTTTCCCAATCCCACCTGATTTTTGTGTCTACGTTTCCCTGCCGAGCATTTCGAATGTTGCAAGTGATAAGATGGCCACGTAAGAAAACGCGGAGAAAAAGAGGGCGCTCTGTCCGGGACGGACATCTGGCGATCCTCCGGTCGACCGAGGCTCAGCGAGCTCATAGCTCTCCGGGTTTTCTAAAAGAAGTGCGGGTGTGCGGTGACGTGAGGGAGTGCGCGGATTGCGGAGTGCGCAGGCAGCCAGAAGGGATAGGCAAAGCCCGCACCACTTGGGCCACCCCTTGCCCTCTCTTCTCCTCTGTGTGCGTCTTCTCGCTCACCACACACCACCGGACCCCCTCGCTCACTAATATATAGTCATCAGAGAGCGTTCAAGAATGTGTTCATGTTTCCTTATTGTTTCCTGCCTGTTTTTCTTCCTCCTTAACTTCTTATTTTTCCGTTTTTTTTAGACATGCTAAAGACCGGTCTCATCGAGAGTGACAATCAAAAAGTTGGTGTTCGAGTCGCGCACATTGACGGATCCGAAAGAGCCGACAATGTGCATCTAATCGAAATTCGCCGTATCATCTCGCTTGTCGGTATGTTTTTATAGATTTTTAATTTGTTTCAGGGCGCGAAATCCCGTGAGAAATTGCGGATTTCATTAGTTTTTGAGGCCTTCAAGTTCTCTTATTTGAAATTTCCAGTTCAGTAGAGCACATTTGCACACAAAACAATATTTCAGGTGCTACATACTTCCTGTTCATGACTGGTTGGGTGGTCCCAGTGGCATGCGTCATCACAGTCACATCCCTCTTCCCTTTGATGTTGATCAGGTTAGTAGATTAACAGAAATTCGGAAAATATAAATGAAAATACTTATTTTTTCAATTAGCTCACACACACACACACACACTCAGAAATTTCTTCTTTTCCAGCATGCCTTTGTTTAATTACCTCGAGCACAAATTATGCGGAATGGTGAATGCGCACTGGAATGCGGTGGCTGTTTACTGTGGATGCTCGGGTGAGTCATAGTCACACGAAAGTTCTCTAATTTTTTGAATGTTTTAGTGACAGAATACGGAAAGAATCTGAGCGAGTTTGCCGAAGAAAAATGCCTTCTGCTGGCCAACCATCTGGGACTCCTTGATCATTTCGTCCTCATGCAGAGTCTCAATGGAAAAGGATCGATCCGATCTAGGGTAAGATAACATAACGACCATCTGCTGATCACATGAAGCATATTGGCGAAAGGAATTGTGGACTAAATAAAATAGCAAAATTTCAGTGGATGTGGGTGATCTACAATATCTGGAAGTACACGCCACTTGGAGTCATGTGGACGTCCCACGGCAACTTTTTTGTCAACGGAGGAGCTAGCAAACGCGACAGTGTCCTGAAATCCTTCAAAGATCATCTCCAAAACTACTTCTACAAGTACGATTACGGATGGATCATCATGTATCCAGAAGGTTCGTTGCGTACTTGATTTGCATTGTTTTGCAAAAGTGATGTGATACTATCATGTGGTCGGAAACAGTCCTTATCATCTTGTTTGTTTTCACCACAGGATTAGTGCATTATACATTGCATTTGGTGGCACTAATAAACAAACCAACCGGCAATGAGACCGTTTATTTCAGGATCTCGCCTGTATTTGGTCAAGAAGAGCGCTCGTCAGTTCGCCGAGAAGAACAACCTCAAGCCGCTTGATAACTGCGTCTACCCACGTACTGGAGCCGCCCACGCTGTCTTAGAAGCTCTTGGGCCTAATGACGGTATGTATACTATAGGGGAATTTCAATGTGAACACGTGAAAACAGCTCGGGACACGAATTTGAATCAAGTCGAATTCCACGCACAGATGGAAGAGAAACACTCACTAGTCCCCCGGCCATGCCGATTTACGAGCATCTTTCGTTGATATTCTTCAACCGGGGAACTTGTGTGTTTATTGTTTCCCAAATCCGTTTTTGCGCGAAAATTCCTAACAGAGCGCGTTTACATTGAAATTCTCCGATAGTATAACACAATACCTCTTTTCCACCTCCTTAACTCGCTTTTTCCCAGAAACCCTACAAATGTCGAATTGCGGAAAAGGAGCGCCAATCAAGTACATTATCGACGCGACAATCGGTTACCACCGCGGAGTCGTTCCGGATATCTGCGACGCAATGATGGGAGACTGGTCAACCCACGACGCCTCCGCCTTCGCCGTCCATTATGATGTGATCCCAGTCAAGCCGGAGTGGTCCGATGAGAATAAACTGAAGGATTTCCTCTACGAGAGATACGCCCAAAAAGTGAGTATTTCGAGCCATAAAACAAGAGACCGACATAGCTCGAATATTTTCAGGACAAGTTGCTCGCCGAGTTCTACAAGACCGGGCACTTCCCTGGAGAGCAGACAAAAGTGGTGCCGAACAACTTTGAGATGCTAGGTGCCCAGGTGTTCTGGGGAACACTGTATTACATCCACTACTACTACTGGCTCCGTCCGCTCATCGTTTACACGTGGACGTCTTTTGTTTCTCCGTTCTAAACGTTCTCATCTCTAAAACTGGTCACAAAAACTTCCCCATACACATTCTTCCTATGGATTGCCAACTCAAATTCGTTCCGATTATGTCTTTTGAAAAGACGTTGGTTTTTTACTCTTCATATTTATGTATGTTGTAATTTGAACTCCACATTACTTTTGGTTCTCTCTCTCTCTCTCTCATACCCCTTTGATTCAGCAAAAGATCCCATTCCTGAGACAGGTCTAAAGTCATTCTTGCTGTACGTATCTGTTTGCAGAATTGTGTATATGAAAATGTTTAATAAGGGATTTGAAAAAAATGGAATTCTGTCTTCTTATCGCATGATACTGTACAAAAACTGGTTTGGACACGAGTTGAGTGCAATAAAAGTTAATGATCTCACCGCAAAAAGTGTTCACTTCTTCTGCAAATTTGTTCATCGCTCTTCCCTTTCTTGTTTGCAGATGACATTAGGTAAGTCTGTACTAACTGCTATTGTATCGCAAGTGAATAGGCGGAAGAAAGAAGATAAAAAGGAGAGAGAAAGAGACGGTAAACATTCTGGAAAAAGGCGAAGGACATCGAGAAGGGGATACGCCCAGTTGAGGCAAACTGTCCGATTGAACACATTGAGGCCGATCCCACCACAATTGGCCAGCCAGGCGGGTAGCCAGGCAGTCAAACAGCCGGCCGCCCTTCTTTTCTCTTTAAAAAAACCTGTTTCGGAATAGCGAGGGAGTCGTTGGGCAATCAAGGCAGTTGGGGGTCTCCATTCTTGTAAGGACGTCGTTATTTGATTATTTATTCGGTCCTATTCCTCCACCTCTTTCTCCTCAAACTGCTACCCTCTTCTTACCGTTTCATTTGATTCCAGCTCTATCATCATGACCCTCCCGGTTTCTATGGACGACAAGGAGCTGTTTCCCAAAGTCGACATTTTGAATTTGAGTTTCTCGCCAAAATCTGAAGTGGACAGTGATGTTTTTAAGCAGGTTAGCTCAAATAAAAGCAAAACATCAATCAAACAGTGAGATTTTCAGATGTTCACATCGCTGAACCGTTTGTGGTGGTCGCGTCTGGTGATCTCCGTTCGTGGCTATGTTATCAACTACGTTCAGCAAAATGACGACGTTCTGTTTAGTTGCGATGACGCGTTCATCAAAATCCATCAGAAATTGGCGGAGAAAGAGAGTCAATTCGAGGACGCCTTTGAGGTTAATCACCGTTTTTCGAAACGATTCAATCAAATGATAGGTTTACAGTACCTCACAGCAATCTTTCATATCATCCGAGAAAAGAACACACTGATCCAACTGATCTCAAATCCGAAAAGTATTGCGACAACTCAAATTCCACCCAACTTGGAGCGCTCATTCGGCATCATTCTCGGGGATCTTTCGCCGAAGGCTATTCAGCTGACTATCGGTGCGACCTTATTCAACTTTCCGTTTCTTCTCCTTTCTCACGTGTCTTCTTTGCAACAAAGCAATGGTTTTCAGCCCAGCTACCCGCCTATACAATGTTTATCAAAGTTGTCGTCAATTTACAACAACGATGGGAAAATGAGAAGTTGAAGAAGAAGTCGATCCGTTTTGAGACTGATCCCGAATGGGAACCTGATGAGAGAGTTGTGCTCTTCCAGACTTTTGCTTCAGGTATTCAGATGGAAAGTTTTCCGAAAGTTAACAACTTCCAGACAATCGAACATGGGTCCTATTGGACTTTGATCGGTACATTCTGCAACAATGGAAACCCAACGGCACTTCTGTCATTTTCGGTGACCGATTTGTTGAAAAAGTTAGTACTCTTATTGACGTTTCCCTCACCCTAAACTATAATTATAGAAAAAACGAGCGGGACTGAAATTATGCTCCACTTGTGGAATGCTTGAACAAAAGGTACATCCACTCAACTTTAAAAACCTTTCTTAACTAAAATTTCAGAAAACTCAATTCGCTCAGCTGAATGACCAGGCGTACTGTTCGAAAACATGTTTCGACGAGACCAATTCGCCGATGATCGTGAACAATCATGGTGCAACCGTTGTCCGTTTATAATGCGATTTCGATTTCAATTTACATCCGCCCACCCCACACACCCTTCTCTCTCTCTCTCTCATCATTTCATCAGAAAACCATCAACGTTTCATTGTATTTCCATAATTTTGCAAACAAAAACATTTCCTGATTTGACATTATGATCTTGTACAAAGAGTGTAAAGGCATAAAGAGTACTTGAGAACAAAACGTGTTAAAAGATATACTCGTTGTTGAAGGGTGATTTCAGTGAAGCGTGTCATCAAATTTGGGTAAAGGGAATGAATGTTTAAGAACAATAGAAGTGAGAAGCACAATTAGATTGTTTCTGGTTGCTTCTCGCTTCTTGACCGCCTCTTAGTAGCTGTAGAAGTGCCTCGTTTGCGACTTGAAATCTCCGCGAGGGGATATGGCTCCAGAAATGAAACTTCCATGTTCAGTGGGTGGGATCTAAAATATCACACTTTTTCTGAAGACAAAACAGTAAAACTGTAACTCACAGCCATGCTCAACTGAGATTGCGGTGGCTGGTACTGATTTTTGTAAGATTGCTGTGGATAGTGGTTGTAACTCCCCGCAAATTGACTATTCGACATTTTCAACGAGTACTGACTCTCCGCAACTTCTTCCACAAAGAAAAATGTGTAAGTGGTGACGAGAACGGCGAACAGAATAGCGAAGATTGAGATAACGAACGCGAGACCGGCGAGGTAGAACGAATATCCGTACTGTTTCTGTAAATTCCCTAGTTTTAATCTAGATTTCACATAAGCCTCCACCTCGAACGTATTCTTGATTCCTATGAGATACTTGGACTCGAGCATTTCAGCGTTTGCCATGAAAACAGCGAGAGAGATTCCGAGGAGTAAACCTGAAAAGCTATAGTATCAATGTTAGAGTCTCTTTTCAGAAGTCTCACTGGAGAATCCAATCACTCCGTCGCAGATAATAACTGCAATCTTTGCTCGATTCGGTTTCACGTACGAAACGATGATTGCCGCGATTCCTATTGTCATAAACGTCATAGCACAGCAGTTGAGGATGAGAACGGCGTAGTGCCATCCAAAAAAGTAGGGAGTTCTCAAAAGTTTCTTTCTACAGTCGCCAATCAGGAAGAATCGACAGACATCCACCTGGAAATTGAAATGATTCATGTTTTCCTTGGTTTTGAACCAACTTTCTCATAGTAATTGATCAAAGTGTCACTGAAAATGTACCAGCATTGCGCTTGTCCCGGACAATACAGCCACAATCCGGATTGCACATATCGATTGGCATCCAAGTCGTCAGCAACCTACAGTATTTACTAACTTTTTATTAAAAAAAGTTATGTACCTGCCAGGCCGGAGTGAGTGTTGCGATGAACAGAAGCGCGTTGGAAAGAACCGATGATATCAGCGTTGCCAGCTGATATTTCTGCAGTTTCGTTCGGAATTCCAGCATTTCTGATGAAAAGTTTGATTTGATTACATTGGACAACACAAGCACAGCACAATATTCATATGGCGTGGAGACCATTTTGATTGAAAATTGGAACAAGCAGAAATTCATTTTATTATAATTCAAATGAAAAATGGCGTATGTACCAGATCTTTAAAAAGTTGTGTGTCAAAGAAAAAGTCCGTACTTGGCAATATGTACTGAAAATGTGAAAAAATAGACCCGTGTTTAGTGCTTTTAAAGAAATTATGTCAAAACCGAGTGATAAATATGACAAGAATTTGTGAAGTTAGCAGTTAGAAGACGGTCGTTTTCTTTTCAGTCCGTGGAATCGGCGGAAGTGTTCTCATCGCGAAACGGTCTTCAAATGATTCCATCGACCGGTTCGGATGGTATTGGTACTCGAAAAAGTCACTTTGCTGTAAAAGGATTCCAATTAGGATAGGGGTTAGTGATTTTTTGCATGCAGGAACTAACCAGAGACGAGTTGATGTTCTGTCGGGACATTGACGGATTCGTTCGCGCTTGCAAGAACACATTTATGGCGGAAAGTACAATAGCGATCAGATAAACGAACGCTCCGGTTAGGGCAATGTACCAGGAATAGCCACGGTGTTTCTGAAGATGTGTTATGAAACAAAACTTTTTTACACAGTATTCGTGTATGTACAAACTTCATAAATGCCACTAACAGAAACATGGAAGAATCTGTACTCGACCATGTAAGAATAGACGGCAAACGCAATGAGGCAGCCGAATGCGATGAATGCTGCAAAATTATTCTCAAGTCAAGGTCAAGAAGTTTTTGGCTTTCAATTTTTAAAAACTAACCTGCCAAAACCAGAAACAGCATTCGCAAAATGTTTGGCAAGCGGGATTCACTATGAGAGACCGATACGCAGAAACTGATCATCGACAGCATTGCGAACGTCTGTGATATCAGGTACACGTGGAAAAGTGTTCGCTGCCATGCTTAAAATATCTTTTTCCATGGCATTTGACTTAAAAACTTACGATAAAACGCGGGCGTTCTAAAACCAGATACTTCGTCGCTGAAATATGTGTCAAAGTCGTCGTGCGAGAACGTGTATGTACAACTGTACATGCCATTGGGTCTGAAAATGGTTTTGTTTTGTGACGCATAGTTCAATTACACAAATACCTTGTTTGACATGATAACCATAATCCGCTTTGCACCCATTGTCGGATTTCGCGAGCGTACACCACCTGAGAGAGCAAGAGCATATACATAGAAAGGATAATAATAAAATTGAAACATTTGTATGTACCTGCCAGGATGGTGTGCATAATGCAGCGGCTGTGAGTAAGAAGGCGATTATAGTGAGCGCTAATATTGCATAACTGAGAAGTTTGGTCATTTTCTGAAAAAAAGTTCATGATTAAGTGTATATGTGAGAAAGGTTTGGTGGAAGTGGAAGTGGAAGAGAATAATAAGATAATAATCTGATAGGTGTATTGAGACGTAAATAAATGAATGAAACCGATGAAGAATTCCGATTGTCACGTTGGATGGAACTGCAAAACGTTTGACGGAATGGAACTAGTTTTCCTTTTTCTATATTGATTTTAGAAGGAGAAGCCAAGGTATTACTAGGATTTGTGTATCAACAAAGTGTAATGACCTCGTTTCGCGCTGAGGATGAGGAACGGATGAAAGGATTTTCGACACCGAACAAAAAAGGGCCGCTCGCAACGATTATGATACGAATTTACATATCAAATTGGTGGCATGAAGTGAGAAAAGAAAAGAAAAGAGAAACGAGGCCAGATGAACGCGAAGGAATCGGCGGCGCACGATGAGGGCGAAAGTCTGATCGGGGCATGAGGGTCATTTAACGACAAACGGATGGCCACAGACTCACGCTGGACCCCCTCACCTCCCTACCTGCGCATTTCTACGTTTCCACTTCTCTCGCCGCTCCGAATTCCTCACGCACTCTCAGTTTTCCTTTTATGACCTTTGTTGTTGTGCGTGTGTGGCGCTTTGGATACCGCGCGGCGAGAGAAAGAGGGAGAAGAGAAGATTTTCAAATTTCCGAAATGCGACAGTAGCCTTTCCGAATTAATGCCGTTGTGAACTGAACTGAACGACCAACGATGAAATTAAATGAGTTTAGTTTCGATGGGTAGTTGAAAAAGAAGAAGAACGGTAAACAGACGGGGGAAAAAGATGAACATCCTGTCTGTGGACACGAGAAATGTAATTGACCATGAAGAAACACTCTTTGTTGTCCAAAAATTGAAATTGTATTGGCCTGACAAAGCAAAGTGCGAAAAAGGAAATAGGTGAGAACTTTGACGCCGCAGTGACGATGGAGGTCTTTTGGGCGTTTATCGAAATGCATGCTGGTCAAGGTTGAAATGAGACATGAAAATGCAGAAATTGAAATGATAACAGGGACCGGATTGGAAAAGGTGGAATGAAACTCCTGGAAAGTTTGAATGCACTTAGCAGCGCTGGGCGAAAGATCGGACCAGGCTTGGACTTTTGATCAATGAACCAATCGGACCCAAACTTTGCAGAATTCTTGGACTTCGACTGAGGTCTGCCTTTAAAAAGCCGGTATTTTGCCCAGCCGTGGAAAAACAGGACTAAAAAAGGAAATTCCACAAATCCTGGAAAGGTTGTACGACATTTTTATGAAAACTTTCAGAGAATTTTCAGAAACAACGCCGTCTTAAAATGAATATTCATTGTGTGCTGAACCTCATCCGGTACACGAAAACGAACGAGCAACGGAAGAAAACGAAGATTCGTCCGAACCAATTTACGCGGGAAATAAAAAATTGAGCCGCCGCGCGAGCACATCCATGCAAAAATGCATCATAAAAATTTCAAAGATTTCTTCGAGGCTATTAGTTTCTTGACATTTCGCTACGTTGTGCTGTCATTGTGTTTTTCTCCGTCTTTGGATATTTCATTTCACTTTTTTGCCAAACTTTTATCTCTTCGGCTAATGCAAATATTGTACCGAAAAGAAAAAAAGGTCGCTTTTGTCTTGTACTTGACCTTTCCACAATTTCTCTTTTTGCTTAGCTTTTAGAATTCATTTTTTACCGCAAACCGATTTATTTGTGTTTTTAGCTTAACACTTTCATTGTTTGTTTTCTCCAACAAAACGAGTAAATCAGAAATTTCATTGACAATAAAACCTGTTACTCATTTCAAATTCCCAACAGACTTTTTTTGCTTTTCCAACTACATCTGTACGTTTTGCAGCATTACTTCTGGTTTCCAGGGACTATTTTACGTTTTTCTGTTTTTCCACTTTGCTAATCTCCGGTTCACTCAATTTTTCAATCGTTCAGATCATACAGATCCTCTTCTTTTTTATCTTATCTGTTTGTCCCCCCAAATATTTCTATCGGAATCCAGAAAGGCTGAGCGGTGCCATGATGACAGAGGAAAGAGTATTATTATTATTTGACTTCCTTTATAATTCCCAAATTAATTTATAATTCAAGACAAGCGCCGCGCGGTCTGAGAGAGAAAGAAAAGATGGGCTCGGCCCTGCATTCGGAATTCCACGAAGTGTGAATCTCATTTTGTTTCCTCTTCTTCTTCTTCTTCTTCATCGTCTTTTTCCAAAATATTTGGGAGAAGGTGGGAAGAGATGAGCGAAGGCTCTTGAGAAGCTCGAGCGTCTCCACGAATGATTATTAATTCTCAGCTCTCTCAGGAGCCATCGTCGGCAACGCCAAGAAGCTGATGCATATGGCGTGTTTATCGGATCACTGAATTTCAAATTCATTTTCGGCCGCGCACCACACCATTCACACCACTCGGCTGGCACACATCCTTAAAATTGATGATAATAATAAATGCCATGCCGTCGCCTCCGCTGTCGCCTTTCGGAGAACGTCTACGGGTTACGGTGGTTCGTTTTTCTGGCGAGCGTCTGAAAATTTGATACGTCCTGAAAGAAGAGGGCGAAGGAATGACTGACAAAACTTGAATGCGACTATGACAAAGAGGAACCTTTCATTTCTTTTGTCACCTCCGATTCCATCCTCTTTTACCTCTCCACAATATGAATTTCTTCTTGAGTTTTGAGACCCCCCAAAAATTTTTCAATTATAAATACAAGAATTTCATCGATTGCTCTGTTCTCAACACCATTCTTGCCTTTCTATGTGTTTGTACGTATTTCCTCTTCCTTCCTTTTAGAAAATCACTATAAAAATCAGTGGACCCTTAACAAATTGGATAATGACCAATCCTAGCACCGAGATCATAATCTGGTCGATTGCACAACACTTGTTAACGTGTAGTGCTCAACAAACTGTCAACCGATGGTGCGATATGTCACCGGTTGATACTTGCTAATTATACCTGTGGGAAATTATTGAGGAGGGAACGGTGATCGGTGCTCGATTGCGTGATGTTGGCGAAACACAAGTGGTGGGCCAGTCCAATCGGAAGGAGGGGGGGGGGGAGGTTACCTTCTAACATATCGGCTCCATCTGTTGCATTGATACATAACATTTTTAGGAAGCCATGTGCGTCTCCAACCTCTCCAATCTACTCTTAAGACACTCTCATATGAATTATCTCAATCAGAGCGTTTCTCTTCTCTCCAAAAACTGACCATACTGTCAATTTAGGCTCATCTGCTCCCTTAATGTCCTATATCCATATCCAATCCTGTTTACCTACATATTACACAACAGAACCATCTGCAACGACTCCACTGGGTGCCAACTTGCTTTCGGCTTCTGATGTACACTATTTGTTCCGCATTGGGTTTGATTTCAAAAAGATGATACACACCTGGCCCCCCGGAAGTCGGCTGCCTTGTCGGCTCACGCACCACATAAGATGCTCATCTTTCAAAATCTAGATAGACACTGTAGTTTTTGTCGGGTTCCATTCCCATGCGGGCTCTCTTCTAGGTATGAACACTTCTCCCCCCTCGCAATACGTAGGAATTATTATAAATTCAAATTTTCATGTATAATGTATCGCACTTTTCGCCTCTCTGATCCTTCTCGCTGCTCGTGCCGAATTGTACACGCACTTGCGGGAAAGTGCAAATCTTTCTGCCTTATCACCTACTACTTTTAGTTGAGTTAAAGACACGCCCATCTCCCTCTCTTTCCTCCTAGCAGTTCCCACTCATCCCTTCTGGGCTTCATCATTCGTCGAGCCGCATGCCCCGCCCATCTCGGAAGGCTATGCGCGCTTCGGCTACGGTGGTTGGCTCTTCAGTTTGTCTTTGGATTTTCCGTGTTTTTCGCCATATTCTTTTCAGCTTTGCTTCTTTTCCATCTTTAATTCTCATCATAACTCTTGCAGCACTGAATCTTCTGGAAAAATGTCTGTGGAAGCTGGTCGAACATGTTTCCTAATTGATTCCATTCTTGACACGAAACCTAAAGAAGAATTTAATGAGACAGAGGAAGAGGATGACGAGGATGAGGAGGAGGAGCTCTCGAGTTCAGAAGTTGCCAGGTGAGAGTTCATTTCGTTTCTTTTCCCCCTTGTCCCATTTCTCTATTTCTTCTAAGCTCCTTCGATATCACTCTTCTGTTTTCAAAATGTCAGTGGTCATTCTGTAAGAGCTTCAAAAGTATTGTGGTCAATGTTATCCGCGTCTAATTCCACCGCATTCACATGATGCGCTACAATCGAACCACTCCAAATTTCGGTCATAGAAAGACGAGTGAGATGTGCGTGAGCGTTACCTCAACCACAAGACAACATTGTCCAAAAGTCAGAAGTATATTGGGGGATCAAGGCTCGACGTCATATGCGGAACCTTATGCGCGGGTCACCTTATCTTCCAATTCAATTACATTTCGGGAGTTGAATCAAACTTAATCCTACAATATCTATACATATTCAGTGGGTGGAGACCCGATTCCCGTAATTACACCACTTTCAAATAAATAGCTTTAAACTTGTCGGCGTTTGCCTGTTCGTCGCCCGAAAAACAATGATTTAGTCATGCACATTTCTGAAAATTTGGGAACAAAATGAAGAAAAGTTAGCTACCAACATCTCACTACCGTTTTCCCGTTCTTCACTCGTTTACCATTGTTCTTGACATTTGTTTTCCTCTCGCCTTTTGCGACACCTCACCTACTAAGTGGTACAACATTGTTTTCCGGCGCCTATTTTTTGAATAATTCACACGTGTTTGAAGACCTGACTCGCATCTCATCTCAGAAAACATTCCTCTTACTCAACTAGATTTTTTCAGTGAGAACGATATGGAGACGGCATCCGGAAGCACTCCGGTGGACTCTCAGCCTAAGCAAGATCTCTCAGCGCTTCACAAAATCATTACTTCCTTTGATGCGAACAAGTTCGCAGCGCTGCGCCGAAATGGTCATCCGATGCTTGTGGTAAGCAGATGAAAGCAAAATTAAATCAATTCCAAGGTTATATGGTTTCAGCGCCCCGAGTTCTTTCAATTCGAACTGAGCAAACAGCTGCACCTTGTCCAGCAGACAATTCAAATGAACGTGCTACAAAACCTCGGACACTCCCTGCCACTCTCTTTTGTTCCGCCGATTATGAAAAGTACATTAACTTTTTCCGATGCACTAATCCCAACTTTTTCGATTACAGACGTGACCCCAGTTGCCAAACGGAATCACACCAAAAGAACCTCATACTTGGACCAGTCTCTAAAAAATAACATGAAAAAGTATCGGTGTGATGTTTGCGAGAAGACATTCAGCCGAAGTAACACTTTGATCACCCACAAGGTAACCACTAATCACTACGTTTCCCCGCCGAAAAAAGTGAGGGTGTAGAACAGCATCACATCACTTTTTGGCTATTTGCATATCACTGAAACGTTGTTTTCGAACTTCCAAAGTGATGTTAAATTATGTCACATCATTCTGCAAATTGAACCGAGGAGAAACAGAATCTGACGAATTCGTTTTTTAAAAAAACCAGCTCAAATTATGACGTTTTTTAAGTTCGGTTTGCAGCGTATTCATACCGGGGAGAAACCATTCAAATGCGAGCATTGTGGCCGGGCATTTCGCCAACCCGGAAATTTGACACGTCATCGACTGACTCACACAACGGTACCACCGCTACCATCAAAGAGACTGGACGGAATTGAATTGAATGATTTCAGGTCAAGCCCTACGTGTGTGGATTGTGCGACAAAGCCTTCAACCGTGCCTCGAATCTTCATACTCACATGAGAACACATTCGAACATGTGAAGACCCTCAACTCAAACGTCCTTCATAGTTCATAACTTTTCCAGTTAAACAAATGTGTTGTCAATTTAATAATATAATGTGTGATGCGATCTCCTCGCGACTTCATCTTCTTTTTCCCTTCCATTACCTTCTGGATTTTCACAGTCTTCATTACTTTTCTATTAAGTTCCAGTTTATTTGAGTCAATAAAGTGCATCATGCATCAAGGGTTTAAAGCAAAATTGTTCAAAAGCTGTCCAAATCTTTGACGGTCACCGTGTTCTGCTGGTCCAATTTGTCCATGTGCGGGTAGTCGTAGCGTTGGAAGTGTCCGTCGAATGAGAGCATTGTGATCATGGGCCGAATGTAGCCGCCGAAAGCCAGAATTTGAGTGATGACGAATGAGATGAACAAGGATGCAAGGGTGATGTACCTTTGCCAGGTGTCCTTAAAAGCATTATAAGTTTTCCGCTTTACAATGACTAACTCACGTGATAGTAAACTGCGAATTCATCAACCTCGTTTCCTGTGAGCCTGTTCAATGGTGAACAATTGAGAACTGTAAAAATTTTCACTTTTTATTAGGAGTTTGTACTTTTTAATCTCACTTTCAACTTGGTTCACCCGCAACAAAACGGAAGCGAAGAGGATGAGCAATACGAGCCAGCTGACAGCAATCAAGATAATCACGGCTGTCCGTTTACGGATCACACGTGTGAATCTGGAAATGTCGAGACTGACAACATAATCGTTCTGGGTACTTACATTCCGAGTGTCATTGTGAGGATCATGGAAATGATAAGCGGGACGGTGGTTGTGTGGAGGATAAGAGCGATTTTGTGACGAGTTCCCATTTGCTGAAGTTAAATGAAAATGTGGCCTGTTATGGGCTCATTCAGTTGGATAAAAAACCGGACAACCGGTTTCTTGTTGGTTTTTCCTAGTTTTTTACCTGACTGAATGAGAAACTAAAAACTATACATACATTCCAAAGAGTGGCACATCCACCAGCAGTCCACGGTGTACACGTGTAGAGGCCTGTACCCACCGTTGCTTTTCCATCATCTCTCGTATTCCAAGCTGTGTGACGGTTTTTGGTAATATTTTGCTATCTCACTTAGAAAACACTAACCATACGTATAGGCATCCACAAGAACTGTCACCAAAAGTAGAGTAGACAGAAAAATAGTGGTAAATTGAAGAAAAACTGCGATTTTCTTCATGATCAGAAGAAATCAGAAAAGAAAGACTGACGACAAATGGAAAGACTGTTTTTCTCTCGACAATACAGAGTCTAGCCCACCGTTGTACCCGGAGGGAGGTGCTTGAACAATAACTGCGCACTTTGTAATAAGAAGTGAGTCATTTGTATGGTGCGTTCATGTTCTGATTGCGTTCCTTTCTACCATTCTTTTTCTCTATCTCTCCCTTTGGCTTTGCTTCCGTGGCAGGCCGTATTGCGTGGATGTACGAACGTCGGAAGTAATATTTTTGAGAGAAAACAAAAGAAAAACGACTGCTACTGTGGTGACGCATACGCGGAAATTAAAAAAGAGCGAGCACGAAGGGGAGATGAATAATGTGAAGCGGGAGACGATGAAATCAGTGGATTGACAGTGTGGAAACCCGGAGTGAAAGAGTTGCCCATCCGCTTTAAGACTTGGAGTGACTAGCAAGTTTGACGTTATTGCAATGCAAGAAGTCAGCTCTCTCTCTCTCTTTCTTCCTCTGACGTTATTGCAATGCAAGAAGTCAGCAAATGGTTTTGCTTCCATAAAATTCGTGTGCATTTCTCCGGTTGTAAACGGGTTGTTACGCCCACTTTTGGCATGGCCTGCACCATTGTAGTTTGGGAGGAGGGGCAGAAGTGTTTTGGATCCAAGTTTCAGCCTGCAAAGTTCGGGTCCGATCAAAAAGTTGCAAATGAGTCAAAAACGCAAACCTCGGCATGTTTTCGAAATGCGTGGGCCGGTCTGTTCGCCCGTTTTGCCCATCCCCATTGATCAACAACCACAATTTGAACCATTTCTTTTGAAATCTGAGCTCATTATCGTTCGAACAAAAGAGCACAATTGGGCTGTAATGGGAATGACTAATGAGTTCTCACTCTACTTTCTATCCCTTTTTTGAATTTCTCCTTTTTACCCCCCCCCCCCATTCAAAACTGTCCCCTACTTGCCAAAGTACACAAACGGCACGGCGCCCTATCGTCCAACCCGCCCAATTCGGTCGGCCATTGTTCTGTGTCAGATCTGTCACTTTCTGTCCGTTTTGTTTCGCGTGCTCCTTCGTGGTGGTCGCTCTCATTGTCCTCGTCCAAATCATCCATCTTTCTTCTAATTTCAGTGTGCCCCTTCGCAGAATTTTAATGAAACAGAATTTGTTTCCGAATAAGGGTCACGTAGTCAAAATTTTGTCGGTGGCTGGCGTACCCTCAAGACAGACACACATGTTTTGATTGAAAATCGAGCGGCTAGACAAGGAAGGTCGTTTGTCTGTGTCAACTTTTCGTCAGAAGCATTCATTTCACACGTCCCAAACAAAGCTTCGCCAAGTACCATTTTTCTCGTCGCTTCCTTGAGCATCACATTGAATCAAATGGATTTTCACGAACCCTTCAATTATCGAGGAAGTCTTGTCGGCATTGGCTTTGGCTTAGAAGCATTTGCTCTTTTATGGAGTGAGCTTCATTCGACTCAGCGACACTCAGCTTCCAATTTCCGGCATGAGCCAGCCTGACCTCTTCGTTTTTGACGCCCTCAGCTCCTCGGCTCTCCCCCTATCTACATCCAACATTTTGCTCATTTTCCAGTCTTTCTTTTTTGTCTCCTTTTTTCAAAAGACGCAGAAATGTCATTATGACCCAGTTCTCCTTGTTTTATCTCAAACGCCCATTCAAAAATTTACAGGGCTGAGCAGAAGAGCCGGCCAAGCCGTTTCAAAGGTGTGCCGAAGCCTGAACTTTTGACTCAAATGCAACAATTTGATGAGACAAAACATTGCAGGCTTTTTACACGTGGATTGACGATCGGTCTGAAACTTGGACGCAAGATACTGCAGTCCACGTGGAGGAAGTAGGCGAAGTTTGAGCCTTGAGGAATTATTGCAAATGGGTCAAAGGTCTAGGCCTCGGCAGGCCTTTTGCCCAGCTCTGAAAAATTAAGAAACTGTCAGATTTTAGTCTGTCCTGTTCTCTGCGCCGCTTTGAAAAACATCTATGACTGTGCTGACTCTGAAATCGTCCATGAAGGACCTGGAAAAGGTTTCTCTCACATCACCGATACGCCCAATTCTTAAGAATAACCGTTACAAGGTACCATTGTTGTGTCGTGTTTGTATTGTGACGCTTTATAATTGGCTTACAATTAAATTTTGAACTTCAGGAAAAGAAGCACGCGAACGTGAAGCCAGCGACCAAGAAGATCATGTTTCTCGCCAAGAGCGAGAAGATCTTCTTGATCATCGTCACGGTTTTGTCGCTGACTTCCTTGATTTTCACATTTGGAGCGATTTTTATCGATAGAAATGCGATTGTTGGCACGGACGAGCATCCATCGATCTGCATGCTCAGTGAAACCCACGACTGCTATTCGGCCTACTCGGTAACACTCTCTCATCTAGTTATTATTCATTTTTCTTTCAATTACAGTCTCAATTGAGCTGCATTCTCGTTGAGACCAACGTCCGTGTTGACCTTCTCCTTTCCTGTGTCGGATTTGTAACTGCAGTTATGCTGACGTGAGTTTTTTCTGAATCTTATAATATCCATGTCTAGCTTTTTGATACAGATCGTTCCAATTGTTCAACTGTCAACTGATTGTTGCCTTCATGCTCATCGGCCTCTGCAAGCTATTTTTCATTGTGACTGCCCTTCTGATAATTCTCACAAACAACGGTGAGTTGTTTAAGACCACTATACATAGAGCCTTAGCGAAACCGTTTTTTTTTGCAGATTTCTACTACAGCGCTATCAACGAGGCATTCGACGGATTCTGCCCGGATGACATCTGCTTCAGCGGCCGCGTCAACATCGTCGTCGCCTTTATCCTCCTTCTAGGCTCATTCCTCACCACTTGCTTCATGATGTTTATCGTTTTTACCATTGGAAACCACATCATCCGTCTGTACGAGAATGCTTATGAGGTGGAGGCATCGGCTAGATGGAATTCGATGACCGCATCTATGATTCCCTAGTCATTTCTTACGTTAACAACCGTGTAACATTTCCCCAACAGTGTTTCCAATCGTTTCTTTAAACGATAATCCATACACAACAAATTTTAGACGGATCGAAAACGCATTTGGGGAAATGCCATTAATATTATTGGGTGGCTGATGGCTACTGTCAACTTGTGAAACATTAACCTTTGGGTTAAAGATTCCGGGTAGTTGACTTTAACCATCAGCACTCAGACACTTAGTCAGCCATACTGCTTCTGCTTTTGCACAGTAACTTTTTTTTTACTTCTTTGTCTGATCCCTCGCAAATCTGAACTTTGTAGTTTCTTTCCCCCGTATCGAAGAAAATTGTTTTTTATCAACAGTAGGCTTTGAATCACAATGGAATCCCTTTGAAGTCTACTGTATGAGGGATTTTTTCATCATTGTTTGCTGATTTCGTAGGACACAAATCGTCTCCTAAACCTCAATCGGACATTGGTTTTTTGCCTTCGATTTTGTATTTGTAGTCTTCGCATTACATGAATTTGTTTAACATATCGCATTTATTAGACATCTTCCGAAGAGAAGAGAAGAGCAGCAGAAAACAAAACTATGTCATATGCGTCAGATAGTCAACAGATATTAGAAAGTTCGATGGGGAACCTCTTCACAAACATTTTAATAGAGCTGCGGACATTGGGAGGAATAAGGAAATTTAGTTAATTTGGTTAGGACGAACGAAAATCGAAACGTCATCACGAATCAGAAGGGAAAAAGATCGAAATTGAGATGCAAGTGGAGTAAGATTAGAAATGACAAACACCATTAGACCGGATTGGCCTGACGACCGAACTGTTCGATCTCGTCGTCCGAATGAGCTATAGCCTCCACAACGGCCACGTTTGGCTTTGAAGTTTTGCCCTTCTTTGCCTTAGTGCCTAACTGAGTGTCGTTTTGACGTCGAGGACCAATGTACTCGAAATAGCGCAGGCTTCCATCCGGACGTTGGAGTCCGATACGGTACTTGCGATCAGCGAAATCAGGGAGGAAGGGAGCAGTGACCAGGCTAGCGAGAAGAAAGATATCCGAGATGACGGCGAGGACGACCATTGTGAACGAGTAGAGAAGTTTGGATTCGTACGAACCGAATTGCGACTTTTCGAAGATCTCCCGCATGAACGCTGCAAGTTATAAGAAATTTGTTTTTTCTATGTTTTCTCGCCTCAAAATTTAGTAAAATCGTGATACATGATGACAAATTGAGCGAGTCCTCTACTTGTTTGTTTGGCAACTAGCAACCTCGCTTAGATTTGTCCTGGCATTTCACCCCTTCCGCTTACATGGGTCATCAAACAGAACGACCGCCATCGCGCTGCCCAAGCCGATGAACTTGATCCAAGCGCACAGGTGAGCGACAATCAGAAGCGCAGAACCGAATTCCTCGTACCAGCTGCAAAGAAGAGAAGATTGTAGGGAAGGACTCCAAAAAAATGTATGTTACGTACAAAAACCAGAACGAGATGAGTATCAGAGGGGCGCTCAGAATACATTCCAGCCGGATACCGTACCAGGCAACTCTACGATTCACGGGTATCTAAATTCATTAGCGGGTTCTAATAATGACAACAAGGTTTTGAAGACGTACACTTATCTGGCGAGTGCAATGACAGTCGTATTCGTTGTATTCGGTGAAGAAGCACGTGTTCTCCGTGTCAGAATTCGGTTGGAACTCGTAATCTCGGTTCGCGTAATCTGGAAATCGCCCTATATAAAACCCTATCATTATGACAACCTAATGTTGCTCATAAAACTGTTTCGGGGAAGCATAATTGCGCTCAGACCCCGTAATCTCGCATCCAATCCAAAAATCAAAAATTGCTCACTCACCCTCAATCTCCATGGCTCCCCAGGAGAGAAGAAGCGAGACAACGGTACATGCGAGCATCGCAAGGCAAACAAAATAACGGTGGAAATCACCGTTGATTTTGATGACGTGAGAGCGTGGAGTCATCCGGCGACGTGGGCGCATCTACAGAAACAAAATAATTTTGGATAGAGTTTGGTGAAACCAACCTTTAGTGACGTCATGGTTAGTACGTACCCTAGCAGCCCAGTCGGGGCCTGAATTTTAATTTTATGTTATTTTCCGAGCTTTCTCAACAGAAAATAAAAAATTGGATTCAAAATGAAAAGATGAACCTCTCCCCCCCCGGAAGTGAAATTCAAATTCAGCAGAGATCACAAAGTGGGAACACATAAAAAAGGTTGTTCTTTTTCGTGACTCCTCTAGCCGGGACACGAGAAAGAGGAACCCACTTATCTAGATTGAATGGTCGCAAAAAGTCGAGTGAAACGATGAGAAAAGAGATGATGTTCTTTTTTGTTCTCCTATCTTTCTGTCGTCTCCGGGACTAGAATATAAAAGTGAGGAGGTTCTGCTTTTCTCGATGAGGATAAAATGAATACACTGCTCGAACAGAGAAAGAGAAAGAGATAGAGAGAGGTGGGCCTCCGAACGAACAAAAAAGGCGGAGTCTTTAACCGCCGAAAAAAAACTATCGGGGTGCGGAAAGAGGAAAAGCAAGATTAATCGACTAGGATATACATACATGGCAAGCAATGCTCGCAGAGAACGAAATGTGTAATTTTCAGTGGATAATCAAACGCATTATGGAAATTGAAATGACCTATCCGAGAAGAAAAGGGCGCTTAGCAATTCAACCCAACAGTCACAGTTTCTGTGACTTTCGAAAATTAGCAAACACGCGCTTTTACACAAATCCCGAGAATGTTCGCTGATCTTAGGCATTGAAAGTGAATCTGCGTGAAATGTCTCCCCCTCCTGCATCAAATTATCGTCGAACATTATCGACATCCCGTGTCCAGTTCAAACTGGATACTTTCGGTCAACACAGTTTTTTCAAACTCTCTTATTAACATATGGACAGCCGATTGATTATCAGAAGAAGCATTTAGCACTCGTCCTCCTTCTTGAGGAGCTCAGTGGAATCCGGAAAAAGGGCACTGTAGGCGGGAAGGTCGTCGAGACGGTCGGTGACAAGAACCGGTTGGTTGAAGTAGCGCACGAAGATGATGTACATGATTCCCCAGGAAGCGACGAGGGCCGGGAAGGTGAGCAGCATGATGAGGGTGACGGCTATGCAGCTGTACATGATACGGGCCACGTTTCCGTTCAGGCAGTTTCCGAGGGTTCCACACATCTCGTTGTTCAGAAGGTAGCTGATGTTGTGCGCAGGGCTGTGGATTCCCGAGAAGAAGTTGTAGAGGACGTAGGGAATCAGGTAGATCTTGCAGAACACTCCGATCGAGATGAGGAAGTCGCCGGCTCCGCTGTGGTCATTATTCAACCTGAAACATAGCAGTTGAAAGTTTTGCAAACCTTTTCGCAAAAAGACTTACAGATTGAAAGTGGTGATGATGAAGATGACGAGATCGACAGCAAAGTTGATTTTGGTGAAGAACGAGATCTGAGAAAGCTGAAATACACTCAATTCCACGTCATACTGCCTCTGTACAGTACCTGATTCAGAATCTGGTACGGGAACTCTTGATGCGGGTTGCAGGTGAGACATTGAGCGCGTGGGATGATCTTATGATTGACGGAGCCTTCAACACATATTAGTCGTTTGTCTTATGACGTGGAAAACTCACTCTCCGTCAGCGCGGCGGTGATGTAAAGGCAGATGGATGTGAACGAGAGGCACCACAAAATGATGCGGAAACTACGAATCATCCGAGCCATGACGCTGGAAGAGAGAAATGTAGTTATACGTATCCATAAAAAAGAAATGTAGTGGGGATGAGAGAAGGAAGGTTTGGGAGAGTTGAATGGGTGAAAGAGGGAAGGAAAAGTGGTAAAAGAGCCGAGTTGGACGGGACGCCGCAGGCAGCGATTTACTTTTTATCAGGCCTCACTTTGACTCCGCTCATTTGTCTTTTTGGCATGTCAGAAAACTACTGCGCCGCACGGGAAGTAGTTAGAAAAGCGCGGTGCCGTTTTGTCGCATAAATCCGTCTTGCAGAATGGCTTTACGAGCATGCAAAGTGCACAAAAAAACCATTTTCGCTCCAACTACTAATGTTGGGCAAAACATTTGAACATTACCGCAATGTTAAGCGCCATTGTTTGCATAAAAAGTCAAAAATGTTTTTGACTTTGCTGTCGACCTTCAAATGTTTCTTTTTTCCTTTTCCGACGGTAATGAATGTGCTTCCACATAAGAAAGCCCCCGCCCGTTCATATGATTCGAAAATTCATAAATATTGCGAACATTTGAGTCATCTGTTGAGGGATCGTATTGGACAGGAGAAAATAAGCGACAAGCTTTGAAAAATAAAGAAAGAGGGCCGTCGGAGCCATGACGTCGCCAGTGGCAACCTGTACTCGGCTGCTCACTAATGCTTTCTCACAGCGACTCGCTGACAGGTGGAATTTATTGCGTTCGAATAAGAAAATGAGAGGAATAATGGCAGAGACGACCAAAAAACACGAAAAAAGGTAAAGGACTAGCAGAACCGTCAAAAAAGTAACTCGGCGTGACCTTTCTGCGCAAACAAGTGTGATATTGTGATAAGAAGGTGTCCGGGGTCAGATTGGACTTTTTTTTTGCTTTCTATTTCTTCTTTTAACGTCACAGAACAAATGGACATCTGAGGACAGCAGCAGGACAAATTAAGGAGGAAGAACGGACGAAAATGTAACTGGGAGAGGCTTAATTGACTAACCAAGTGTGTCGACTCTCTCTCTCTCTCTCTCTCTCTCTCTAGCTCTCACTCTCGCGAGCATGCGCGTGTTCACAGATGTTATTATTCCAACAAGAAACACATGACACCAACTTTTATGTTCATTTGATAGAAAATTTTGCGAAAAATGTGGAGCAGACCAAGCGGACCAGTGTCAATAATTTGTTACACCTGACCAACTTGAGCACGAAAGTGTTTTGAACTGCTCTCATGGAAAAAGTGTCCAGATACTAATGATCTAGTCGTAAAAGAGAAAAACGCGGAAATTCTCTTTTTTCTCGACTCGCCGGAAGTTCCGATTGTTTCAATATTTAAAACGATGTTTGCCTTTTCTTTGGAAGCGCACTATGATGTCAATGGCACAGCGTTAAAGGGGCTGTAGAGTCACGTTTTGCGAAGAAGAACAGTGGGTTTAGACCACTAAAACGTCTCTATCGGCCTTTCGAACCACTGCTCAAGACCATTTTCTTTATCTGGTTGGATTCTGCGTCGATGTTTGTCAAAATATTGATAATTCTAGAATTAGTGTACTACACCCTTAAAAACGGTTTACTTTTGTTTGTGAAAAAATTCGCTAACAATTTTAATCAAAAAAAAAGAAACTGAGAAAATCGACTCTTCTCCTTTTCTCACGCCAAATGAAACATCTACCTTTTCATAAATACGTGACCCCTGCGTTTTCCGGGTGATAACTATGCTCCGAATGGTCTCAAAGTGTGAGATTCTGCGGTGAAAATGAAAAAGAATGAAATAAACAAAAGTTTTCCTGACGTGGCAAAGTGGGCGGGACGGATATGAGAAAGCGAGAATCGGAAATGAATCATCAAAAAGAGGTATTCATTGAAAGACCGCTCATTTCAGCAGATGAGGGGTTGATCTCACGAGTAATTGGTGTAGAAAGAGAAGCAATACGACGAACAACGACTAATTCTGCGAATCCTTCGAAGAGCATGCAAAGAAGAATGAAAATTGTTGGAGTTGGAGCTCTCCGGGAGCTCTCCGGCATGATGAACGACTTTACAATCACATTTTATGCCGAATACCTGCGAAGAACCTAGCGAAGAACCTTTATGCCGAATACCTGCGAAGAATCTAAAGCACTGAGAGGAACATCATTCTCTTTCTGCCTGACAGCTGTTGGCGACCACTAAAATGTCAACGTGTTGGATAAATATATGCCGAGTTACTTAAGCTTCAAGGCGTTTCTTCGGGTTGTTTTCAAGCTTTATTGCGCGAAAAAATGTGTTCGATGAGTAGCAGAGGCTATCTGAAGAGAAAAAGCAAAGAAAGGATGGTGATTGATTGAAAAGTAAGAAGTAAGAAGGGTTGTGAGTGAATGACATTGAAAAATGGGAGTTTTCCCTTAGGAAATTTTCAGGCAGATGATGATAAACAGGGAGGGGAAATGAGAAATTATTACGAAGCACTCTCGTGTTCCTCGTTTCTTTCAACAGAAACACGGCTGAACTGAACGCCGGCCCTGTTGATGGTGACCACGTAGCTTTCGGTGTCCTGAAGCGGTTGCGATGACGTACTATCGGTTGGAGTGTATTCTGAAACGAAACATAATCAGACTTGTCGCGGGCCGGGCTAGGCTGGTCTGAACACAACTAAACCTGGAGGAGGGGAAGCAACAGCGTCCTCGTAGCTCGGCGGCAATGACAGATGAGCGAGTGTGTCGATGTACTCCGGCGGCGCAATTCGGATGGTCTTACCACAGAAGAACTCTTTGCAGGCACGCCAGTTATAGTTAAGGTAAAGCTCTTCGGAAACAAAAACGGCAAAAACCAGAGTGATTGTGGAAGACGTTGCGGTGATGTGAAAAGCAAAAAGAGCCCAGCAGAGGGCAGACTCGAAGACGTTCGCCTTGATTTCAACTGAACTTGCTTTGCTTTGTTTTTGAATCCATTTTTGAAAAGAAACATATGTACTTACACCACTCTGGGACCGTATAAAGACAAAACCCCGTGATGAAAAGGCAGAGAAGCCGCGAGAGCGTGATGGCGAGCACTTTGCAATGGTTCTGCACGAAACGGTCTCTGAAATCAGAACAATGATAAAATGTAAACTAGTTGCTCACCGTGCACAGACAAAACTGATCATGCCCGCTAGCATCGAGTCAAAAAAGAGAAGTTCATTGGGTCCTGTGGAGGGGAACTTGACCCCAATGGTGCCTTGTAAGATACGGAGAAAGAAATAAACGGCCGGGGTAGCTATCGAGCTTATGGCAATATGCCGTTGGCAGTCGGATAGCATCTGAAAGACACTTCTGATGAGGAAATCAGACTGAAATTGAAAAGAAAGCACCGCCTGTTTGTCCCATCGAACGAAAAGGATGAGAATAAGAAAAGAAGGTCAAAGGGGGGATTCCCTTTATGTTAGGCAGTAAAACGAACGACAAGCAATTTTTCAATTTGACTAATATAGTTCGTAGCGTGTCTTGCTCGGGTCCCAGTTACACGGAAGGAAATGCCACGTCACAAGAGATTTCATCAAAATGTGCAATCGCAACAGACATCTCAACCAAAAAAGAAAAGGAACAGGGGAGAGGGAAGGAGAGGAGCCGACATCCGCTTTACGAAATTGGCAGGAGGGAGTCAAGGCGAAAATTAGAAACGTGGCACACATTGTGAAAGATATAATAATTGGCAGTGTGTGTGGCACTTAAAAAAAAGGAGAAAACGGAGCTGAAAAGGGTGAAACCGCTGTATTCTCTTTCTATACAGGGCATTTTGAATCACTTTCGAACCATACACGTGATTCACTTATGAAGATAGAAAGCGAGCCAGCAAAAATATTTCTTCTGGAAACAACCAAAATATTGTTTCATGACTAATCATCTACCGCCCCGAATCATGAATCAGCAAGAATGACTGAAAAGGACAATAGAAATCGATTTATTATAAGCGTTGATGACAAAAAACATTCATTTCATTCCTAGTTGCACATTTTCACGGAAAAGAAAAGGAAACGGAAAGGGTCAGTTCGTGTTTTGCTGCGGAGCAGCTGGGGAGGAGGAGACGGGCACAATCTTATTCTTCAACTGACGGAAAGATTCGGAATCGTTTGATTCTAGACGGTGGTACTTTGTGAGGCTGGCTGAGGAAGAGGACAGAGAGTGAGGTGCAACCAAAACTTCGGAGGACTTTGACGGAGACGGCGAACGACTGTAAGACGAGTACGGAGCGGTGGCGAACGGAGAACTGAAGTTGAAGCGGAACGGCGACCTGGCTCTTCTGGTGCTCGGACTGACTCGCACAATTATCGGAAACATGTGTCTAATATCAGCGGGCACGTGAAAATGAAGAACGATTGCAGAAAGGAAAAAGTTAGTAGTGGCGATAGCGAAGTAGACGAGATAGATGACAGCGACCCTCGTGTGGGGGACAATGGACTCGTCGGAACACGTTCCGCCCAATCCACAGTGTTCCCTAAACATGGGGCTCAGAATCCGAGGAACCACGTCCGAGTTCATGAAGATGATGACGTTGAACACAAAGCGGCACATGTTGGAAACACAAATGTAGGCGGGATGCTCGTAGTAGTCTTCTCTGAAAAAACGAGACGTTTGAGCATACATTTTCCTGCTATCGCGAACTTTGTGAACGCCATGAGGATCATAATCATCGACACGAAGTCGAAAAGTAGAAACAGATTGAAGTCCATTCCTTTCTGAAACAAACACCGTTCAAACTGATGAGAAACTGATAAAGATTACTTCAAAGGTCCTTGGAAGACTGGTGAGCGGCAGATTTGGGCAGGTGAGGCAAAAGTTGTTTCTCGGGTAGTTTTTGTTGACTAAAAGGATACAGTTTTTGTGAAATTTATTAACGCTCCTCACTTTCTATGAACTTCATGAAAAGCAGAGCACCGATCGAAATGACAGTACTGATACCGATGAACTTGTGGGTGACATCCGATTTGATATACATTTTTCACTGAAAAGTTAATGTTTGGGTGCGGCCGCCTCAGAAGCAAAAAAAAAACGAACCTTCGACGCACTATTATCGAGAAGCGGATAGTTGATAGGATGGAATGAGAAGAAAGTGAAAGAGAACTGCCGTCCGTCTTCTTTTCTGGCCGTTCTTCGCGAGCGAAACCCCGAAACTCCGCCCCTCCGATCACATTCAATAACTTTTTTTTCGCGCGCGCGCGCGCATCACGAGTCTTTCGGTCCCCCCGATATCGAAAGTATGGATAAAACTTTCGGTAAACCGTGAACAACGATTGATGATATCGGTAAGAGATGGATGGAGAACGAGTTCGTAAGACGATTCGAATAGATATTTTTGCGTCGAAGCGAATCGATAGGAAGTCGTCGTGTCTTGCCATTTCCGATTCGTTTGACGATAAAAAGTGATAAGAAGAGAATAATATTCTCTCTCAACCTGCGGTATTTTGTTTTCATCAGACATTGACAGCTATTACAACAATTATCCCAACACACACAGAGACAGGAATAGATTGAAGGACAACGGATGCGTGTCTTTGCGTCTCCTATTCAGGGGAAAATCTCATCAGGCAGATATTTCAAAAGAATAGACTTTAAACCGCTGATTTGTTTTCTTGAAATATGTTTATTCCTGTCGATTGCCAGAACCGATGAACTTTTCAGCTACACTCTCTCCTTTTTCCAATAGCAGAACCGATAAAGAAGGGGAAACCTGTCAAAAAAAATTAGAACCGGTTTTGTGTTACTGTCTCATTGAATTAACCTAACGTCAAATTTGCGTCACAAGTAATGTGTTCTCGACTACAAAAACTGTTGTGTTTTCTCGATCGATCGACTGGTCAATAGTGAAAATAAAAAACGTAGTAGACGGGTCGAGTTTTGGAAACTGACAAAGGACAGATGGAGTATGATGGACTTATACAAACCAACATGAGAGTTGTCGCGTGCCGGCCCAGCCCGGCTTGTACTAATTTATTTAGCTGAAAAATCGGATAGGAAGTAAGCGGGGAATTTTCCAACAAAACACGAACAATGTCATCAATCTTGAACTTTGCCCTCGCCACGCCACCTCCGTAAATCACCTTTATTGGGAGAACTTCCAAGAGCTGAGCGGTATAACACTGAGAAGGGGCAAAAATTTATATTAGCATTAAGAATCTGTAGCTGAATTGAGAATTGTGACTACAAGCAGGCTGTGGCCGCGGCCAGAATTCCGTTCTTTCCAAAAACAGTTTCGCAAACACCATTTTTTACACTGGCTTCTTCACGGAGGTCTTACGCAAGTTTCCCGCTAAAAAAGAGCGCTTAGACCTCCAACACGCTCTTAAACCTATTTATCTCCCATCTTATTCTATTCCATTCCTCAGAATTGAGAAGAGGTACATATATTAAGTTTTCCTTTTATCGAAACCTTCCTATTTCACGGAACCAGCGCTTCCTCGAACAATCGCGCAAAAATTCGATGAAAATAGACGTTTGTGTGCGCTTAATTATGGAAGCTGAGGAAGACGCCGTTTTCGACTTCATTTTCACATTCTGCTCTCTTTCCGTTCTTTCATCCTGCAGCTCACACCAAATCTTGTAAAATGCACGTCCCCGAATGGTCGAAACCGTTTGGTTGTTTGACTCCTCTTTTTTCTCTTCCTCTCTTCCATATCAACTTGTAAATAAATCCTGGACGCGTGTGCCACGCTACATCTGTCACCGAGTAGTGATTGGACAAAAACAAGTAGTGTCCCGAAAACAGAAAGTGTAGAGATACTGTTGACAGGTGTCGCGCGGCCAGATTTGCTCAATATATAACTCTCTCCATCTTTCCTATTTTTCCCTCAAGTCCTTGAAGCAAAATGTGACGCGAACCCTCTGGAGAAGTCGGAAATGAACTCTTCCCCTCCAAAACAACACAATAAAATTCAGAAAAGAGATTTCCCGCACATTAGTTCGCCCTTTTGCACGATTGAGAGCACTCGGACGGATTCAGAAAGAAAAACGCTCGTAAATCTGCCATCAATTGCTTTTTTCAATCCCCTTTTTCGGAGTGTGTCCAGTTCAATTTCGAATTTTCCCTTTTTTCTCCACCTCCATTGTTATTCTCTTTTTTCCACAATTGGAACAAGCAGTTGCCTAGTTCCGAGTAACTCGACGTGTTCTCGTTTCATCTCACTTTCCCAATGTTCCTCTTTATGCAAATCGCTCGGAAATGTGCAAATTTTCAGGACCCGTGGGAAAGAAGGTCTCTCAATCCCTCTCATTGCGCATAAATTGCCCGTTTGAGGAAGAGAAGAGAAAGGCAGGAGGGGGTGGATGGCGCGAAAAGCGGCACCTGCCGAACATCTGGCTCTTTTCCCCTTTTTTGCCGGCTCTCCCCGTTTTTCGGAGTTTGCCTTTTAAACCTTCCGTTTACTACGGCGGCACCATTTAGTGAGCGACGCAATCCAACTCACAATTTTCTGCGCATTTCAATTCATCTCACATGTTTCCTTGTATCGATCTTTCAAAATCAAATTTTTAGAAGCGATGATATTCTGCACCACAAACATGCGATTCTGCATCTTCTACTTTGTCTGGGGACTCATGGCCTCTTCCGTTATAGTCTCAATTTTCACCACTGGAATCTTCCCTATAGTTGAAGGTGATTGCTAGCTGTGCTAATCATTTTCATCGATCCTATAATTTCAGATTCGATGATCCTGTACAAAACCCCAATTAGCGGGCCTTCTTTCGACTGTGTAATCAACGAAACCACATTGGGAAGCGAGTTCCAGAAAGCCGACAACTTCTACACCTACCCCATTGCGGTCCCCGCGTTTATCGTCAACTTCATGCTTCTGTTCAGAATTTTTGGATCCAGGTTGGTCATTAATCGAGACCGTTTCCTATTCTCTTTTTAGGTTCATCAACTGGCACATGTCAACGTTCGCGTTCTTCTGTATCTTTGTTTACCCGCTCCGGTTTGCCTTCCTAGGCATGCAAACTTTTGAGTTCACCAAAATTGGCGGCGGTAAGGCACTCACTATTTCATATATTTTTTATGCTTTGCAAATGCAATCTCTTCAGACTACTACTTCCTGCTCCTTCTCGATCCGGCCCTCTACAACTGCAACCTGTTCTCCGGATTCGTCGACGCCGTTTTCTTCATGCACATCCGCTTCTTCCTGCTTGCCGTAGACTACTTCTCCTTCCACATGATGATTCTCACGGTGCCGCTCTTCTACGTGAGCGACAAGATTGACGGCAAAATGATCCGCTACGGAGAGTGCAGCAAGATGGACGGATACTCGCAGAAAGTCGCGCATCTTCTTTACTCTAAGGTCTAATGAGTCGATTTTCCAGTTACGATATTGTTCGATTCCAAGTCAGAAACGGTCTGCTTATTCATTTTCTTCTTTATTACTGACGCTTTATTGTTGAATTATCAATAACAACACATTTTAACATATTAACATTGAAAAATGACATGGCAGAGTCTCAAAGAAATGTAATTTGGCCAGAGAAAGAAGTGTGAGAACTGAAAAAAAGAGAGGAACTTTTGAGAACAATGGGAAACGTGAGGGGACAATAGAAAAAATTGACGTCACCGTTTGGCTCTCCTAGTTGTTGGCGGCGTTGTCCATCGCGCTTTCCCCATCATCTCCATGTTCCCAGTCCATGCTTTCCTCGGTCTGACTTGGCTCCTGCTCACCCCCCGATTCTTCCTCTGCATCCACTTCCATCTCCTCATCGTTCTCATTCTCCTCCTGACCGACGGCAAGCTGCTGCAACAAATATTAATTGAAATAAGTTTCTTTTTGGAAGTTCTTACGAAGTCCTCGCGGTTATTGTAAATGTTTCCGGTGTACACGTTCAGCGGATGGTTATTCATTGCGATGTTCTGTGCGCGGGTCGGCAGGACGTTTTCTTTGTTGGAAGGGTCCGCGTTGTTATCATTCGTGCTCATTTTCTGAAAATAACCAACTGACAAGCAGTTACAAATTGAAAACAAGTGGGAGCGGTTAACATTGGAAATTTTTGAAAAAAATGATAGACTTTTCATGGAAAAGTGCTTTTATCAATCAAATTAGCTAATACGATCCGGAAAACGTATTTTGCTGACGCAAAATCACAAAAAGGCACGATTTCGTAAAAACTATTTGGCTCAAATTGTATTTTTTTGAAATTTTAGTACTAAACCCGGGCCGCGACAAGTTTTGAGACAAGATTACTGATTGATATATAAGGGGACGCTCCCAGCGGAGGTATGCGGGTTAGTTTCGGGCAGCAAGAAAGAAATAAGTGGCGGACTGCCTGTAGTCCCCTCGTTCCGCCGAGTGCTGGTGGCACGTGCCATTTTGTCGCATGTACGGCAACTTTTGCTTCGTCTGCCAATGCATCGGGTCGTAATGGAGTATGGTCGCCATCTGGCACAGACAGAAAAAGTTCCAACCGCGCGCTAAAAGATTTACGGTCGACCGTTCGGAGCTTTTGCACATTGCACGAACGCAGACAGTACGGATGTGGTTATAAATCACATCTGGTTTGTCCTTGAACGAACGGACTCGGATAAATTGAACGATAAAGCTCGGAGTGTCAAGCTCCAAACTAATTCAGTGCAACGGGCACAATTTGACGGAGAACAGTTTATTAATGCAAAAAAAAACAAGCGGTTCAATGAATGGAGGAAAAAAGATGTAAGGGAAAAGAACAGAAGAATGTCACAGACACAAATTCTCTCCTGCCGTTTCGAAATGAGTTGTTCGGGTGATACATGAAAAGTTTCCATTGTGATACGTCTGGACAGTGAAGGATAGAAAACAGAAAGAGGTGTGGGGGAGAATATTAGAAAAAGGCCGTAGAGAAGGGAGAAATGTAACTGTTCCATATATAGAGGGTTAACATGGGAGAATGTGGTCACGATGCCGAATTACATGCTAGTTTCCTCCTCGTCGTCGGAGTCGATCTCCTGGTTTCTGCTGATCGGCGGCAAGGACATCAGAGCCATCGCCTCGTCGTAAGTTGGCGGCGGGGTGACGGCGCGCTCCACGGGCTCGCGGTCATGGCTCCAGTCGAGCATCTCGAGACGTTGCTGAAAAACGGAATTCTAGTAATAGTTGAGAAAAAGTTGTGCAAAATACTTGTGCAGGTGGCAGTAGTAAAAGCCGTACCAAAGTGGCGATGTCTCTCGCGTGAGTGATCAGGACACGGCTTTGGAGGTACGACCAGGAGACCAAGAAGGTGCAGCCGAAGAAGAACATGTCGAAGCAAGTCAAGCCGAGACGGCTCAGGAACACGTTGATGTTGTGGCTGATGAACAGTGGCGCGCTGCTGCACATGGGCCCGATGACGTAATGGATCATGTAGAAGGTTCCCTCTGGAAATGGCAACGTTTAATTGTAATTCAAAATGAAGCAAATCTCACCAATATGAAAAATGTCCGTAATAATCATGCAGAGGTAGGTGACGAAGCCGGCGAAGACGCAAACCATGTTGAAGAACGCCGCTCGATTTTCGAAGCGACGGAATTTCAGCGAGGCGAGCACGTTGATGAAGCTACCGGCGGCGCAGGAGAACAGAATGGCGTGGAACAGAGAGAGTTTGAGTTTCTAAACTGATTATTTCAGAAATTCACCCCCTTTAATTCAGTCTTACGCGTGAAGAGGTGATCTTGACGGCTTCGTAAAAGCGAGCGTTTTCAATGCATTTCAGGGTCTGGTTATTGTTTTCCTCGTAGATCACCGCTGTAACGATTGACTGTCTAGATGCGCGGAGGAAGGTTGCAAACTTACAGATGAACGAGAAGGAGAAGGAGTTCATCATCATCGACGCCATCGTCGTTAAAACACAAGTGCGTTGCAGGCTCCAACACATAACTGAAAGAGGAAGAAACTTGAGAGGATGTCCGAAATGTTGTAGAGAGTCGCAAAAGAGCGCTCGAAAACGGTGCAGGTGCCAACCGAATGGCCAGATAGAGTGAGAAGAAGGGCGCGAGCAAATGGTGTCGGAATGGTAGACGACGGCAACAGTTGGAGCCAGACAGTCAGACAGAAGGGGCGGGACGCAAAACGAGAGAGAGAGAGAGATAATGAAACGACATGGATTCCGTCTGTGTCTGCTTGTTGCCGGTATGAGATGATAAATCGATTTGGTGAGTCTGAACAGACTAACGAGTTGTCGATTTTATTGCTCGCGTCGCATCGTGTCACTTAGCGGAGAGGACGACAGTCCCCATGTGCAGGACGACAAAAAGTGAGAGAGAGAGAGAGAGAGAGAGGAGAGAGGAGAGAGGCACCGTGCTAATTCATATTTATTAGTCGGCCTACCATCTACGCAAATCAGTGAATTTTTTTATAGAAAAAAGTGAATACGGAATACACAGAGTTGGTTTTCTACAAAAATGTGATTTGAGCGGGAGGGAGGGTTCGAATCATAAAATCTAATGGAGGATATAAAGATGGTCAATATTTTGAGGGAGGAAATGGAGAAAAATAAAGAATTAGGATAAGGGGAAAGTGGTCGGGTGTTTTTGAGAAAGATGGAGGAAAATGACTAATTAAGGCGGGCCGCCGTCGCCACGTAGATGCTGCTGGGCGAATAGGCACCGAAGAGCCCGTCGTTGGAGTCGTCGTCGTCGTCGTCGTCGTCGTCTTTGTTGTCAGCCTTGTCCTCGTCGTCGGCATCGTTGCCCTCTCCGTCACCCGATGGCAATCCGTTGCTCTTAAGGTCGACCGAATCCGAAGCGGTCTCGACATTCTCCCCAATCTCTTCCTCGCCGTCCACAATCTCCGGAGGACGCACGAGCTCGGCTTCGTAATCCGGAACGGTCATGGCAACGTCGGTGCTGTTGACCCAGTTCTGGATGCGCTTGAAGTCGGCGTAGAGCTCTTTCAGATCGGCGTGGGTGAACTTATCAACGCTCGCCAAGTGGAGCATCAGGTAGTTGTCCCACGTGTGTCCCTTAAATTTTTAGCGTTAAACGGCTTGAAAAACGTGCTTTCTCTCTTACCTCCTGGTTGTCGGGTTGGAACGAGAAGATATGCGCCATTGTCGTCGAGTTCGTGGATGCCTACAAAGAGATTCGAATGAAAACACGGTCCGATTTAAGGTAGCAAACAGTGTGCGCTTCCGGCTCGAAAATCTCGGGAAAACCCGGAACACGTTTTTTCCCGGAAAATATGTTTCTGAAAACCGTGTTCTCCGGGAACCCTGGTAGATGAGCTCGGCTCGGGATTTCCCTGGATTTCCCCGAAATTTCGTCCCGGGGCGCACACTTGTAGCAGAGATGCATAACAATCACTGCACGGGGTGACGTGAGCGCAGAAAAAAGGGAAAGGGGAAGGAGACCAACCATCGCTTGTCGTGGACCACGCACCCAAACACACACACCCACACGACTTATGATTGCAAAACGACTGCCGCAGAGAACGGTAATCGGCGCACGGGGAGGCTGTAGTGCACAATGAGAAGCGCAGAATTTGAGTTTGCGCCAACTTGACGGATCCTCACAACGAATTGGGACCCCGACGTTTTTTAGCCCGTCATTTCGGAACCCGACGTTTTGCAACTAACGCAAACTACTTAGCGATAAATTAAATTGCTGTTCACGTGGATATCGAAATGTCGCGGTTTCGAAACGTTAGGGCCTCAGCAAATTAACTGTGGAGCAACCTCAAGGTCACGCGCAGGTCTATTCAGTTAGCATTGGATGGACACGATGCCTGCGGATTGTTTTACAGCGGCGATCCCCGGCGTTTACAGTAGAGTACTTCTGCGATCTTGTTTCGGAAGATGATCGCTCGTGCTTTTTTACATACAGGGAGCCAATGACGAAACGATAGTCTAAAAGGATAATAGCGGGCACAAGGAGAAAAGCGGTAAAGAGCTGTATAGATTACGCAAGATTATTTTCCCCGCGCCGGTGTGTCGGTTGGACAGGGTGCAGGAACGCGACTAAGTTGACAAAAAAGTAGAGGATAGAAGACGTGGAAACAACAGGAAAAGCGGTTTATCAGTCGCCGGGCCGAAGGAATCGATCCGGGTCTTGCAACGACAATGACACATCGAGTGAATGTTTTTGCGAAAGTAGGAGGAGATTCATCCGGGAGCGAGGGATTGGGGGGAAACGGTCTTCGACAATAACAATGACTCATTTCAGGACGAAAAGCGAAAGCTGGGGTGAGTGGGAAGTAGGGAGAGGAAGGGGAACCAAGGGAAAATGCTCGCGAGTGATGAAACATCAACGGAAATCAGGTTTCAGTGCTTGATCAGGGTGTCCGTGAGATCGGTATTTTTGTAGTTTGAGCGGAAATCTTCCTGGCCAAAGTACAAAGGGACCACCACAAGCATTGTGTGGAAGGTGACAAAATCGGTGACGAGGAAGAAGAATCTGACGTGAAGGAGGAAAACCGCGTCCAGAAATCCAGAGAAGAGATTGCATTGGAAGTTGTGGGGGTTCGATATCAGCTCGACGTACAAATCTGTGATTTTGCTCATTTATTTCACCGAAACTCGGTGGGAATTACCTCCTCCAATGCTCTTGAACTCGTATGTCTGCATCATCATGAAAATGAATCGGGTGGGGAGGACGGCAAGGCAGAAGAAAGTGAGAGTGGAAGTAGGGAATTTGGCACCAAAAATTCTCATGAGCATTATGAATTGGAGAGACGAGGCGATTGCCCCGAAGGGCAGCGTGAGACTGTCCAGCACCTAAAGTGTGTAATTTAATTTTTCTAGTTTTTTATAGTCTCTCACATTGCCGAAACGCTCCCCCAGCAGCGTTCCATTGATGATGCAAGGTTCCTCGACTGCGCAAAGTCCATTGCAATTTTCCGCCTGCGGCTTGTAGTGAAGAGTAGATACTAAATACGGTTTATTTCAAAGGAAAACGAAAATAGTGCCACTTTCGAGAAGCGGGAAGAGATACAGGTTGGCCATGGTGATCATGGAGGCCACCATCATGATCCCCCATACTGTAGACTTCACACAGTTCCTTATAGGGTTTACCATCCTGAAATTCGGAAAAATGACAGAAGGAAAAGCAGAAAATAGGAGAGGAAAAAGCTTCACTGAAACCTGAAGTTATTCTAGACATTCTCGATGCTATGAGGAATGCTTCCTACTTCAAGGTCATGGGGCTGTCAGAAGAAATACTGCTAACTGCCTTCTGCGCAGCGGAAATGCGAGAAATCGAAGTGGTTTGGAGAGCCCACATCAAAAAGGCAAAGCGCATTGCCGCCAGATTTACGAACGCTTCTCGGGTGCCGAATGAGATGCAAAGCTCTCAATTTTCGTTTGAAACCCTTCCTGGAAGAAATTGAAAGCGATACGACATTTTTGCGTATTATGCCATTAAATTATTTCTGAAAAGTTACTGAGAGCTACAACGGAACAGTGTAGACGTGAACGGATAGCCCCGAACACATGAAGAGGGATACTTTTGTTCACAAGTGGTTTATTGGAAGACCACAACCAAAAGACAACACAGAATTAGCAATCCATTTTGTTGCCCTTGTTCTCCTCCTTTCCCGCTGGGTTCGCATTGTCCATGACCTCCGGCTCGATCGGTGTTCCCTTTCCCATCTCGGAATCCGTGTTCTTCTCCGTCTTCGCAACTTCCAGCAGAACAGCGTTGTTCGGGGTTTCACCGACCGCTCCGGTCTTTGTCAAACGCCTGTATTTCACGAAGAATTTGATGATGACAATTGAGACGATGAAGTAGGCAAAGAAGAAGCAGATACGGAGGAAAACGAAGAGAGCGGCAAAAGTGAACTCCAAGGGGATGACGCATTTCTTCGAGAAGAACATGTGCAGGAAGGTGATGTCTGCACCTGAAAACTTTTATTTGTAGGCTCACATGCAAAATGAGACAATTTTACATCCGTTAAGATGGAAAAATTCAACCATTTGAATCAACAGCAGGATGCCTTTGATGACGAAGAGTCGATTGAGCCTCTTTACGAAAACCGACGCGTCTTTGTTCTCACTATAAATATATATTGAGCTCAATAGAGTACTTCAAAACTTCTCTAAACATACAACAAAGATTTGAAAGCCCAGTCTATATAGACCCAGGTGAAAAGGTCCAGACAGTGAATCCAGTAGTAGCCGTAATAGGTCTTGTTCATGTTCTCACGAATCTGTGTCACGTTGATGGCGCACTGTCCGCACTCCAATCCGCAGTTTTCCGTTGCTTCTTGCATGAGTCCGAAGACTGAAACGCTGATTCAGTCTTAAAGTGAGAATTTTGATGAACTAACAAAAAAGGAAGAGATAGGTCCAGCCGATTATCCACCCGATTTTGAGCGATTGGTAGAGCATGGTCAAGGCGTCAATTCGCCGAGATTGGAGTGAGCGCTGTGGGAGGTATGGTCCTGGCACATGGCAACGCACAACGAAGTTGTACATCCTGGAAAAGAGAAAAAGAAAGTGACACGTAGGGAGAAGAACGGCTGGAAGGAGGCTGGGAAAAAGAGCAACGATCGGAAAGAGGAGAGGAAGAAGAAGAACGGTTGGAGAGCGGAGAAGAAAGAGAAGAACTGTTGGAAAAAGGGACGGGAAGGAAAGAGAAGAGCGGCCGGCCAAGAGGGAGACATGTGGATGGAATGGGAATCGATCGCGAGTGGTGTGGGCGGAGTCATATGCGGTGATAGACCGCCCTCTTTCGTGGATTTTTGTAAATAAAGCATATCACGAGGGTACTAGTGGTTTTTTCGAATGGTTATGGGGCAGAGGAACGCTGAAAAACTTATAGATAAGAGCCGGCGACCGGGAACGATTGGGGGACATCGTGAGGGACGTGATGAAATTGAAGAAAACGGAGAAAAACCGAAAATAGCGAAAATGGAAAGTGAGGAAAGGGGAGATTATCGGAAAGATCGGGAAGATTTCTACCTGTTTCAGACAAGTTGTATTCTGCGAGACCTCTTGAGAGTTTTTTACAGAGGGAACGTATTCCAAGCGGATTTTCTCAGACTGGTCGAAACGATTTTTTGAAAAAATGATGGAGTTTCAGGTAATTTACGCGACAAGTCCGGGGTTTCCTTCTTAGTCCCAATCGGATCGTCAAAAATAGGAGCGCCGTTGTGCGTTTCAGACACAATGTTCGTTTCAGACACTTTCCCTTTTTTTGTCTAGATCGTTTCGTTAGTCGCTCAAGGTCATCCACGTTTTTTTCGAAAAACAAGAAAGGGAGAAAGAGAGATGAGCTGATAGAGCGCTTATGTGCATTTAAAGTGCATTTTTGAATGGTAATGGGGCATTCGTTTCCATGTTAGTTTCTAGAAATCAAAGTCTCGTGATGATCTCGTGACGAAAAACAATTTCATCATTGCCCTTCTGCACTTAAAGTGTGCAACGACCCACGACCTTCAAAATGTGCTTGTCAGACAGTGCCTCTAACTATCCCTTTCTTGTGTATAGACAAATTCGTTGGTCGGCCAGGGCCATCCACGTCATTTTCGAAATGCGAACGAAAGGGAGGTATCTATCGGATGATCGAGAGCCAACAAAAGCGTGTTGTCATTCAAATGAGGTGTATGCGGAATCGGTTTTTTGAATTGTGATGAAGCTTCATCGCACTGACTGATAAGAGCCGGGGACCAGGGTGAGGGACCGAAAGAGTGAGAAGGAAAACAGACAAACTGAAGGGAAGAAGGCAGCCGAGGAGTATCGGAAATAAAGGACAGGATTTATGTGCGTGCGTGCATCATGTACGACGATATTCGCCTTTACGGTCCGTTAAACTGCACAAATGTTACTGTTCGTGTATAGCGCTGGCGGCGAAAACCATGGGCACATGTCGTTAAACGGGCGATGGGCGCCTCGAAATGTCTTAAAACTCCGCGCCGAATATTGTACACAAGTGTGTGCGCGTCGTCAACTAACAGAAAAAGAGGGACGGAAAAGACGGAAATCAGTCGATGATGCAAATTTATTGTGTGGGATTCTGATCGTTCCCTGGGAGCCTCTCAAATAGAAAACAGTGTTTGTTAGTGCTTTCGTCCTTTTTCGAGAAGCAGGTGGAAAATGTGATATGACGCAAGACCTGAATCCTATGTAGTTTCTGTTTCAGGGATGGCGAAGATTTTACAGTCAATAGTTCCGTTTTGATTAACATTGGTTTTATTCGGGAGTTCGAATATCAGTTATTGTTGAAATCGGTCTCTTGCAAGGGACCATTTTCCAGTTCAGCCAGTTCCTGCTCCTCAACGTCCTCTTCCTGCTGTCCAACTGTTCCGCTCTTCAAACCGAACAAAAAAATGAGAATGCTGTTTCCGTAGGCGAGGCTGGACATGTTGATCGTGAAGTATCCTTTTATGACGCGAAGGACGAAAATGGCTCTGATTGCTTGGAACGTGGATAGTTGGTCCGGGACGACTTTGCACGAACCGTCGTTTACACTGAGAATGATATCGAGTTGAGTGTCTGAAATGTTGTCAGCTTTTTAATGGGGCGGCTATCCAATAAGCCCGTGTTAGGCGCAAATCCAGGTATAGGAATTTCGCACCTCCGTTCATTGAAGACACGTGATGAATCTCGAGGATCAGGAATATGAATCTGAAAGCCGAGAAGACCGAAATCGCCCAGTGTAGTTGCGGATAAGAATATGTACACCTGGAAGTCAAATCTCATTATTCTTTAGAAAACTCTATTGTCGCTTGCCCTAAAACCGTGCAAGCACCCATGATGAGAACATCAAGGATGAAATCAACGACGCGCAGACCATTCATGAACCCGGCGCCCGCGATCTCGTCTTCTTGAGCGAAGCAGATGTAATTCTGAGATTTCGGGAATTCCGGATCTATTTTCGGATAGGTCACTGAAACTGGACGTCTTTTCCCTAAGAAAATGGTAATCCGAGAATTTTCTAACCTTCGAGATAGATGATCGCCGCATAGAGAGCGAAAATCATTACAGAAAAGACGAGCAGTGATAAACGGACGGTGGATTGGAAGGCGGTGAGGCCTTCGACCCTCATTTCTGTAAAGTTTAGCGGATTCTGACCGAAAAACAGAATTTAGACGATGTTTTACTAGAAGTCTAATGGAATCACTTTTTAGAGGTTCAAAGAACACTTATTTTGCTTTCAGCCTAAGACTGATCAACTGCGGATGCGTAAAATGAATGTCTTGAAGAGAATGAAGAGAATCACTTAATAAAAAATAAACCTGAGCGAAATATTGTTCAAGTGTGCGGAATGGCAGAGCGCCGAGTCTGTCGGTGATTGGACGCTCGCCACTCGACTCGCAGAGAGCATATTTTCAGCTGTTTCTTTATCAGACATTCGGTCTTTTAGAAAATTGCTGGTGTAAGAGTTTCTCTTAAGAAAAAACGAGAAAAATTGATCAGAGAGAAAAAACGTGCAGGGCACAGTGGGAAGTATAACATTTTTATTTCAGAGCGGAGAAAATTGAAGGGATATGGTGAGCAAATTGTAGGTGTCACACCGAGAACACTGGCATAAAATTTACGAGCAGTACAACGACTACGAAGCATTTTTTTTCCGTTTCTGTTTTGATTTATCAAATCTATGAAGTGGGAATACATTATTATGCGATATAAGAAAACATTTCTTGCTTTTCCTGCTCACGCTCGCCGTCGCCTTCAGGTTCTACTTCCAAGGCGACGGCATCTGGTTCCTGAGTGATCTCCTTGTATCTCTTGCAATAACTGAGAAGTGGAAGCATCTGACAAAGGATGACTATGATGAAACTGAGCAGAATCTCAGTTTGGAATAGCCCGAAACTGAGGAACAGCTTATTGGTGCTCTTGATTTTAAACCCATCACAAAGTTCAGTGTTGAACATCATTTTCAGCATCTTCTTCGAGAGTTTCCCTGAAAACAGCTTTAATTATATAAACTCATATCTTGTTCACATCCTCCGTCCTGTAGAAAGCAGCCGCCAGCAAATATAGCGACATTGAATTGAAACAAAGAAAGTAGACAAATAATAGCATTCACTTGCTTTGACAAACTTTCGATCTGTCTGCAAAACACTGGATCTATGGAATTTTTTAGATGGAATGACCCACGCCGCATAATAAAGTAGTCGTGCGATAAGGACCATTGTAAATGACATTAGAATGAGAAGGGACTCAACGCTGGCTATCTGAAACCCATATATTCACCCTTTAAAATCTTAGCCCAGCCCGCTCGGCCCGAAATTCAAAAAATTTTCAGAAAATTTCAGTGCTTTTAACGTGAATATAAATTTGAGCGCAATCTGACCCGGACCGTTGCAAGTCTGCAGATATTTCGGAAGAAATCGGGACTCATTTTCGAGTTATAACCTTTGTTGGATATCCGGAAGGAGAGTTCAACGCTTTAAAGCACTCTCCGCATACTGAAATGGAACAGGAAAAGTCGTCAGTGGCGATGTAAACTGAAAAAGTGAAATCGCTCAAAACTCTTTGCACGTATGCAAACTCACTCCTGATAAGCTTATGCATGAATCCAAGATAGATATCCAAAACTGACAAGAATCCAATGAAGTAGAGGAGAGATAGATGCGGCTTCATGACGAGCTCGTTTTCCTGGAAATGGATAGCACTGAAAAATACATCTCATTAGCGAAACATGAGTGTTCAAAATATATTTGCATGTCTATGCATGTCTCACTCGAAACTGCACGGATAAGTGAGTTTTGAGACCAATGGACACTTGGACTAGGCGTTAATCCTGAAATTGTAGAGGGTAAACGAAAACGAAAAAGTGAAAGATAACCCCGCGAAGGAAGGCAGGCGCAATGTTGTAACTGTCGTCAACGCGACAAAACAGCAGGGATAGACGATTTCTCACAGAATAGTTTCGCCTTTTTGGTTGATGACGATTATTGCCTTTTCCTTTTTCTGTTTTCTTTTTCTCCCTGAAAAAAATAACACTTGATAAACTGGTTCCCGAAGTATTTGGCTGACAACAAAATGATATCTTCTTCCTTCGGCCAACTTTCGTTTTTCATTTGTAACTTGTCGCCTTTCCAATGGCTCAGGACACAAATATTTATCGAGTGTGAAAGAAGAGAGATGCAAAATACAAAATATGAAAACGAAAACGTACATACATAAATTGAGGAAAACTGGAAAATAAAAAGATTACGGTTGTTAGATGTATTTTGAACACGTAAGGACAGGGTTTGTTCTGTTCATACAATTTCTTAGTGCATATGGAAATTGGTAACGGAAATGGGGAATAATTGGGGATTCAGACAAAACTATCTTTTTCCACTTCGTCGTCCAGTACGATTCGGTCACCAATCATCATTGTTTTGGCGGAGCACACACGGACACTTGCACGGAATCTTAAAATCAGAAAATTAATGTCATTAAAAACTGAAAAAACTGACCCTCTGGGAGATGAATTTCCGTCTTTGGCAACACTTTGACGGGCAGTTGACAGGAGAGTTGTATCATCGTTATATACTGAATCTTGCCTAAAACTCGAATTGTTCTATCCTGAGACCTCTTCAGATATGCTACCTGTGATGAGCAATGGAAGAGACGTCGTGATGGAATCTACCGGTTGGCTGATTCTTCGCCTCGCATCTGATGTACCTGTAGTAGATGTCGGAGAACTCGTGTCGGAAGTTGGTATTCAGGAACCCGTACAAAAACGGATTAACACAGATCGAGAGCATCGAGACCATCTTGCATGTTTGATCAATGCGCTCGACAAGCGTAACGTACTCTTGCTGAAAAACGTACTCATCAATTATGCGCGGTGTACACCAAATTTGCAGCTTTTAGCCTGCCCAATCCACAATTATCAGGCGACGACAGCTACAATCATCAGTTGACTTGACTCACGTTGTTGACGAGATCAAAGTCGAGCAGAAACGTGATGAGAGTGAATGGGAACCAGAGAGCAGCATAACTGCCGGCCATTGCGATGAGCAGTGAAGTGGTCCGACTGGTACGGCGGTTTGTGTTGTGTCTCTCGACGATGGAACTTCTGATCGAGGGCATAGAGGGTGAACGGAGCGATGCATTGTTGTTGTTGTTGTGCTTCAACGAGTTGTTGTGACTTTCCGGACGTCCCGGGTCTTCGCGTTTTGGCGGAGCACGGGTTTTGCTCATTTTGTTGGCGTTGGTCTTCAGGAACCGAGTGAGCTTGACATTGAAGATGGAGAGAACGAATAGGGGGACAATATAGAGGAACACAACTTGAGTGATAGACATGAGCAGCTGAAAGACATATGTACAATAGAAAAGGCCAGGGAATGGGTTCAGTACCTGAATTGTCTGAGTGCTGATGTCAGGTCCTCGACCGGCGGAGACAAGGCGACACTGTCTCCATCCGTAAGATCGGATGACCTCTTGACCATTAGGGTCGACTACTCGAACCTCCTGAACTTCTCTTATCACATCTGAACATCTCCTTCAAAACTTACTCTCATGACGTAAAGCATGGAGGTCTCGTAGTAAAGAAGAAGAGGAAGTGACAAGATGAATGACACAATCCAAATGACGACTGATACCAGAACAGCATGAAAACACTGTTTGCGGTTTGAGGCAATCTTCAACTTTTTGACCGAGTAGTATCTGAAAACACCCCACTGGATGATTCCATGACGTTGAAAAAATTTGATGGGAAAAAAATAGACAAAAATAACGTAATTATCGGAACCTTTTGTCTAGTCTAGTCTCGTTTTCCATTCATTTTCTCTAGGATGATCTTTATGTTTCAGAGGCGACCCGATGGAAAACAAAAGGTCATCCCGTCTGGCAATTATTAGAAGACAGCTACCGTACCTATCGATTGCCATCACGGAAATCGTGAGCGTTGAGCAATAAATGTTGCTACCCGGAAGAACATTTGCAAATTTGCAAAAGAAGCGAGAGTACGGAAATTCGAAATCAATTGACGGAAGCCATAGGAATGGGATGTTGGTGATGGCGAGAATCTGAAATAAACAAACAAAAAGATAAGGAAGTTAGCGCAGTTCTCTGTTACCAAGTTAGAAAGAGCCAAATTGAGAATGAGCACATTTCGGTTCGTCCTCATCGACTTCTTCCGCACAACTGCCAGGATCACAAGACCGTTTCCGATGACGGCGGCGACCGAAATGATGATATACACAGTGGTGTATAGGATCTCCTCCCAAGGGCTGAATCTGCGCAGTGACGCCTGGAGTTGATAGAAAAACTTCTGAAATCAAAACGTTTTCAGAAAAAATCTGAAAGTTCGTACCTGCAGACAAAGACCGTCGAATGGGGATGTGAGATAGTTTGAAGCGTTCATGCTGATCCCCCGATCGCAGTAATTGTCTATATCCTTGTACTCCATTATCATCCCCTGAAAGAATGAACATCAACATATAAACATTCAAAGTAGACAGGATGACCGAAGATCGGGCGGCAAAGTGGTGATAAAAAGATTGGATTGTCACCCTCCCCACTGGGAATTTAATCTGACGCCAAATCCCTCCCACCCTGGCGGACGACGTGTTTCGTTGGCTACATCATTCTAAGAAGGTTTCACGCAAATCTCATTGCGTAGAAAAACGCGCGGGGGGCGAACAGAGTAATACACTTGTTCACGGATTTGTCTGTAGGATTGGATAAGATGATTAAGCAATGTTGATCTGATCAGCCGAACAGCTTAGATGACCGAAAAGACAGAAAAATGGTTGGACGGACGTTAATAAAATAAGGAAACGTCAAAAGATGATGTGGACCCGAAAGGCTAAAATCTCTGAAATGAGCCTAGCTTCCTCCCCTCCATTTCTCAATTTCCGTTTTTGTGGGGATGCCTTTTCTCTCTTTTTCCTAAAAAAAGAAAGAGTAAATGAGAAAAAGTCAAAGTTATGAGCAAAGTCAAGTGCAAATACTCTGGTCACTTGCTGAGAATCGAGTTCGGAAAGAAATATTCGCCGAGTGGAAGAATTTATAAATAGACGTAAACTTTGGTGAGATAAATTATTAATTAGACTGAAAAAGTTAAGAGCACACGTTTGAGACTTTGATAGATGTATCCATGATTAGTGAGGGAATCAGACATCAGAACAAATTCGCAATTTTGAGAACCAATTAAAAAGCGAACACGCTCTCGGAAAAATAGACGCGATTTCTCAAATCGGAAGAGCCGCCGATGAGAGCTTTTCATGGCTCATCCGTTCCGATCGGAGACCCTCTTCTCGCTGTATGGCTAACCTTTTCCTCAACCATTTCAACGAATCGGCTTGTAACTCCAAGATTCAGTGTTCGTTGAGCTGAACTGCGCTCAACCTTTCTTCTTGTGGAAGATCTTCCGCTCAGCAGAAGGTCTTTCCAGATTAGGGAGCCGGAAAACACACAACACACGACGTCAAAGTTCTGTTTCTCTCTCCTTCTCCCATATCAGAGAGTTTATTCACACCGCTTTCAAATTTCAATTTGTAAATAAAGTCGAGTGAGAAAAATGTTGGCAATTACACGTACTTCTTCTAAACACTTTGCAGCCGTCCTCGGCACACAAGTGCTAAAAAAAGAAGAACTCAAAAGGCAGACAGCTGATCACAAATTAGCAAGTCTAGAGGTATGAAAATGAATGAAGAATTAGAGCTGCTGCTGTCTTTGAATTCGCCTTTCAGATAGAAGACATCCAGATAGATCTTTGTACACTTTTGCTCACATTGGGAAAATAAGATTAGTAGGACGTCGCAAGGTTAGCCACTAATTAGAGAGAAGAAAGAATATGGAAAAATTGAGGTTCTCAGACGATGATGGGAATGGGTCAGAAAATGGAGAAAACACCAGAAATTGCAGATTTTGACAGTAAAAACACCTTTGTGACCGATAAAATCGAGATAGGAGACGATTTCTGGCACGGCGAGGCTTTCCAACAAATACGGCTCCAAATTAAATGGGTGGCAGGCTCGGCGGATTGAATCGCTTAATTCATGTTTGAGCAAAGGAACGGCTCACGACGGGCCTGACGCAAAACCAAAACAAAAATAGAGGACATTCCTCGGCGGAGGCACGGAAAATGAAATGTGAAATGTTTTCTTACACTTTGGCAGAAGAAAAAATTTAGCCATGAATCTTCAAAACTTTCTTCGTCGACAAAGATTTGAAGTAGAACAAAAGATAGGAGAGATTCTTATTATAGATACCCAAGCTTTCGGCGAAGGTTCAGCCACTTTCATGGCTCCGAAGAAAAAAGTTGTTTTCTTCGTGCTTTTCTGCGCCCCATTGGTTTCTCGGCAGCAAATGTGCACTCTCTGACTGCCGTCGGTTCGTTTCGGTTCAAGCCTACCGTTGTTTCGCAAAAACACAATGAATTGGGGAGGAAAACAGGAAGAAAAAGTGAGAGAAAAAGGAGAATGGAAAGAGCGTGTGGCTCGGTCTTTTGGTCCTCGCAGTTAATATAAACTCATTAGATATTTATACACCTCATTTTTCCCCCTTACGCAAAAAAAAACTCTTCGAAATTTTTGTTTATTGTGTTCGGTGATGGGAGAACGTGAGAACGACTGATGACGGAGAAAAAAGGACACGAAATTCTATCCGTTTACTGCTTCTTTTTTGCTGGGGGAAGTTGAAATCTTCAAATTCCGAATAAACACGTGATAAACCTTGTGATTAAGTTTATCTAGTAACATTCACTTTCAAAATGATCACAAATCAACAGCATTATCAAATAAAACTATGTAGTGTGAATGGTTGTTCAGAAGAAAAAAGGACAACTAGGACATCCTGCTTCTCTCCCATCCCCTTCCACTTTCTGTCTCAATCATGTATGAATGACACAAGCATGTCTTTTCAGAATTGCGAATACAATTTTCTTCTGAAAACTGCACGGCAGCGGCTATTTGACGAAAAAGTGATGAAGGACGCACTCGGCCCTCAATTTGCTCATCTGCTCAGTCACTTTGGGCGATAAATCATCTACGATCTCGGGCCAAATGAGGGATGTCTTTGTACTCATCAAACTGACGAACAGCTCGGATTATATAATGAGTCTGGGCGCCGATGCAACAATTTTCGTGCGACGCGAAAGAGACTACTCTCATTTTTTGCCCGTCATGTCCGATGATTGGCTCGACCCGATAGACATTGAAAAAAGTGAGGGGACGATTCGGGATTTGTTTCAATGGAGACGACGGAAAGAGAGAGAGAGGGAGCAGACAAAGACCATGGGGGAAATGATGCTTCCGGCTCGAACCCACCTGCGTTTTATTTTTAGAGGAAACTGCAGGTATTTTGGGGTGTGGACAAATTGTTTCTTATCATACGTCAGTCGGACTAAAACTCATTTTTGAATGAAAATATCTGAAAAGGGTTTGCATGTTTCAGCTTGATCATTTGAAATGATCGAAACGAAACATCTGTTTCACTCTCATTTTCATTTTCTTTCTTATTTCCATGACCCAGTAGCAGAATGGGATGAACTGTCAGAAGGAAATGAAAAGGGAGAAGAAGGAAACAATAAAATATTCAGGAAGAACCATAAAATGAAGTATGAAACTTCCCCCAAAGGCAAGACAAAGACTTTCAACTCTAACAATGAATAAAAAAAAAGAATAAGAAGAATGGGAGGCGTAACAGTGTGATTATTACAAGCCGGAAATTAGAAAAACGACGCACATATTCTCAGTCTCAGATAATGAATATATAGGGCATTGAGTCGTGGGTGGGAGTTTTCTCGAATATAATTAGATGGTCTGTAACCCACCACGAAAAACTGAAAACTTCGTTGAGGGAATTCTGCCATTTGAATATCTGCTTTTCTATCACTCACACCGCAATTATAATTCGGCGCTTCGTAGGATTGGAACGAGTAAACGAAAACAGTAATTTTGAAGGAGATGCGGGACGGCGAAGCAGTTGAGAAAACAAAAAAGTACGAAGCGAACCACCGAAGATTGGAGCGGAGGATCGCGCGTTCGAGGAAATTGCGTTTAATGATAACACGAGCAGAAGTATCAAAGATTGTAGACATGTTTGGGTGATGGCGGTGAGTTCTATCTCAATCAGAAGTCCCCAATCAAGGAAATAAGGAAATAAGAGAGAGAGAGAGAGAGAGAGAGAGAGAGAGAGAAGGACCTGGCTGGAAACCGTCAAATGAGGAGAAGTAGAAGGAGAAGGAAAGGAGTCAAAAAGAGAAAAGTAAGAAGGATAGGCGAGATGGGGCCTAATCCTTCTAACTGCACGGAACCAAAACTTCCTACGTGATTCGCGTCTATGAAAACTTCTGGAATACTTCCGGATAGAGAAATTTCCATACAAATTGCCTTTTTATCCAATTCCTGCTCACACCCAATCTCAGCCGATCGCGTGGGATCAGAAAGAATAAGTAGGCCGAAGTGAAGGAGAAGAAGAAGAAGAAGAAGCACAATAAATTTTTGTGGCGGATGGAGCTGTGACGGGCTCCGCCCACTCTAGAAGAGCACTCTTCCGAATGATGAAACGTTGTAGCTGTAGTCCTGTCAGAAAAAGGGTCTGTTTTGGGGGGGGAGTCGCGTTTTTATTCAGTTTGTGCGACTACTACAAAAGTGCCGTAGAAAAGTGCAATGTTATTGACGGAAATCAACCACAGATTGTTGTCATTTAGGACTTTCTATTTTGATTAAAATTGAAAACAAATACAAAGATAGCAATTATTGTAGCTATAGTTGTAGCTGTCCGGGGGTGGCTCTCTGCCCTTTTTTCTCAGAAAAATCCGAAAATTGTACCGTTTCCAAGAATTATTCAATAATAACAGTCTAAAAAACGAAACCATCTGGAAGACGCAGAAAATTAGGATTCACACAACTGACACTTGGCCATTTCCAATTTGCATATACAGAAATAATAAGGAGCGCGTCCCTTGCCTATTATGCCCACTTCCTCCCCTTTTTGAGCTCAATGAAAACAAGAAGTAGTAGAATAAGAAGAGGAGCAAGAAATGCGCTCATCTTCTCTTCATTTTTATTTGTTTTCCTTTCTCTTCCACTTGCACCAAAACTTGTGAACACCCCCCAGAAACGATGTGTCAGGGGAGATTATGAATAGGCCACTCTTCATCTACATCTTTATCCACTCACTTCAACATAAGTTTCCAGAAAAAAGACCACGAACTGTGGTTAGCTACTAGAAAAGTGTTGATAGAGAGACAAGTGTTGAAGGCTGGAAGTCAAAAAACGAGAAGATGAGAGACTCTCACAATTTCCTGTTAATGGATTGTGAGAGCGGCAAAACAAACAGTTTTTCCGGTGGTGTGATGTGTGCCTGTCTACCTCTACATAATTGCGTTTCATCGTTTTCGCTTCCTCATTCCATATGTTTATCCCCCAGACTCACCAGGTCCTCAATATCGGTGTCGGT